CCATTGCCCTTCGGAGTTCGGGCTTCACGTCTCTATTCAAGCTGGCTGCACTCCGGTTCACATCACTGCAGTCCCACGATACGGATATGAAACGCATCTGTAACCACTCCGGCCCCGCTCCCGTCCGCCTCGGGCCCCCTCATCCGCCCCATTCACGTCCGCACAATCCGGTCTTGTGGTAGCAGCGGTATAGTAGTAGTAGTAGTAACTCAATCGCCCGCCAAAGGCCAAAGTCCATAGTCCATATTCCACAGAATTAATAAGACAAAAAGATACATACATGCTGTGTCACAGCACCGCACCCGTATGATAGGTAGTAGAATCAAAAGTTCAACAGTTCAACAACGTCTCCAGCCCATTCCCAGATCCTAGCAGGGAGCGGGTGGTGGATCCGACCTTCCCCGCCCCGCAAAGCAAGCAAGCAAGCAAGGAAGCATGCAAATCATCCGCAACCAACCTAACAACAAACAAACTAATAAACAAACAATAATATCGCACCATAGAAAAGCAATCGCACCGTATCCGTATCCGTCCGTACCATAGCACCGTATCATCGCACGGTAGCGAACCGAAGGAAGGAAGGAAGAAAGAATACCCAAGAGCAAGAAAGCAAGACAGCCGCGAGAAGGAGGAGCAAGGAGGAGCAAGGGGCGGGGGAGCGATCAGGCCTCCTCCCCCTGCGCGCCGAGTCCGAACTGCGAGTTGTGAATGATAGGATTGCGGGTTTCCTTCCTTGAGACCGGCGAAGCTGCAGCCGCTGTCATTACCCGTTAGCCATCTGCTGTGCGGTGTAGCCTATCCCCCCTCCCCCTCCGCCCTAGGAGTAGTACTCACACAACCCCTTCTCTCTCATCCCCTCGCCACTAACGCTCCCCCGCTGCCGCCTCGGACTCCCGCCGCGAACGAGCTTTAGGAAGTCCTCGAGCACGTCCTGCGTGCTCCGCAGCGACGGCGACGGCGTGCGCGGTGATGGCGCCGCTGCCATCAGGATGCTGGGTATGCGCATCGGCCGCGGCGCGAATACGATCGGTGTCGGCGGCGGTGGGGGCGGCATCGACGCGGCGTGAGCGGTGGGGACGGGGGAGGCCGGCGGGGAAGTCATTGCTTGGGTTGGCGGTTGTGGATTGAGTGGTTTGCGGTTTGGAGGGGGAGGGTGGCTGTGGTTGGGGTTGTGGTTGTAGTGGTGGTGGTGGTTGCGGGATTGTGGCTGGTTGTGGAGTTGGTGGTGGTGGAGTTGATGGAGTTGGTGGAGTTGGTGGTAAAGTTGGTGGTGGTCGAGTTTGGCGGTGGATTGGGTTCAGGATGGTTGAGAACGGGGATGCACGGTAGTTAAAGAGGATGGCGCTGGGGGGAGGCACAGGCGATTGGCCGCCCGATTTGTGAGCTCCATCCCTGGCACTACCTGGATTGCCTAGAGTGGAGTAGCTGGGCGCAGCAGCACGTGAGCGCGCCAACCAGCAGCCAACTCCACTCGGGCTGTGACACGTCCGTCGGAGGACTCCTTCCGTAGGGCGAGCAGATAGAGTACCTTAGGTACAGACATACACTTTATTCCGCAGATAGAGGACGCAGATAGACAGATGCCTAGTCTATCTATCCGGTCGAATATTGGGTTCTGATCCCGTTGCTACATACAGTAGAGTAACTACCGGCGGGCCTTAGGCAAGATGTAGGTCCTTCGTCGCGGCACAACCGAGTTCCATTCAATACCCGATCCGGGGCATACATGGTACCGTCCTTCTCCTGCGGCCTTCCATAGGGTTCCATCCATGCCCCACGACAAAGGTAATGCCGGTAACCACTCCTGCTCCAGAGTTCACACCCCGCGCCCCACAGTGCGACACCCCACACCCCGCCTCACTCAGCCCCGACGACAGGCTCGCTGCGCATGCCGGACCCGTACCAGAACCAGTACATGCTTCGGACATCACTCGGAGAAAAATACGATGTATGCATGTGTAGGATGAGGTAGGTACTCTTAGACCTACAGCGTCACTCGCCAACCACCTACCGGTACTACCTAGTAGCACCACGAAAACTACGCTCGAGTCTGGAGTCTTCTGCTCAAAACGGCCAACGCAGCCGGTGCGAAAAGGATTCTGTCCCCCCATAAGTACTAACCCGCCACCAAAAAAATCCCCCGCATCGCCGTTATCGAGTGATTATGCATGACATCGCCCAACAAACAAAGGGGTCTTCCTTCTGGGATGTCCTAGAAACCCACGAACGAATGCCGGCTGGGCCATGCAGAGCAGGGCTGTATGTGCAGCAGAGTATGACCCTCAAAAGGAGCATGATTCCTGGTGCGGCATTCTTTCGTTCAGGACTTAGTACATATCATGGTCGGAGAAAGAAGAAGGAGGGAAGGGTAGTTAACTTGTAAGGCTAATTCGGTGGATTTATACCTCTTAGTATTGCACCCAGTGTTCTCCACAGTCCGGACGGGACGGACTGCCAAGACCCAGTCCCGTCCAGCGTCAGTGCCTTTTGGAGGACGGTATAAAAGTAGTCCATCCCGTCCGACCTTACTGGCGGACTACCTAGTCCGTCCAACACACCCCCCCCAGACAGACGGACGGGATGTATGTAGTCCAGTGTAACACTGGGGTGGTTCACAGTTGGCACGCTCACAGTAGCGGGCAAAGACAGTCTACTGATCAGAAGAGAACAGCACCTGTACAATGGCGGTGAAGTAAACGTAGAGGCCCAACTGATTCGCACGGCGCCTTGTTCTTGGAAACAACAACTGAAAAGGGTTGATGATCGGATAATCACGAATAGGGAGAGAGAGTAAATCCAAGAGTAACAATGTTTGATTGTTATGGCTTAACTCCCAGTGATGGTAGTCGATGCCTTCTCTACGACGGAAAGCCGTCGGTCTTTATACCGACACGGCTCACCCCGCCTGATGTCTAACTATGAGCGCTCGGGAGAGTATTACCTCGGTAATACACAAGAGTATCCTGTACGAGATGTGGACGATGGTTCTAGGCACTGGGTCTTCGGGTACCGAACCCTTGTCTATCTTCGATTTTGGTGTTTCCGAGCGGAACTCGTATGCACCCTTGAGTTGGTCGGCGACTACAAACGACGGAGCCGCAGCCTATTGGCTTGATGACTTCCGTGTCCTTCCGGTGACTACTATCTCGCAGATAGTATGCGTCTCCTTATTGTCTATGACGTGCCTCAAGTGCCGCAGCAATCGCAGTATGACTGCAGAAGTATGTATATGCAACTCGACAAGTTTTGATCCAAACTTCTCTAAAGTACTGACAGATGACAGGCTTCCCTTCATATACCCACCGGGTACGTTTCGCCTCGCCTGTCCGGCACGACCGTTCGAGGGTTATTTTGACCCCAAATAAAACTTTATTTGTATGGGAAACGGAAACTAGTATGCTTTTACCATGGCGGCCACGGAGGATAACCTTTGACAACCTGCACGTCTTGATGAGATTTTCAACAGGTTTTCCTAGGTAATTGAGCGCACTCCAAAACTCATCAATGAGTCCATAGCCACCCTCCACGAGGTTCTAGTGGCCATCTGTGAGGTTTGAATCTCGATCACAAGTTATCACTCGTCCCAAATCCACTGATTCTGGCTGAGTTCTTCCAATGACTGCCCATAGTAATGGTTGATGATGACCAACAGCGGTACTAATGTATTCCCATATGCCTGAAGTACGTTTCAAGCTCGCTGGGTGTAACAAGCGGATGCAAATACCAAACGCCGGGATCACAATTTTCAGGAAGGGGACCGCAGTTAAGCTCGATTTGGGCACCGATCTTCCGATTCATCCAGTCTTTCACGTCTCACGCCTCCGGCATGACACTACTGACAGATCAAGACCACAAGAGCACATCCCACTACTCCGGTTGAAGAAGGAGGGAGGCGGGGTCTGTGAGCTAAAATCGATTTTAGAGCATACAAACGCAGGTACCACCAAGAAGAACGCTCGCTACTTGGTAGAATTGGATGACTACATTGGCGATACGGCTTGGTTAGAGTTGGATGGACTACGGAACGCACGGGAGTTGGTGGAAGAATATCACGAAAAGCACGGGCTAGGTCCAGGCGATTGGGATGCGAAACGGAGGGCGCAGCAGGCAAAGGCGAAGAGGAAGAGGAAGGAATATTGGGGCTGATTAGCGGGTGTTATTTTTCTTCACCACGGCGCTTGTTCTGAACAGGGAAGTGATTTGGGGTTCATATCTCGAGGTGTAGGGTTCATACCCTGGGGAGGGTAACCCGGGTCGAGTTGGGGCCGAGAAGTATATAAGGAACTCCTGTAGATAGATCTTCCTCTTCAGACAACACGTTTACACCTAACGACCACAATTGTCTCCTACAGTATGTATGTGCAGTAGAATACGGTATAGCTCTCACAGGGAGTCCGATTTCTAGTCCCGCGCTCTTACGTTTGGGACATTTGTGAGCTAATGCAACTCAACCAGTCGTGAAGACAAGAAGGAGGAAGAAAATGTCAGGCCCGTCAGGTGAATAAGTATCGCACAGCCGGTATTCTCCACAGTCCGTCCCGTCCGGACAGCCAAGACCCAATCCCGTCCGTCCGTACCTTTCGGAGGACGGGATAAAAGTACCCAGTCTGTCCCGTCCGCCGATTTTCTGCACGGGGTTGGAATTCAGTCGGCTGCAGTCCGTCCCGTCCGACCTTACTGTCGGATTACCCAGTTCGTCCAACAAACACCCCGGACAGACTGGATGTATGTAGTCCAGTGACCAGTCCCGTCCATGGGTCCGGACGGACTGGACCGGACTGGATCGGACTATGTGGTATGAGAACTCTGAGATTCGCACCTACCTAGAGAGCGGTGCTCGCTGTACTTGGGTATAATATTCAACGCAAGATCGCACTCCGCCGAGCTCCAGCCTACATACCTCATATATCCTCCGAGTAGCTAGAGGTCGCAGAGTGACAACCTGTGCCGCCGGATATGCAAGTCTTTCAAGTTTCACGTAGCCTCGAGCCCTGAAGCATGCCGATGGAACTAGCATTGCCGCGAAAGAGATGGCTATATATCCGAATTCCTTCTATTAGGATGCAGGATAAGCAGACGGATCCACTCATCTGACAGATGATCGTGATCAAGGTGGACAATACAATGCAATACATTTGTGTTGCGGGGTATATACATGGGTGAACTACCTAGGCTTGCTATGTACGGGATAATCAACCATCTATCATCTAGGCGATAAACAGGAGCACCAGTTAATCGGTGACTTAAAGATGGATGGGACCCGTGTAAGCCATAAGCCACAAGATCATTTCGTTCGGTACTCACTCGGAAATCCGAGTCCCACACAGAACAGCTACGCGACCCCCCACCAGACCTCCCTAACCTTCTTGCTAACGACGCAGCCAATCTTCCGTCTGCCGATAGTATTCTCACAGGCTTTGAAGACGAGCTCATCGCGCTGCCTATCGTCGTTACAGCCTACAAACGCCTCGATCAGGGCGGCAGGGGTAGCAAACGACCTCTGTATCTCGAGGGCCTTTTCGGCGGAGATGCCACGGACGCACATCAGCATCTTCAGGAAGACGTCTCTGAGGGTGGTGCTGCCGTTTTTATTCACCAGGCTCGAGAACGTGTCGTAGGCGAGGTAGAAGCCCCTTTCCGGGTGGGTGTTCTTGAGGTGGGTGCGGAGGTGGGAGTAGGTGCGGCTCTCGACGAGTTCAGCGGGGATGATGTGCAGGTCCCTGCCGAGGTAGAGGTCTCGCAGTGTCTTTGTCATGCGCGCGAGGTAGCGGATCGTGTCGTCGAGCTTGGCGGTGCGCTTCACAAAGAAGCCGTTAACCACCTGCGTGCTGGAGATGGCCGTCTCGATCGCCTCCGTCATGTGCGCGCCGTTGTCGCCGAGCGCGAACGCCTCGATGATGTAGATCACGTGCGGGATCCCGCTCTTGGTGAGCCGGAATTTCTGCTCGTGGAACCGCCCGTCCTTGATGGAGCTGACTAGGTCGTCGAGTCGCTTGCGCTCGACGATGTAGTCGAGCACGAACTCGCGGTTGCCGGAGCGCGCGACCCAGAGTGCGTCGCCGACTTGGAGCGCCCGCGTGGTCGGTGTCACGCCGGCTGTGATGAGGTTGTTCTGGAGGTAATCGCGGTCCGTCTTGGAGCGTACTTCGCGGTTGTCCAGAATCAGCTCCACGGTGTACTCGCTAGAGCGTAGGACCGCGGGCTCGAATGGGGCGAACACGGGGGGCACCGAGGCGGAGCCAGCGGCAGTGCTGGAATGATTGCTAGCGGACGAGCTCGTACGCGCGAGTGCAACAACCGACGCAGCCATCGGTTGACCACCGCCAAGAGCAAGGCCCACCGGAGGAACTGGTCGGCCATTGAGGGTGCGCTGTCGCACCTCCTCCACTTCGCGGTCAATTGCTGCCAACTCGGCGGCTGTGCGCGCAGGGAGGTTGTTGCCGTATTCAGGACTCGCCCCGCTATACATGAGCTGCAGCCTCCGTCTCTGCGCCTGTCTGTCTGCATTCTTCTCGACTGCGCTGCGGTTTTCCGGGCCTTCGGAATCCACGTTATAGACACCGGGGTTGACGACCGACCCATCGAGTACCATATCCGAATTCAACACGTTGAGATTTCGCCGCGACAACCCTGCAGGACCCGGAACCGCACTGCCCCTCGGCAGAGCAGAGGCTTCACGGGGAGGGGGAGGAGGAGGCGGAGGAGGAAGAGGATCACCAGCTCCAAGACCCTCACCGCGCCTCCTCGCCTCCTGGATCCCCTCCGCCACCTTGGTGCCCGACTCCGTCAAAAAGTATCTCGGCGGATGTCCCTTGGAATAAACAAGATTCTTGTCAAACAATGCCTTCCTCGACGACCACCCATTATAGAACGACTTCGTACTCTCTGGCGCCTCCATGCTCGTATCACAATACGGCTGCGCAGCGTCGACCAAGTGCTGCTTCAACATTCCGGGGGGTTTTTGACCGTTGGGCACCTCCTGTTCCGCCTCATACAGCGCGAGGAGGATCGCATACGGGCCGCTCCTGATCCGGGGCACATACGGCCTCTCAGTATCCGTATTCGTCTTCCTCCTCTTCGCCGTCCCCGTCCCCGTCCCCGTCCCCTGCTCCTCCCCCAGCTGCTGCTCCCCTCCCTCCCCTCTCTCCCCCACACCCCTTCTCTTCCCCCTAACAGGCACGGCCATCCCATTCTCAGCACAATAAACCTCATACGCGCGCGTGAGCTTGTCGACGATGGCAGGGCCGATGCCGTTCAACTGCTGCGCCTCGGAGGGGTGCGAGAACGCGATCGGACACGACGCCATGCTGTCGTGTGCGCGCTTTAGGGTCCCCGCTTTTTTGTGCCCTTGCTCGCGCGCTTCGTCCCACCATTCCTGCAGGAAGGTTAGGAGGATGGGGTTGCCACAGGGCATGCTGTTGTGCTGTTGGGGGGGATGGGGGAGGGGGTGGATGGAAGGGAGGGGGGCGAGGGGGTGAATGGGGGGTGAATGGGCGGTGGGGTTGTGTAGCTTTCAGTTGCGCTGTGCTGTGCTGTGGTTGTTGCCGCAGTGGAGAGTCCAGAGTCCAGAGTCCAGAGTCCAGAGTCCAGACTGGTGTGTGGGAAGACGTGTAGAGTTGCTACCCGCTAAGCAAGGGGTGGTGTGGCACGTGACTTGGCGTAACCAGCCACTAACCAGTAATCCGATAAGATAAGATAAGATAAGATCCCAGCAGAGTACCATTCCATGTCGATCACAAGGCATCATTCACTCGTCATCCGGAGCAATACCATGGACAGGTATATTTAAAGGGGAGGAATACTGGGAACAAACGCTTTGGGTCCACCGTCCGGGGGGAGTACCTGTTGTTGTTGAGGCCTACTCGGGTACACTACTCTAGATTAGAGGAAGGCGAATATGACGACCGACCGACCAAAGACGAAAGACAAAGAAACGCCTCTTAACCAACTACCGGACCGGCTGACGGTATGTTTATACCGGTACGGCACACATCCTCTCGGGCGATCTCATTGTCACCCAGGGAAGGAAGTGCCCCCCGGAGAAGCGGAGGAGAAAGAAGAGAGAAGAAGAAGACGGAAAGTGACGCTTCCAAATGCGGTTCAATTCTTACGAAAAGGACGTCGATGTGAGCACTGAGGGGTGGATGGCGAAGGATGAGCGGCGTGAGCATTGGCGGCGTCCGTAGGAAGTACCTAGGACGACGGTCAGACCATTCCTCTCGGTGCTTTGATAATTTTCCCTGCTAGCAAACAGTAGGATAGAGTGGTGCCTGCCAAAGTATCCCGTGGTTTACCGTATTCGTACATACCGGGAGGCTTTCAAACGGTAAAAAAAATCATCCTCATCCCCCTCTCCGGCACGGCGCATACGATAAGTGAAGTGTCAAACGACCAGCTCGAAGTATCACTCGGCGCCCATTCATCCACGGAACCCCACGGGCGGATCGTAGGCTCCCGCGCAGTGGGACGTGTGTACAGCCATGATCTGATAAGGCCGAATGCTATGATGATTAAACAAAACAAAACAGCTTCCGCGCAGTGAGATATCCATCCAGAAAAAAGAAACGTACTTAGTCTATAGGCACATAAGATTAGTAGCCGGCCGTACAGGAGAAGGAATTCCACGGAACCTGGCGGAGGAGACGGTGCATGTGGGAGCTGCTGGATGCATCGTTAACCCAACCCAACCCAACCCGAATGGATGGATGGACACCAGCACTGCTCACAACCCATCGTTTCCAATACAACCATCCGGTCTTCCAGTACTAGGTATAGCTGTTCATGCGACGAACGTACTGAGAACTGTGACGGACAGCCTTCATAGCGGTCACACTAGATGTGTGTGTGGATATGGATGTGGATGTGCGTGTGGATTCCTGGATGTGTGCTGTTGGGTTAAGGCCAACGATTGGGATTACACCCTTCCGTATTGTCCGTTGTAGTGAAATTACTGTGTCAAGACTCGTCTGGACTCTGCAACTTGTTCCCGACATCCTTCGATGGAAGCTGTAGCATGTAGGACGACTGAAAAGGTTGATAATATCAAAAACCAGTACCGTAGTACGACCGAAAACGCAGGTCGATTGCTTATATCGCCTCACTCACTCACCAGCCATCCAGCCAGCGCAGCACAACAGCGAAAATCTTGTCCTAACGCCATACACCAATCTATTCAGCTCCCATTCCATGCTATGTATGTATGAAGTATGAAGTATGTAGAAGTAGATGTGGTGGCAATAACAAGAAGATTGAAAGTTACATCCACTCCGTTCTCCCTTTATATAAAGTACTAGGTCAAAGGTTATCGCCAGGGGGCCGTTTTACACCAAAAATGGCCACTTTCACACCACTAAAACTCATCCTTCGCCTGACGGAAAAATATCGTCTTTCACAGACGCCGTAAAATCATAAGCCCTCTCATATATAAAAATTTTGACCGCTTTTAGTCAAGATTGGTGGCTTTCAATGGGGGGTTTGTACATGACCTGAACAGTGATTTCGCATTTTGTATGGGGCTCCCATACAAAAAGTTGCATGACAACCAGCGTCAACCATAAATTTTTCTCTTGGGCCGCATTGCTCAACCATAACTGCTTATATTTGCAAGCCAGTTTCTTATAAGATCACTTAAGCAGTTAAAAAGGACTTCCAATTGCCCAATATTTTTTAAAGTATGTTTGGGATGCAGAATCTGTGGTTGAAAATTGATAGCCTTGAGACAATAGGACTTGGGTTAGCCGCATAACTTCACATAAAATACTGATTTCCTTTGGCTAGAAGTTTTGTCGAAGCTGGATGTGTATCTAAACACCCTGTATGCAAACTTGTATTACTTTCTATTGTGTGGTTGTGGTGTTCGAGAGGTTTACATGTGTGGTGTGGTGGTCTCGTAGGGGCGAATGGCGATAACTTTTGATCTGATTCTTTATATCCCCATCCCCGGGCGTCCCTCGTCCCCTATGCTGTACAAAATTCGACCCCGTGCCCCCTTAGGTAGACAAAAAAGTAACAAGAAAAGAACAGAAAAGAACAAGAAAAGATCCAAAACAGATGCGCGCCCGTTAAAGAAAAAAGCCAAAGTCAACCCCAGGTTATGTATGCTCGTGATGGTATGTGAAGATGTGATGTGATGTGATTTGGTGATGGTGGCAATGTACAATGCGATTCGATCCGATTCGTTTCTTTCGTATAAATATGGTTCGTTTCGTGACTAGGCGGCAGTCTTGCGAGACGAGTTTTCCCGCTTGCCGTGCTCGGGGCTCTGCGCGGACGCTGATGGGCGGAAGCTGATGTCCATCTGCTTGCGGGTGTGCTCGAACAGGATGCTGGGGGGAATGTTAGCTGGCTGGATGGACTTGTGGATGCGCACGAGGGAAGAGGGAGGGAGAAGGGGGACTAACCGAGCGTACGACTGGATCGGGTCCGCGGAGGTGTCGTGGTGGCTCTGGTGGTGGCGCATGTAGGAGCTGTCGCTGCTGGACGAGGCGCCGTTGGTGTGCACGGAGGTGGTCATGGTGGAAGACATGGGATTTTGGTAGGGGGTCTGTCGAAAAGGCGAGGAAGGGTGATGGAGTTTGTATGGTGTTGAATCAGAGGACTTCGTCTGTGGGAGTGCGAGTGTGGCTGGCAGCGATGGAGCTGTTGGTGTTGGGGAGGATGGGGGTGGTTGCAGTGGGTTGGTTGTGGTTGTGGTGGTGGTGATGGCAGTGATGGTAATGTTCCGAATGCTGATGGGATTGAATATTGATGTTAGGATGGAGTGGAGGGAGGTTTATATATTTCGATGGGTTCTTGGGGGGCGACCTGGTGGCCGCCGCCTCCCTCGACATCAGACTGAGCAAGATGAGGTGCACACATTCAGTCTCGCTTGTCATTCCGACACTTGCATTGCCGGTTAACTTGCGCCTTGTGCCGTGGGAGCTGCCGGTAGGATGGATGGCTTTGAGAGTCGGACCGGCAAACAGACAGCCAGACAGACAGCCAGACAGACAGCCATCCATCCAGCATCCATGGACAGCCACCGAGCCAGCCAGCCAGCCAGCCAGCCAGTCAGTCAGCCAGTGACGGACGAAAGCAGGCGGCAAGCAAGCACGCAAACACTCACGTCCGGAGTCGTCTTCCCACATCCGGATGATGCGTGAATCAAAGTGCCCACTCTGGGAGGGGAAAGTGAGCCCTGCAGCTTGCAGCCGGCAGCAGCAGTAGTTCGTAGCAGCATCACCACCACCACCACCATCACCACCACCACCATCACCACCACCACCATCACCACCCCACGCTCGCGGCCCATACCCACCTAACCGAGCCTGGCTCGCAGTCCAGGTGGACTGTGACTGGCTGACTGGCTGACTGGTGGGGCAACTCCCCCTCCGCAAGGATGGAAACGGGGTCTGCGAACTGACCCATCTACTCTGGAGTAGTTACCCCGACCACTCTGCTGCGTGCTCTGCGTTCTGCGTCCTCTGCATACGAGGCACAAGGGGTTGGTTGGCTGCGAGACACGGGTGGCGGCCGATGATCTCATGGCTACCGCCGATCCCGGAATATTCAGGGTCCCCCGACGCCGATCCTGACATCAAATCCAACGACGCTGCGGTTTCTCCACTTCCTCGCACACACCGCCGGAGTGGGGGCAAGCAAGTAAGCACTCGAGTACCCAGGAATGCGTCTGCATCGAAGATGGCATTTCCATCTCGACGGGGGGCCTTTTGCTTCTGGAAATCCACAATCCACAATCCACCCCCGCCCGAGCTAGCTGCTTCTCAAGCCCCGGAACCATCCACCCAACCCACCCCAACCCCAGACTGCATCCTGCATTCGCCCCAGCGTTGCCCAGTGTGGCTTGCATGATGACAACGCGATGCGCGACGACGACATCCGCTGGAATTGCCTGCTCCTGCCTTTCCTCTTGCTCGTCCTGTTTCTTGTCCGTTAAAGCGGCGTGGACGAAAAACAAATCAAAAAAAGTAAATTAAAAAAAATACGCCAGATGAGAATCTTGATGCCGCTCCTCCTGGTCAGATCTCAAACGTCCCTTTCCCTTTCCCCTTCCCCTTCCACTTCCGCTTCCCTCCGCCGCATTCGCGATACCATCCCGCCCCGTCACGGCGGATGGCGTCCCTGGACTAGGCAGGTTGATCCCCCTTGCTAACATACCCACTACGTACCTCTCGCCGGACCCGGACTTTCTTCCGCAAGGCTGGAAACCGTGGAGTGCTCCTCCAGGTTTGTGAAACACCCACCACTGACCACCACTGACCACCACTACCGCTGTCCCGCCGCCGCCGCCGCCGCTGCACGCCAGCACGCCAGGTGGAAAAAGCAACCACTCAACTTCCCTTTCCTTTCCTTTCCGGTTCGCAAGAACGTTCCCGCGGGTATGATATGTACGAATATGTACTGTACTGAGTAGGCTCTCGTAGCTACCAAGTAAGTACCCTCCACGTCCGTTTGGTCTGGTGGCAATTGTCTCAACTTACTCTATGATACATAGAGTAGTACCTATCCTATCCTATTCTACCCTATCATATCCTGGAGTACCTCTCCAGAGCACCTATCTACGGTAGGTACGGTACTCTATGCCCCCTGTCTTGAGATCTCACTCGCGTCCTCATGATTCACCCACCCATCCATCCATCCATCCATCCATCCATCCATCCATCCATCCATCCATCCATCCATCCATCCATCCTCTTGGCCAAGTACCCACCTATCATAATAGGCACCCCCGAAACATCGGTGACCCCCGATTCCTGCACGCTGCAACTGCGTCCGGCCATCGTGATGATAGATCTACCAAGGTACTCTACTTTACTCTACTGATGTCGGCAGACGTCGTGTGTGTGTGTGGGGGGGGGGGGGGGGGTATAGCACTTACCTACCTCTCACTTACGTTTCTCATCCTCCTCCTCCTTCTCGGACGTCCGTCTGGGCAAAAACCTGTATGTATGTGTGCAGATCACGATCATCATACATACAGCCAGGCAGGCAGACTGAAGCGACGTATCCCCCCCCCCCCCCCCTACCCCCACCGGAAACAGCAACGCAAGATACAATCATGCAAAAGCCTAACCGGCCTGAGCCAGCACGGCGGGATAATCCTTCACGAAGGGCGGCCAGTTCGGGAAATGCTCGGCGTAGGCATGTAAACTAATCTCGAAGTGGTCCGAAGTGATCGGTGATGTGGGCTTTGCATCACACCTTATGGGTTGCCGTGCGGAGGTAGGTTACTCTAGGTAGCAAGTGAGCAAGCAAAGCAGGCAGGTAAGTAAGCATTCTTCCAGTTTCGGGCTTCGGACAGAGGACAGACAAGGAGGATGGCAGAGCACCAGAGCATCATCTCACTCTAAATTCCCATGACGGAAGCTTGATTCGACGGCGGGGGGACCGGTAACCAGACGGTCATCGACGACGGGCTTTGAGTTTTCGACGGATATAGGTATGCAAGAAGCAGACCTTCCATTTCCCTGCTGAAGGATCTTGCTAATTACGTACGGACAGTATAGTACCTGATTACGTACAGTAAAGTATTTCTCCCGGTACGGCGGTACCTATGACTGGGAGGGTGCTAACCGGCCTGTACCGCATCTACGCATATAAGTAGTTGGTTTGTTGATTCACAGGCATCGGTATGAGCATAGATATTACCTATCTGTTACAAGTTACAAGTTAAATCCCAGACCCAAAGCTTGAAATTTCGTGCGGAATGTACACGAGTACGGTACTGTACGGTACCTACTGTACATTTCGAGATATGCAATAGCCGGTCATCCTTCCTGCACCTGCAGCTATGTACGGTATGTATGAGTGAGTGAGATCGGTATGCATGCCCAATACCCGCGATTCCGGCCCTCCTCCACCAAAGGAGACATCTTGGTGGCTGGGGCTTGTATATGGATATGAAGATGCAGATGCAGATGCAAAAGCAGCGGTGGGTAGAGTGGAGGAAACCCGCTGGAGAATACGCACACACACATATACAGAGAGAGATATGTACGAGGACGTCAATCCGCGTGCGGCCTGCAACGTCCGTAGCCCACGAACGCACCAGCGAGGACACCGTGGTCCATACTATACCACAATAGCATACCGGTGAGCCGCCGATCTTCTGCATCTTCTGCATCCATCCATCCATCCATCCATCCATCCATTCTCTTCCTTCCATCCATAGGAGGGAGGTACTACTCTACTTTAGGCATACATTCGAGACATGCACCCAGCAACCACCGTGAAGATCTTCCCCGGTTTGTAGCGGCTGTGGAGTATATCCTGCAGCAATGCAGCAAGTGCACATAAACATAAACCAGCCCTGGGCAGTGGGGCCTAAACAATCTGCCTGCCAGCCAGCCAGCCATGACTATCACTGTTGTTGCTTTACTGCGCTGCGCTGTGCCATTGAACCGCAGAATGCCCCCTTCTGGAATGGCGTCGATGGGGGGCTTACTTTACTTTAGGTCGTGGTGTTTATGCGGACCTCCTGGCTTGCTGCTTGCTGGAGCATCGGTGCGAGCGCACAAACGCAGCCGCTCGTCATCCCCCCATCCCACCCCTCCTCCCACTCCCTAGTAAGCCAGTGAGCCGACATCGTTGACCGCGACAGGAATAGACAGATACCGTATATCATAAACCAAGGCCCAGTCAATGGCAGTAGCAGTGGCAGTGACAGTGGCAGTGACATATCGTCAGCCCTATGTGCATACGGTAGTGAGACCTAATGTCTCACCACGAGTCCTAATGTATACTAGCACATAATCCCTCGGAATGTTGGCACAACGGCACTCGCTCGGGCAGAGCGCTGCCGGGGTCTTAGCCGGGGAATCCTTCGGCTCCTCCACGGGATGGAGCGGTGAGAGCGCCACCGGCTTGGTGGAGTGGGGAGATGGCTGCTTGCCGAACCCGGGCGGCTGGCCCCGTCGTGGGTGGGTCCGTTGGTCTTGTCTTGGGTTGAGTTGGGAAACCATGGTTTCGTCCAACTACCGTAGTTAGGCCGGGGGGCGGGGGACGAAGATGAGGATGAGGACGTGAACTCCCGGGGCGGCCCGGAATCTTCAACCTTGGTCGGGCCATGATCGAATGATCAGTGTCGAAGCCACTCTCACTCGCTCGTTCACTCGTAACCTACTTCTTCCATGTCGCGTCCTGTCCTGTCCTATCCAGAGTTATGTAGAACCGAAAACAAGTTTTATGTCGATATCTCACCAGGTACGTCCCTGGGTATCATGCCAACTGGGCCCACTCACATGATCCCGGCCCTGCGCCTAGTGAGATTTCGTGGAGGCTGGAGATTCCTTCCTTCGGAATTACACTCTAAGGCTTCATCCACCTCATGGCTCGTTCGCTCCAAGGGTTCATTCACCCCAAGCCGCCATGTCACCCACAGACTCCAAATGAGTATTTCCGGGGCGCAGTTCCAAGGATTCAATCCTCCACTCCAAAGCTTCATTCACCTCCGCGGCTTCGTTCGCTCTAAGGCTTCATTCTACTCCAAGGCTTCATTCACCTCACGGCTCGTTCGTTCCAAGGCTTCATTCCTCCACTCGGCGGCTTCATTCCACTCGGCGGCTTCATTTACCTCCCGGCTTCATTCACCTCCCGGCTCGTTCGCTCCAACCACTCCACGGGGCTCCATTCATCTCACGGCTCGTTCACTCCAAGGCTCCATTCAACTCGCCGGCTTCATTCATCTCACGTCTCGTTCACTCCACGGCTTCGTTCACTCCACGGCTTCGTTCACTCCACGGCTTCATTCCACTCCAAGGCTTCGTTCCACTCGGCGGCTTCATTCAACTCACAGCTCGTTCACTCCAAGCCGCCATGTCACCCACAGACTCCAAACGAGAATTTTCAGGGCGCAATTCCAAGGCTTCAAATTTCAATCCTCCACTCCGCGACTCCATGCCTCAGTTCACTCCCAGACTCAATCTCACTCCGAAGCTTCACCTCCGTTCCGCTCCAAACTTCAATCCCCAGCCAGTCTCTCCAGAACCTCGATTCCCTGACTTCGCTCCACTCCGCCTCTCCAAGCTTCATTCAATTCCACGGTCCCAGCCGAGAGTTTTCAGAAGTTCGATCGAATTCCGGAAACCAACCCAAGTGCACGCTCCGACAGCCTTCGACTACCGGATTCCAAGAGCTATCTCGAAATACACGTTCTAGTGCTCAGACCCATAGCCGTACACATCTACCGAGTATTTCGTTCCAACTTCTGACCGGCGAGGGAGGGATAGGTACTTCAAGTCGCATGATATTTCGTGATGCACACTCGCACTTGCGCCCTGCCACTGCCACTGCCACTGTACTCTCACACAAACCCGATTCGTTTCGTTCCCGATACCATCAATACCATCAATAGAAATTATATTCCCGTTGAGAGCAACGCTACCCACCCAAGTCCCAAGTAAAGCAACTTACAAAGTATCTACATAGCCCGCATCCAACCAACAGTAAGTAAGTAAGGAAGAGTAAGAAAGTAAGAAAGTACAACAATGGACACCGTCGCCGCCCCCTAATCTAACTAACCCCCCAAGCAACCCCAAAGCAACCCCTCGACCGAATGAATGAAAAGAAAACAAAAACAAAAAAAAAGGTGGCATAAAAGGTAGAGTACAAACGAAATACCTAATGTATAGTACAAATCTCATCCCCCGGACAATCAAGCAAGCAAGCAAGAAACAAACAGCTCAGAACGCCAATAGGCCATCCAGACCAGCACCAGAAGGATGAAAATAACAACGAAATCAAGAGTTGAAAGAGGAAAAAAAGACAATGGACAAAACAAAACACCAACCCCAACCCCAACCCCGACCAATCAACTCCAATCTGAAAAAAAAAATATAGGAAGAAAAAAGATAGGAAAAAAGATAGGTGGAAAAAAATACAAGGAAAAAGAGAAGAAAATAACAAAGAAAACGAATCGCCCATCTCCCTTACGACGAGCGAACGGCCCTCCAAGGGTCACTGGGACCCTCAGGCCCGGGCACCTCCGTCATCCTGATCACCGTAGGCTCCAGCTTGAGTTCTGCTGCTGGTTCCTCTGGCTCAGTGTTGTCGGTGTCAACATTCGCCTCCTTAACGAGCTGCTCGCCAGGCGAGTCCTCTTTTTCCTGAGAGCTAACGGCATCTCCATCATCGTCGGAGGTATGGTCAGAGGTACTCGGCGATTTCGACATTGGTGAGGGCAGGGGCAACGAAGAGGGCACGGGTAGGGGGGAGGATGGGGGACTGTCGACCACCTTGGATTCCTGAGGCTCGGTTTCCTGTTCTTCGTACAGGCTGCACACGAGATCGAAGATTTTCTTCCTCAGGGTCGGGATGCCTTCCACCTTCCAGATCTCGTTATCGCAACTCAAGTTCCGGGCGAGGAAGGATGCCACGAAGGTCTCAACATGGTCTAGAAAGACTTCGCTGTAATGCAAAGCGTGGACGCCACAATCGTACCCATTGTCCTGGTCAGGATTCTGTAAAGATTAATAAATGACCTGCCCACGGGAAGTTGGTAAATATCTTACCTTGGCACTGCAGCCCTTGATTTCGGCTTTTGAAATCTCCAGGCCACGCTTGACCTTCGCTTCGTGGATTAACCATTCCCTTAGCCTGGCAATAGCAGCCTGCCGTGGCACATTCATTGAATCCAAGATAATGATCGCAGGTCTATTGTATGTCAGCCACCAGCAATTAGTATGCGGGATCATTTTACATACGTGTTTGGCGGAACGTAGTGTTTACTCTTCCGCTTAGCTTTCGATCCATTCCCATATGCGTAATTAGACGAAGAGTCAATGCCTAGAGTTTTGGGGGATAGTTTGGCGCTGTGATTGCTGGCTTCCTTCTCGCCGTCTAGTCGCTCGACCTCATCCTCCGACGGCCACTCGTCTTTATCGACCGACATGCTCTCTGTGCTAGTCAGGGTGTCTGAAACATCAGACGATCTGTCGGTGGAAGGATCCACGGCGGCTACCGGCTCATCGGCGGATGCCTCATCCGAGTCCGTGTTGGGCGTGTCGACCACAAGCTTTCGCTCCAAATTATGAAGGTTGCACACGATAGCGAGGTACCAATGAGAGCTATACAACGTTAGTATGAAACACTTGCCTGCCAAAGTGACTTGAGTTACCATTCATTAATCGGGATTATGATGTAGTTCTTTTTGAACAAATCAAGCTTCGCAGTCCACTTCAAGATTCCGTCCAGATTCTTCTCCTTGCTGGCGCCGATCCTGTTCTTTTGGCAGAGGCGCTCGTAGAAAAAAGTATTCATGAAGTGGACTTGTTCTGACAACCGGGGATTCTTCTCTTTGAGGGTCACATCAAGATACCTAAAGATGTCAGCGCATACCTTAAACCAAATCCGTGCCGACCTACTTCATGTAGAAATTGATGATGTTGTCGTTCAGCCACTCCTCCGGATTCAATCGGTAGAGGTCATCGTATTCGACAGGCGTACGTCCTAGACCACTAGATGGGTAGATCAATGGCCGGGACCATCGTGGCTCCGGCAATTGCAGCGATTTTGTGCGTTTATTTGCCCACACCAGATCTTCGTCTATTTCCAAGGGGCGTTTGACAGCCTCCTTCATGCCTTCGTTGCTAGGCTTGTCGCTTCTGGTGGTTCTCTTCGTCTGCGTAAGACTTAGGAACGGCATACGGCCGCCCGTACTCCTGGTAGACCTCCGTCTCTCCTGTGAACTATGTTCCTGTAAAGACTTCGCGAGTGCAAAATCGATGGCTTCCTGCGCAGTCATAGGCCTTGCAGTATCACTAGAGGGCGCCCGAGACTTGGAAGGTCCTCGTGGTTCTGGATCAGAGCTCCGGATCCCGAATTTCTGCTCCATTTCACGCAAACGTTCGAAATCTTCAGGATCCTCTACGAGCGACACCTGTTCGTGGCGTGAATTGTGCATTTTGATGTTCTGGCAGTGTTTCTTCATCCGCTCACTAGACCGGCATTAGTAGGGGAAGTATTTCAACAGGTCAAGATAAACTTACTCATCGACCTGGTGGACTTTTTTGCGCTCCAATTCGGAGGTGAGAGCACCCCTCACTTCCTCTATATCTTTTTTGTTTGTAATGGCAAGGTAACCATAAGTATGTTTCGTCCCGTGGAACTCAAGCCCAATTTGATTCTCGCAGTGCTGTAGAACTGTCAGCAGGGCAAACAAACACGGTAGGGAGTAGTAAGAGAAGTGTACATAGAGCTTCACAAAATCTGCGGAAAAATCCGCAAGCACTTCGGAAGCCTTAGTGTGCCCATCCACTTTTTTGACTCGGAATTGCGCTCCTTTTCCGTTCCGTTTCGCTTCCCACTCCAGATGGAGATCCTCCCCGTTTCTCGGATCCGAATTCGCTTGTAGCGTACCCTTCTGGAATGTCGTAATCTGCCAGTGCTTATTAAGTTTATTCTGGGACACCAAACCACGAGGCTTTCGGCCGCCGGAGCTGCCATTGGCGCTGCCGCCGCCGCTGCCACTCCATCTATTCGGCTGGGAGGACCACAGCTGCGATTTACCCCCGATCGTCTGCCGTGCCCTCTTACCCCCTCCGATCTCCGCTCGCGAGTTCGGATTTCCGTCGCCACCGGGGGAGTCCAGCGTTCCCTTGAGGTTTTCGGCTATGGGATCGCTGATGTCCTCCCCCAGCTGTCTCATGCGCTTTCGGAGGTTCGTCTGGGGAGCGGAGCCGCGATCGCCAGAGATTTTGTCGACATGTCGAGAGGGACCGCTCTACAATCAGTAAGTCACCGACACGGAACCGCGGAACGACGACGACTGGATGAATCGTACCAAGAGGCTGGAGTGTTCGGTTTGACTATATGGAGTCGGTATTGTTTCGGAGTCTGCGCTTCTGCTGGGCCACAACCTGTCAGCCCACAAATCTCACAACCGCAAGAGGGCGACGGTGTACCGACGCGAATGTTGGAAAATGCTTCTTTTCTATTGCTCCAGATGTGGTGAAATCCTGTTTGCCTTCCTATCTGGGAGGTTAGCTACGGCGCTCAAAGCCTGCTAGCAGGTCTGCGTGAACACTGACATGTGGCCGCGAACGCCCAGATCGGGGTGGCGGTAATGGAGGCGCCTTTTCTTCGATTGTGTCGCTGTCGGTTTCGATAGGATCGGTAGAGAGCTGCCGAGGCGCCTGCCCGGAGGCGAAGCCCGGCGGCATGGTTCGAGAGGTAAGGGCAGTTGGCTTATTGTTGTTTTGAGGGAGTAGTAGGAAGTTCTCGGGGATGTGCTTCGCTCAAGTTAAGAGTTAAGGAGGAACGAGGAGGGGTTTCGTGGACATGCGAGGGTGATTGATCGGTTGGAGTAGGGTTTTTGCTGTCGCTTGTAGTGGTGGTGTGGGATGGCGGGTCCGTTACGCCGCAGGTATGGAGAGATCGCTCGGAACACTAGACAGAACTAACGATGTCGCTCTTTGTCGTAGAGGAGGAGTTGTCGTGGTGGGTTTGCTTGCGGCAAGACGTTCTGGCGCGGGCGGTGTGGTTACGCCTAGGGAATCTTGACAGGGTTCCGCGTCCCGGTGATTGTGTCCTAAGATGCCAAGCGTGCAGGCTGTATGTATCAGACTCACGTGCAGTGAATTGTATGCGCAAGTCGGGGTGTATCAAGCACTGTTCTACGCTGCTCTACTGGCTTCTTGCGTGTCGTCCTGACCACCAGCGTAGATTAACTAGCGGCGGTCTGTTCTTGTCGCGTACCGATACCAGGCTACGCACATCAAAACCTAGATATCGACTTATGAGCTCGTCTCAGAGCGGCTATTGAAAATTTCTCTACTTCCTCCAGCGTTCCAAGGGCAGTTTTCACCCTCACCATGCTGATCTTCAACGGATAGTTAATTTGAGAACAGAGGCTCTGCTACAGTTTCTTTACATATATGCAAGGAAGAAGACTTAAGTGGTGACCACTTCCATTGCAGTTGTACTGCAACTAGCCCCATTAAGGTTGTACACTAGCCGGTTGCAGCAAAATGAGTGAGCCACTGTGAGAGTCCGTGTGGAGGGCAACTGCCTTGGAACGTACGGCGAAATGGAAGTGGTCACGACATACCCTTGCATGTACATATTCTATCCCGCAAGGTGCATAGTGCCTTCTACACGTTCTTCGAAGCGCTTCTGTACTAAGGGCAAAGCGAATGAGCCCTATGTGACACAGAACACCTCACGCTCGGTGCTGTGCAGTGGCCTTTCGACTGGCGTCTATCACCATCCAGCCTCTTGCGGCCTTGGATGCTCCCTTAAAATAGACTGCTCACATGTCACCAAGTTATCTCACATGAGAACAAGTACGTCTACAGGCGTGAAACCGGAGTATGTTTGGGGAGTATCAGATCGTCAAATGCTACCAGCGCGAACATGATCCCAACGGCCGAGTGATGACACATGAACTTTTTACAGCTCTTCGGTGATGGTGCTGGCACTAGTTTTTAGGACTCCCGTGATTTTGTTGTTGATATCGTCTGCTCAATACTATTGCATTCTGGTGGTCATCTGTGCGGCTGGTTTGGTCGGATAGCCTCAACGTTCTTTGTCTTCCCGCACAAGGGGGACTGTGGTCGCTTCCGGCCAATCTCGATTCTTTCGAGGCTAGAGGGGAGATCTCCAGGTGCTTCCAGACCGAAATCTTTCGACTCGCCTTTGCCGGCTGCATCTATTCTTCCTCCTCTCCTAACCCTACTCTACATGCAAGTCGGTCTTTGAAAGCTGGCGGCTGGCGCTTACTTTTCGCTTAAACGGAACTATTCTCGCACATCGGCCTCTTTTGGCGCCGACAATTCATCCGAAGGGTTCTCAGAAATTCGCAGTCAGGGAACTCTTCAGTCTGCATCAGCAAAGAAGCACTGCTGTTCACTTCAACAACATCCCTGCAAGAACGAATAGTTAGCTGCCGACCGCTCGCTGGCCGTCTCCTTTTCCAACATTCCCGTTCCTCGAACACGTACGCTCAATCCACAGCACATCAAACGGAACAGCACAGAACACGTCCGAATATACGATTTACGATGCGGTTATTGCTGCTGTTCGGAGCCGCCGTCTTGGCTACCCTGTGTCTGCTCGTCCCCTCCGCCGAAGCCACCGCCCTCACCTACAAGCTGCACGCAAACGAGAACCAGTGCTTTTACATTAATAACGAGAAGAAGTCAGCGAAAGTCGCGTTCTACTTTGCCGTGAGTACTGCATAGCTCCCTTTGCTCGTAACTGCCACTGACGGCGATGTGCAGGTCCAATCTGGAGGTTCCTTCGATGTCGACTACAAAGTGACGGGACCGAATGAGAAGGTGATCCTCGATGGATCCAAGGAGCGACAGGGCGACTTTGTCTTCACCGCCAACGACATCGGCGAGTACTCGTTCTGCTTCAGCAACGACATGTCGACCTTCGCCGAGAAGATGGTGGACTTCGAGATTGCGATCGAGAACGAGGCAAAGGCGGAATTACCATCTAAGCAAGGCACTTCCCCGGAGCATCTGTCTTCCCTCGAAGAGTCGCTTTTCAAGCTCTCAGGCCAGCTCTCGACCATCGCCCGTAACCAGAAGTACTTCCGCACCCGCGAGAACCGCAACTTCAGCACTGTTCGCTCCACCGAATCGCGGATATTCAACTTCTCGGTCATCGAATCCCTCATGATGGTTACGATGTCGTGCCTGCAGGTGTTCGTGGTCAGATTCTTCTTTCAGGGTGCCCGAAAAGGTGAGATTCTCCCCCACTACCGTCTTATGTTATCCTCCCCTTGGTCGACTGCTCTCCCGCCGGTTGACCATGTTTTTGCATCACCCTGATTAATGCTGAAGCGTACTCTAGGCTATGTGTAAATATGATCTTCTTCTTTCTCTTGTGGACGTCGTTGTTTGCGCTTCAGCAGATTGTTCTTAAATCAATGGAGTTATGACTATTTGCGATGTGTTCCTCGTGATTTCGGGCGATGCCTGTGTTCCTTTACCCGCTTGCTTGTTTGGTTGTCGTTTACGAGAAATGTGAACAAACGGAAATTCTTCCCCAGGAATGCTGATGTTTCAAAGACCCTGTGAGCGGCGGTGCAGTGCCCATCGGCGTGGTCTGTCCTAACGGGTTAGAGCTCAGGTGTCCACACAAAGCATCATCGCCCTCCCAAAGCCTGCTTATTTGCACTTCCCTTTCACTGTCCTCCTTGGTTCCGATTCCGTCCAGGACCTCCCATACCTTCCCCATGCATCCACTGACCATACCCCGCCGACGTCAGGGTCAATGCGGATGCAACGGTACTTACTACTCCTATAAGGTTTACACTACCACGTCTTTGTTCTGTTGTAGGGGCCTCCCACCTCCTATGGCCTTTGTTCTCCTCGGCCGGATATAACAAAGCAGCTATGTGGGAAGAAGACGCCCACTCACACTCTATTACTTCCACCACCACAGCAAGATGGCCTGTGAGCATTGCCACCGTTCGTGGGGACCCTCATCCAACAGACGCAACAGCTTGCCCACCACATTCGAAGAAGCGAACGTAACCGCACACTCCTCCAGATCCTTCAGCACAGCAGCCGAGGAAACGAGCGTGGCGTCCACCTGCTCGGAGATCGACTGCAAACATGCAAGGTGCGCCAATGCAACCTACCCATCCATTATCTCGCCGTCCTGCAGTGAGCACCATCGATCTGTGGAAGATCCCAGTTTCTCGGCGGGAGGTGACACTCCCATATGGTGCAAGACGTGTGCGTCTGAATCCACCATCTACTATCCCCCCGACACCAGCAGCCCCGTGACCCAGACTCCGCTGGCGCAGAAAGAGCGCTACGAGGGAGACCGAAGCAAGTTGTATCGGCTCCGCCAGGGCTGGGGCGAGACACCACCGGGCCCCGAGAGCGAGCTAGTAGAGGCTACCGGGTATGATGGCGTCTCCACCGCGGACTTTGAGAATAGCAGGATCACGGAGGTGGATGAGGAGGCGGAGGATACGGACATGGGCAATACGACAAAGGAGGTAGAAGGACATGATGTTTCCTTCCGCTTTACCTCTCGCTCCAATGACAAATCCCCCTCAAAACCCTCCGATGACAGCTTCCTCCCCGACCCCCCAGAAACGAGCATGACACTGGAGCCGTTCACAATCTTCCGCAAGAGGGTACAAGGCTTCATGCGGCGCACCGGAAAAGCTTACACGGCGGACTACGTCGAGGACTTTGGCGTCTCGAGCCACCGCATCATCGCCATCCACCACAAGAAGAAGCCGAGGTCATCCAAGAGCCTGCCATCGCAGATCCTCCGGATCCCCCGCAAGACGAAGCTGTGGACCGACGAGCAGGGAATAAACGTCAACATCCACCACCACGTAGCGGTGAAGGCGTACATCCGGCGGCTGAACTTGACCGCGGGACCGCCAGCGTGGCTGGCGTACGATGCCACCGCCGAGAACGAGCTCGGCTGCGGTTACATACTCGAGGCATTCTGCAAAGACGGTGTTTTGCGGGACCAGATGTGGTGCCGCGACATCGAGACCAAGCTCGACATCTGCGAGCAGGTGATCAACATTCTCACGGAGCAGGGAAAGATCGTGTTCCCCGAAGCGGGAAAGCTGGTGTCTGCATGGAAACTCGCCGACCGCCACAGCGACTACATCAGCGGCATCCAAAACCCGCAGGAACTCTCGACCTCCGTCAAAATCGAAGGCCTGGGGATCGGCGTGCGCATCGCCCCGCAGAAAATCCTCGCCGGCGTCATAAAGGAATTCATCAAAGCGTGGCCCCTCCGCGAAAACATCTGGTTCCTGACCTCTTTCGAACACATGTGGGAGAAGCTCCGGGTCGTGGCCTTTGAGATGAACCGGCTGCGGTTCTTCGACGACGAGGATAACTACGATTCCGGCGTCTGGAGCCAGGAGGTCGCGGCGCTGAGCCATGTTCTCTACCACGGTGATCTGGATCCACGGAATCTGGCGGTAACTTCATCCGGGCCTGGGGACAGGATCGTGATCACCGAGATGCTCGATTGGGACGATACCGTTGCCGTCCCGGCCGTCATCGCGCGAAGGCCGCCGGTGTGGTTGTGGTGTCCCGATATCAGTAACCTGGAACCGAATTGGGACGGGGACTACGATACGCTCAAGAAGGAGCCGCCGCTCACTGAGGATGGAAAGAGGGTCAAGGCTTTGTTCTTCAGGAAGATGGAGTATCAGTTCCCCGGGTATACGAGAGATTGCTATAATCCGAGGAAGCGCTGGACGAGAAGAATCTGGGAGATTGTGAGATATGGGTTCTTTTTGGGAAAGCATTTGGCGAGGTGTGAGAAGTTCCTTGCGGACTGGGAGGAGTGGAAGCAGGAATATTGTCCATTAGGTGTGCCGAAAATTGAGGATGATAAGACGAGGGAGAGCTTTTGGACGGAGGAGGATTATGACTTTTCTCAGTTGGAAAAGTTAGCGGAGATGCAATTGTTTTAGTCTGGATAATTGGGATATTTGTTTGATGCATTCCTTCTTTGTTTCGTCACGGAATGAAAGTACATGCGAAATTAGACCCAATCATGATGTGAAACTCGACCATTAGTCCAGAACCTTCATCGTCAACTCAAGCCTTCTTCAAATCCAGAACCATATCCGCCACCTGGACCTGATCCCCTTTCACCACACCCGCCTTCTTCAGAATGCCTAGGGTCTTTTCGACAACCTCCTTCTCAACAACCCCACAATCCTTGGAAAACTTGACCGTCTTCAACCACTCCCTCGCATCCTCCTCCGAGTAATCCAGATTACCCGCGATCCACTTTACTGCCTCAGCCAGGTGCTCATTGAAATACTTCACACCCTCGTTGACAGCCTCGGCAAACGCAGCCACAGCCTCTGTCTTCTGCGAGGAGTGCGCTACAATATGCCAGGACGGCCACGGCGTGTAGATCTCGCCGATCCTTCGAATTTCCTGGGTATCATAGTATTTCCTATGTACTGCTATCAGTTTCTCCCCTTTACGATTCTTTCTCCCTCCCTCTGAGGGGAACTTACTTGCTCGTGAAATGTTCCCACATGAACGCATCCGCCTCCTTCCCCTCCTTATGATTCACCGCGTCGCGCAGGTTCTTGAAGTTATCCAACACGACCCAGTCAAACGGCTCCTCGCCCGGCTTCAACCAGCCGTTCTGGTCCGCCAGCACATATCCCATGACATAGCTGCCGCTGCCGAACCTACTGATGCCGAGCTTCTTCTTTCCCTGCAGATCGCTGGCAGAGGCCATTTCTGCGCGCTCGCCCCCGGTCGATATCGCCCAGCACAGCGGCGTGTCGACGTACTTGCCCGCGAGACGGAAGGCGCTCTGCCCATTGCCGAGCGAGGCGATCCAGCCCTCGGTCAGCCCGATCGCTAGGTCGAGCTCTCCCGACTCGAGGGATTTGATCATCGCGCCGGTACCGGAGGGGTAGGGCAGGAGATCGACATTGAGAGAGCGGCTGGTGAAGAAACCGTGCGTTTGGGCGAAGTGCAGCGGCGTCGAGAAGTGCTCTGTGGCTGTTAATTACCGAAGAGATCATGGAGAGAGCTGAGAACTTACCGGGGACGTAGCCCACGCGTAGAGAAGTCTGGGTAGACATTGCGGATTGAGCTTTGGTGGAGGCTGTGGTGATAGAGTGCGTCGAAGCTTAGGAGGGGCAGTTCGATGGTGGGGCTGTTGGTGTGGGTAAACGGACAGGGATGACATCATGAGCGGGAGCCCGCGTTCTAGAATTCGGCGCGTCTGCTTTAGAGTATCTACAGCTACAGATCTCATCTACACCTCTCTCTCTACCCTTCAAGCGTCATTCGCAGCCTCCTTCACAACCTCCTTTGCCCGCTGTTTACTCGCGAAATACTGACCACCGCCGACCACCGCCGCAGCTCCCACCGCAGCCACAGCCAATGCCCTCCACCGTCGCGCGCCCACAACCCTCAACGGCTCGACCACCTTCCTCGCAAACCACGGCGCAGCAGCCACACTCGCCGCAACCCTGACGGGCATGAGAACCTTGACTACAGCATACGCAGTTCCAACTCTATGTGCCCATTAGCCGCGTCGCCCTCTACCTAGCCATCAATCCCACTTACTCCAGCAGAACCCTCGCGCCACTCTCGCCATTAAACCAGCCATACCCCTTCCTCTCGCTCCACCGGCGGAGACTGGCCATCTTCTCCTCGATCAGGTCCTGCGGGATCCCCGGTGGCGTCCACGAAGTCGCGTGCATGTACCAGAACAGCCCGCCGACTGGAATTATCGCCGTGAGCTCGTGCAGGATCAGGAAGCTCGTTAGGTATGAGACGGGTTTGTTCGCGAAGAGCTTGGCGTAGCGGCGGAGGGAGGGTGGGAGCTTGTGCGCTGGAGGAGGCGGAGGCGCTGGGGAGGCGCTCGAGAACCGCCGGTGTAAAGGACGCGTGAAGAGATCAGGGCGGAACATGATGTGGTATTGTGGTGGTGACGGTGGTGGTGGAGTTGGACACCTATGTATCGGTAGTAGGTACTTGGGCGACGTCTATATATGCAGGTTAGATGCATGGTACCATTGGTACTATTCCCGCTTCACCAGGCTCACGTTACCACTCACCAATTTGCAATTAGAGCATCTGAGGCGGGACAACATCTGGCCGTTATTTTCCATTTTAGATAGATGGACTTGCACTCACTACTACTGCTCTGGATGTTTCCAATCCCCATCGTCACCGTCCTCGCTCTCGTGCCGTGAGCGATCAATTCCATTGACACACCTACACAGAAGTGAACATTCTAGTGTAGCAGTGCCTACCATAACCGAGAATCAGAAATAACTCGTCGTAGAAAATAGGAAACGACACAAAGATCCGGCTCGCCTAGCAATCCCCCTAGGCCCGGTAAACAGAAGATTTAGATACTCCCTTGAAGCCCCTCCTCGTCTCCAGAGTCCACCTACCGGAGCAGAACCTTACTTCTCCACCACCGCATCGCGAACCATGTGACCATGTCCGCCACACTCAGAAGTTAACCCAAACGCCAGTGGCCTAGGTAGTGCACCAACGTCGTCAGTGGTCACAAGTTTTGCGGCGGTCCGGCGGCTCAGCGCGGCAGTTCGTCAACCTCTGCCCTCGGGTGGTCCACAAGGAACGAGTAATAACAGCATGCGAGCTGGCCAAAAGTCAAATCGAATGATGATGGTATGTACCAAGCACAGCCAATAAGTCGTGCCTCACCACCATTACTACTCATAAGCGCAAGGTGAAGCACCACTTACCCTTACACTCGAGTACTCTACATTGAGTGATATCAAAAGCATGCAGATGAGTTCAACGCTAGCTGGTGGTATTCGAGCCTCACGAGAATCAATGCATTTGTATTTTGAACTGTCATTCTATCTGCGCCGGCCAAATATCTCCTATCACTCGCAATTTAGTCTCGCCGTAGTTGCCTCTCAACTTTAACTTCTTTCCTCACGCACTAGGCCCCCCCTTGGCCAATAGGTGGTTAACTTTCACTTTATCACAATTCAGCTATGTAGGTATTTATTTTCACTTTCTCACAATTCAGCCATCCACTCCACTCGTGACTCCACCGCACACAAGTGCAACGATTATCGAGCTGCCAATTTAAAATGCGCTGGTTTGTTGAGTCCCCTCGCTTCCAGATCACACATGGGACCACTCTCGTCCGCACCACGGGAAGCAACGAGATCATCGCTCAACGGCCGGAAGGAAAACATGACGAGTTGTGCTTGCATGCATGAGAGACTTCTCGAATGTCGGGACGAGACACCACTAGAACTAGACCGTGGACCGAGCAATGCGCTGGAACTTAAGTAGTAGCGGGGGGAGGACCATGTCGTCGAGTCCTGACGTCCGCTCTCGATTTCTCCAGCTTCGATAAAACCGATAAAACCCCCAATTTGTTATAAATAAGTTTTGAAGTCACTAACCGGCTATATCGAATCCCCCCCTCCCCCGACCCCCCGTAACTACGTTCTCCCGTTTCCGTGCACGGTCCGACCCATACGCACGCAGCACGCGAATTGCAGGAGCGTTTCATGATGCGTGGCGGCTTGGCTCGAAATCTAACCCCCTATCACATCTTGTTCCTTCCGAAACGCGACGACGACGAAGGGACAGAAGAGAGTGCCAACAAAACAACAATTACACCCACAACAGCGAATAATCCCTCGTCGTGGAGCTTCTGGATAATCCACACTTTCGCCCACCCACCTCCACTACCATCACCGAAGATGCAGGACCTCATTACGATGACCGATTCCGAGTCCAACGGCCGGGAGCTGCAACAACAGCAACAACAACGCACGCACGTCCAATCCTCCTCCGTGGACGTATCTCGCACCCGTCCCACGTCCCTTCCGGCCACGCAGCACACCCGTGCATCCTCAATCGCCACGTCGTCACCCGCGGCAAACCGAAACCGGCTCTCGCTCTCGTTCCCGGTGCTACCGCCGGGATTCACTCCTCCGCCGCGCAACTACTCACCAGCCACGCTGTCGCCCTCGGGGCTGATCACACCCCCGAACGGCGAGCTCGACCCGGCCGACTCCGCCGCGTTCCTGACCGCCCTCGCCGGCCAGGAGCGCAGGGTCCTCGAGCTCAAGGAGGAGCTGGCAAAAGCCGAGACGGAGCTCGGGAAGCTTAAGCGGCAATGGGCCACCCACGAGGCGAATAAATCACGCTACGAGATTTCGCGAAACTCCGGCTTGACGTCGCCTTCGCCGCGCGGGGATGTGTCCGGCTCCGCCTCGTCGCTGGCTTCGCCTACGAGTAGGGAGGAGTTTCAGCGCCGCCAGAGGGCCACGGCTACGGGGAGGAAGGTGCTGCCCAGCCAGCGCCATCAGCGCACGCTGTCGCTGCTGTCGCCGGAGCGACAGGAGTTCCGCCAGCCGTTTCCACGGCCGAAGGATGTGGACGATGCCTCTCCGAGGGAGAGGCACCTGATGAGTCCGCTGGAAATGAAGGAGAAAGAGGTGGTCAGGACACAGTCTATGGATCTCCCCACACGACCGGGGAGCCAAGAAGTCTTCATCAAGACGGGCCAGCAGATCGCCGCCGATTTCCGCGACGGCCTGTGGACCTTCCTCGAAGACCTGAAGCAAGCGGTCGGCGACGACATCTCGCGTCCCGCGCCTCCTCCCTCGGCCCGTCCCACCGCAGTCCGCAAATCCTCCTCCAAGGCCTCTTTGCGAAAGGAAAAAACCGGGAGCGCAGCGCTACAGCGTCGTGCTTCCCGCGAAGGCGGCAAATCCTCCTCCTCCCGCAGGGGAAAGGAACGTGAAGCTCCAGCAGAAGAGTCGCTCATCGACTTTGGCGAGGACGAGCCCTCTTCCTGCTCAGAATCAAACTTCCGCTGGAGCACCGGCAGCACAGATAGCATCATCTCGCCGCCGTCGCGCGCCTCGACTCCTCGCACATCCACCAGGTCCGTCCCCGTATCCCCCAACCCATCCCCAATCCCCCAACCCATCCACCCATCCCGCTAACAACCCCCAGCTCCACAACCTCACAATACAAGCCCACCGGCGTCTCCACCACCTCCACCACCCCACCCCTCTGGAACACTTTGTCCACAACGCCCTCACAATTCAAAAAGCACGCCAACGCGCTTCTCACGCAAGTGGAGAAATCCTTCGCAATCCCACAGGAAGGGGGCGAGACGACGCTAGCACGCAGCAACAGCACGGGCTGCGACCACCACCAGCAGATCCGACGGCGCGAGGGGATACGCGCTCGCGCGGCCAGCAGGGACGGCGCTGGCGGCGGCGGCGGTGATGCATGACTAGCCCGCGCACTGCTGGGCGCGAAGGTGGCGGGCGTGGCCGCGGGAATGAGCTTGGGCGTGGGAATGGGCGTGTTGGTTGGCCTTAGGGTCGGCGGTGTGCTCGGGTTTGCTGGCGGCGTGCAGCATCACTTCTATCACTTGGCGATGCCGAAGTTCTCCTCCAGGAGGTAGCGGGTGCTTGATGATACATATTGCTCCTTCCCCCTCCCCTCCCCCAGTTAATCTGAATTTCCTTTCCTTCTGCTCATATACCAGTATTTTTCCCTTTTCCCTTTTTCCCTTCTTTCCTTTTCTTTCCTCTCCTAGTAACGCATTTCCTTATGTCCGGGGTGTTCTGTTCTATTCTATTTTCCTTATGTTTGGGGTGCTCTATTTTTTTTTCTCTTTTCTTTTCCTTTGATCGATGTTTCAACGATGACGAATTGTATTATGTATATGCCACATTAGCCAGCCAAGTAGATAACTTAACTTAACTTATGACAGACAATGATAAGCCCGGGATGGGGTATGATTTCACAATATCCTGGGCTATGTAGGGTGGAGTGGACGGGCGAGAGTGATATCGCGTGATGTAGAGTAGGTACCTCGAGATTGCGAACGCAAATAACTTAGAGGCTGAAATTGAAGCTGGAATTCCGTTCCGTGGCGTGTAGATAAACAAGGGGAATCAAACCAAATCGGCACCATCGTAACTCGTAACCGCCAAAGAAGAAGCAGAAGAAGCAGAATAAGCAGAACAGAAGCCTCAGGTACTCCATCCCATCCCACCCATCCCACCCAACCCATCCGATCCCATACCATCCCGCAAATCAAAGCAAATCAAGCAGACCCACGCTATGATGCAAAGTAAACAAAGTAAACAAAGTAAACAAAGTAAACAAAGTAAACAAAGTAAACAAAGTAAACAAAGTAAACAAAGTAAACAAAGTAAACAAAGCAGACAAAACACGCAAATACGCAAATACGCATACACTTCCATCGCTCATCGCTCACCAGTGTCGCTAGATGATATCACCACCCCGATCCCAAACCCGGCATACTCTTCCCCTTCCCCTTGCCCTTGCCCTTACCCCCCGCCCTCCCGCCCTCCAACACACCCCTCAACCTATCCTGTGCGCTTTCCGCAGCGGCTCCATCCCGCTTCCCACCGCCACCAAATAAGACGCTCCAGCTCCCACTATTCGTCCTTGTAGCCACCGTAGCCGGCTTGGTGAGCAAAATGTTATTCGTAGTAGTGCTGCTGTTGCCATTAGAGTGGGTGAGCGAGACTCCCGTGGCGGTCTGCGACGCGATGGGGAAGTAGGCGCCCTCGCCGGAGCCGGACGAGGAGGTGGAGTACCGCGAGGCGGGCGGGATGTCGGCGTTCGTTGGGAGGAGTGTCTTGAGGTGGAGATGCGGGGCCGGGAGTGCGTTCGTGCCGCTGCCGCCGCCCGAGAGGAGGATCTGGCTTGACGAGGAGAGGCGGCGGCGCAGGGGCGGGTATGTTGCTGCGGGGGTTGTAGTGGTGGCGGTGGTGGTGGTGGGCCGCCGCCCGCTTCCGAAACAGATATTCAGCTCAGCGGCTTTCCCCACCAGCAGCGTGTGCAGCTTTGGGAAGTGGTTGCGGCTCGCGCTGCTCTCTGGGCTGAGGCGCTCCTGCGGCGGCAGCATCTCGTCGATTGCTAAGAGTGTGGAGATTATCGAGGTGAGCACCGTGTGCGTCTCCTCGGCGGCTTCGGCAAGCGCGTCGACGTTCTTGAGCGTGGTGTTTTCGCTGGTGAGGCGGTCGGTGCGCGATTTTGTGGTGCGCAGAACGTGCGAGACTAGACCGTCGGTCATGAGAATGCGGGATTGCAGGCTGGTTTGCGTCGACGTCAGGGAGTCGACGGAGGCCTGGAGGGTGGTGCGGTAGGTTCCGCAGAGGGTGCCGAAGCTGGCGAGGGCGGTGTTGACTTGGAAGTGATGTGTCAGTCGGGGAATCGGAGAGCGGGAAGATAAGGCGGTATATACCCTCAGGCTCAACAGCCTTTAAAATCCCGTCCCATGAGAAGTCGTCGACGCTGGGTAATGGCGTATCCATCTCATCCTGTCTCACATTCTTCAGCATCCGGTCCCGCACACTGCTATAGTACACCCGCACACACCTCATCAAAAACCTCATCCAGCAGGTCCTCTCTCGGCGGCGAATAGCTTTTGACGATCACGGGCTGGTCCCACTCGGAGCGAGTATGTCTGTGGCCGTACCGATGCCTATTCTGCGTATTAACCGTGACAGACGCGCTCCTATGATGCTGTGGTGTTGTTGTTGTTGGCGCAAGCGATAGCAGCACGGCGGTGGGCAGCGAGTGGCGGCGACTGAGACGGAGGAGCGCCGTGTGGGCGGTTGAAACTCCTTCCAGGACTGAACTGGAGCTGGTGGTGGTGGTTGTAGAGGGCATGGCTGCGTGCGAGTGGGCTAGCAAATAGAGAGCGAGGAGCCCCCCTCTCGAGCTAGTTTATAAATGCCCACTCTACGAGACTTTACCCCAGCAGCCAGATGTCAGATGCGCGGGGGAGTGGGGGAGTGGGGGAGGTGTGGGAGCGAGCTTGGAGCTGTGTTGTTTGGTGCTCGCTGTGGACACTGGTGGTGATACAGAGGTAGGTAGGTAAGGTAGGTAAGGTAGGTCGACGTGGCATGCATACAATGCGATTGTGGAGAGCAGCTCGAACAAGCTGTGGTCCGTGCCCCTAGCTCTGGCGGGAAATGTATTTGAGGCATGGTGAAGTTAGAACAACCAACCAAATCTCAATGCTGGGGATTTCTTCGATTTCGACATACACGCCGGTGTTCTCTGCGATTGCCAGCTATGCGCCACGCCATCATCATGCAGGTACGTCCACAGCCCTATGGATGATAGCTAGGCGAATGATGGATGATGATTCACGGGTGGCAGGAACCGGTACATACGAACGACAACCACCACCACTGCATCGTTCTGCGCACTGACATCTAGAAGGGAGAAAGGCAGAGGGAACTGTACAAGGACAATTCTCTCGACCGAGGACCGAACGAGAAGAAGAAAAAGAAGAAGCAGAAGAAAGAAAGAAAACGACACTACTGGTGAAGGAACAAAAAAAGCATGACAGGAAAAAAGCCATCGAACCACCAGTCCTCACGGACGTCATCAACCAATCAGAGGGCGGTCTCTTCCTCTCCAACTCCCGAAAAATGAGAACCTCCAGTGCCGACGCCAGGATCTTGGTAAGAACCACAATGCAACCAACGACGACAACTCCTTCCTAAGCAATTAACTCCGATGGTATGACGCGCACGCAAAAAACAAACAACTGTTGCCGTCGGTCGAAAAATACAGAAACATTCGGAAAACCACAACTGTTCTCACGTTAGTCCGGTTCGACTCGATCGAGGAAGGAAGCACTCACCTACGTCCGTCGGGTGTAGACCGACAAACAAGTAAATGGGTGATCCGGCGCAGTAAGAATCTTGGACAGGTACACGACAGTAGTAACTCCCCATGACTTAAAATGAACCCAAACACCCATATCGTAGCATCGTCGGTATCCCAAACTCCCTAAGCAGAGATGTGTTCAGGAATCTCGTTAGTCATCTTCTCAACAGCCATCCACTGCCAGGCCAGGTATTTCCAGTTCATGTCAGGGCGCCAGAACAGGCCCAGTCCGAGTCCCTCGTCGATCTTGGCCACCAACGCTCCGGTATGGATCATCCTGTGCTGGAACACCACGAGGCCGATTCTGCTATGCAGCAGAGCCATGGCGCACATGACGCAGGGCTCGTGCGTGAGGTAGACGTGCATGTTGTGGCAGAGGTAGCTACTGTTGTCGCGGGTTCCTCCAACCTCAGCTGCGTTTTCAACTCCGTTGCGGCGCTGTCCGTCCAGAGTTTCCATCGACTCAGTGTTGAGATAGACGCGCTCAGTATCGGTCAAGGCGGTGATTGGGTTGTTTGGCGACACCACCTCTCCCCTCTTCAGCCTCTTCTGGGCCACCATTTCCACGAGTCTCTGCACCGCATGAGAGAGTGGGTTGCACCAGCCCATATCACTCTTGCGGAGCCTGCCATCACCGGCAGCGGCGATAACATCACCGGTCTCCGGGTCGACGACCACACCACCGCACGCGTAACCGACTCCAGCCTCTCCAACCTCCTGGGCAACCTTGCGGGCCAACGCCATGTACTCGTCCGCGCGGGTCAACTTGACAACCGTGTTCTCGACTAGGGCCGGATGGGGACCGAACGGATTTCCCCTCTTGTAAACGGTAGGCCAGTACTTCTTGCTCCAATCAGTGCACTGCTCCGGAGAAGTCGGCAAGTTGGCGGGGACCGTGATCACGGAAACGACAGGCTTCGGGGTAATCGGACGGCCGTGCTTGCGCTGGAATGGCGACGTCTTCGCAACGATTTCGACGATCTGCTGGATAGAAGCCTTGTCGGTCTGGCAGATGAGGATGTAGAGCAGCGACTGCTCGGGCGGGAATCCCGGCGGCGGCAAATTTGCAGCCACATTGGGGGGCAGGTAGGCGGGCTTCGAGAGGCGGCGGAGGTGCTGAAGCTCATTGCCCGGAATGATTTCGCGAAGGGCGAGAAGGACTTCGTTCGCCGTCTTGGAGGGAATGGGGAGGATGTAGCAATTGACTGCCGTTGCGACGAGTTAGCTTCGTACTAAACACTGTCGATGTGCACCATCAGAGGAATATTCGTGTGTAACGCACTCGTCTGGAGGCCGGAGCGGATTTCGGCGCGCGTCTTGAGAGCGACCAGAACTCCTCTCGGGGGCGAAGGAGGCATTTTGCGGGCGGCTGCTCTGGTCTTTTTGTGAGGAAAGCCCGGCGGCAGGGCTGGCTCGATGTAGCGCTTGACGGTGCTGGACGGCATTGCAACGGTGGGGGTAGGGGCTAGCAGTGGGGGTGGCTGTTAGTGCTGTGGCTGTGGGGTGCAACGGGAGCTAGCGAATGAGAGTGGGTGCAACGACGACAGAAGCTGTAATGAATGATTGTCAATCTAGAAAAGGCGAGGGTGAGCTATTGGAGACATGCGGTAACAGTAGGAGTTAATGCTTACCGACGGGCTGAAAGCAGAGGATTGAGTCTATGAGGAGGTATTCAGCTTGTTGTTGCTGCTACTGCTCTTCAAGCTCAATGCCGACTCTGCTCAGCTCTGCACGAAGGCGGATGAAGTTGTTGGTGCTACTGGGGTAAGAAATGGGTGCGAACGGGGAAAGGAGTGGTTTTGTGGATGTAGAGGGTGAAAGAAAGGAAAGAAGAAAGGCGGCCCCTCAAGTAAGGGAGGGGGTCGGTGAGAAAGTGTGAAGGTGCGAAGGTGCGAAGGCGCGGGAGTGGAGAAGGTCAAAGAAAGGGAGCAAGATAGGTCAAAGAGAAGAAACGGGAAGAGTGGAGCGTGCGGCGTGGAGTGTGGAGCTGGTTTTTCTGCCAACTCACTCGGCACAATGATTTTACATAGAAAGAAAGAGGTCAAACCCCCAACCCCAAGCCACCAGAAACAGACACAATCGCAAAAGACGGGCGACCACATTTCCCGTTTGAGGCTCCTGCCGGGTTAGAGCAATGCACAATGCTGAAAACAGGTCTCAGGGAGAGCAAACACCGCAGAGTAAACATTGATTCGTCCGAACCACACTCCAGTTCGACCCAAGCTATCCCAAATCAACGCTGTAACTCCAGCTGCCATGACAACCCCCACCCCTCTATTCTCAAAGTCTCTCGGCGAACCCAGACGTCTCCAGATCAGCCGCATCAACATCCGGTGGCGGTGCATCGTCTTCATACTGCTCCTTTCGGTCTCCTCCCAGCTTTTCCAATAGCTTTCCAAATGCTTTTGGATTCTTCTTGGGCCCCGCGGTAGTCTTGAACTGATATCCTCTTAATCTATTTTTCCATTAGCATTCCTCTGATCATCGCAGCCGTGCATGGGAACGTGAAGAACATGCCTCGGCCCACCGCCCGTCTGCTTCGGCATCTCGTTCTCGTACGCCATAGCAAACATCCGACAATCCTCCTCGAACGTGCCATCTGCAATACTCTTCCGGACAGCATCGAAGAACAATTCCGTCACGTGGATATTATGAAGCTGCAACAGCACCCACGCCGTCATCTCCTTCGCCGCGAGTAGATGACACACGTACGCCCTATGATGCCGCCTGCAAGCATAGCAATTGCACCCCTCTACCAACGGCTTTGTATCCGTCTTCATCTCCTCTGATCCAGCCCACATATCTCTCGCCAGCGGCTTCCTCTTCCCCTCCTCGCCGCCTTCCACCTTCCCGGGAAACTCAAACTCGAGCGAAAAACCCGCATCCGTGGCCTCGGTCGGAAATACAAGCGAGAATAAATCGACGCCCCTTGCAATTGCCTGTAAGAGGATATGCGGCGTCGCCGGATCATCCATCGCAAATCTCGGCAAGCCCTCAAGCTCGCTGGGCATATCCGGTACGAGAGTCGAGTTGTAGAAAGCTAGGCCAGCAAGACGAGTGCTCATCTCCTCGGCGATGGATTGAATATAAAGCCGCTGCTGCTCGATCTCGATCGGGAGAATCGGCGCAAATATCGGTGTCCTACTACCCTCTGTTATGCGCAGTAGGGTCTCGAGCCAGAGCTCGGTGCGGTCTACCATCTTCGGCATGCGGTTCTTCCCCGCCTTCTTTGCAGGTATGTCTGCCAGTCCAATTACAGCATCTGGCTGGAGATGTGACAGGCAAGAGATGTAATCGTTGACTTCCAGCTCGCGGAAGCCAACGGATGTGAGCATCGATATCGAGTGGTCGGTATTCGTAGCTGGTGCCGGAACCGGCGGACATCTTCTTGCAGCCAGGAACAACAGTGAGGAAGATGGCTGACCCGTGAAAGCGCGCAGCGGACCGGGGAACTGAAACGCGGGAGATCCAGGAATGCCCTTCTCGATAACTGCTCTCGGGCACTCACTCGTCAGACCGACCACCCAAACATTGCTATGGAATAGGAAGGAAACACACAATCCTCCAGCGCAGCATAAACCCCCCTAATATCCGTATGATCCCTCAAATTATCGTGCGAAAGATGCGGCACCACGCCGCGCGACGTTGGCGCAAGAAACGCCGGCGTATCGATCTGCACATTCCTCGCTACCAGTCTTCCCAGGCGCGCGCCGTGGGCTGTGGCCGTGGCCGTGGCTGTACTCGGAAGCAGGCGGAACGAAAACATCTCCGAATTGGCAAGCTCGTATTCTGGCGGCGGTGCGGAGGATTCTGCTTCCATCATCAATTTTTGCAGAAGCGTTCCGTTCCGGGCAGGGCAGGGCGTGTGGCGGATCACTCGAAACGCGGGGCAGCAGCACTAGCTAACTAACTAGCTTAGCGCAGCAGGTGAGAGCTCGACTAACTAACTAACGACCGGGTAAACGGCGCATCTGGTCGAACGTCCGCGATCCCCGTCACCCGTCTGTCTTGCCCGCCAACTATATACACCACCAATCCACGAAGCTCCGGCCGGCATCACCACACCGTCCCCCGCGTCCCCCCGTCTCCCAACCTACCATCAAACACAGAAAACCCCGCCAAAATGGCAATCCTTGGCTGGGCCGCCTTCGGTACATACCTCCCCCCCAGTCTTGTGTCCATCCACACCCCCGCCTAACGAACCTACGAACAGGTGCCGCCGTCCGCATGTGGCAGCTCGGAATCGAGATGCGCCCGCTCGTGCACAAGAGCACGGCAATCGGCTATCCGATCTTTGCCAGCATCGGCGGCGCATTCGGCTACTACCTTGAGGGTGTCGAGGATCGGCAGAAGAAGCTGCTCGAGGACCGGAAGGCCAGGCTGCTGGCGAAGCGGGCACGACATGCTGGACGGGACGAGACGGAGGCTGGGGCTGGGACTGGCGATAAGGTTCTTGCGTTTTAAGTGCGATTGTTGTTGGGAAGAGGGGTGGTTACATATGATATGCTCTTGCTTTTCGGGCTTTCGTCAATTGCACAGGGCGGTAGGGAATGAATGGCTAGAAAGGACAGACAGAACCTCGTATTTTGCTCCGAAATATCAAGGTCTACAAACTACTCGCGACTTCTCCACAATCATCTGGTATCCTTCGCTCTTGCTGTGCAGGCAAAACAATAACACAGGTATCAAAATTACATCGCAAACAACACAACCCGCTGAGCCACTGCCCCGTCTAAAACTCAATCCTCCAATCCTGGGTGATGGGAGCCCTGGGATCTCTAACGGTCGCCACATTGGCCTTCCCGTCTTTGCCCTTGATGACGGCGACATCCGCCTCCCAAGTCTTGCCATCCACCTCGACCGTGACATTCTTCTTTGCCAGCCATTCATCGCTGACACCAACGATCATAACCTTCTCTACGCGGACATCCTTCATGGTGGTCTCAAAAGCCGCAGCCTTGGATGGGTCAAGGTGGAGATTGCCGCATGCCAGAGACTGCCCGTTGAAGATGAAGGAGCGGTGGATATACGCACCGTCCCTGTCCGCAAACGTCTCGCCGTCATCGATGTAGAGAACACCACCGGCAACACCCTGTTCAGCTTGTTAGCAAGATTCTAGGTATACATAACAAATCAAGCTTACCTGGAGATTGAGGTTGATCACGAGCGTGTAAGGATCGAATTTCATCAGGCTAGAGCTCCGCCTGTGCCTATCCTTCCTTGGGATGATGTGTCCACCCCTCATCAAGAGCGGGATAGTATCCAACGGCGCAGGGACAGTCTTGTAGCCTTTGCCCTGGTACAGGGTTTGGTTGAAGTAATCATAGTACGGCTCATTGTCGGGAAGGTAAATGTCAACCGACTGGGCACCCTCATTGACAACGGGCTTTACGAGAAGCCCCGAGTCACCGAGGAATAGCTGGTCGTCGATTGCGAAACCAGCTTCGTCATCAGGGAACATGACGAAGTGGGGGCGGACGACTGGCATTCCTTCGAAACTGGCACGGTGGAATGCAGTGTACCAAACCGGCAGAAGAGAGTACCTCAGCTGGATGGCCGAGCGGACAATGGAGCGGTAGGGCTCGTCCATGAGGTAGGGCTCCCTGCGCTTGGCGTCGATGTGGGCGTGGCCACGGAAGAATGGGTAGAATGCCCCGGACTGGTACCACCTGGTGAACAGCTCCTTTGAGGGGTTGCCGAAGAAGCCACCAACATCCGCTCCAGCGAAAGGCATGCCGGCGATACCCTGGTTCAGAATCATGGGGAAGGCTTGCGCAAGGTGGCTCCAGTCGGCCAAGTTGTCACCGGTCCACATGGCAGCACTCCTCTGGCTTCCGGCGAAGAAACTGCGAGTCAGGACGAAAGGTCTCTTCTCGTTCCCCTTGCCCTCCCGCTCGACCATTCCCTCATAGGTAGCATTATGGTAGCGCAGTCCGTAAAGATTGTGGACATCGCGGTGCTCCCAGTTCTCGTGGTGGAGGTTGTCCTTGGGCATGGTGGTTTCTGGTCCGTTGAAAACGGAAGGCTCGTTCATGTCGTTCCAGATGTGCATGTTCTTGGTCGCATAAGGGAACACCTTGAGGTTGAAAAGATTCTTCCACCACTTGACAGCTGCCGGGTTGAAGCCATCGATCCAGTGGGAAGATCCAGGCCAACACCATCCATCGTAGGATTTGTCGCCGTTCTTGTCTTTTACAGCCAATCCCTGTTCGTCCATCTGCTTGCTGACCTCGTACCCCTTCTCATTCTTGATATGAGGATCGATGATGGCGACAAGCTTTCGTTCCCTCTTGGCCAACTGGTCCTGCATCGAAACGGGGTCGCTGAAGGTCAAGGGATCCCAAGTGAAGTACTTCTTGCCGTCGGTGTATTCGATATCCAGCCAGATGACATCATAGGGAATATCAAACTTGTCAAACTTCCGATCCACGTCCTTAACATCGTCTTGCGAGACATAATTCCATCTACACTGGTGGTAGGCAAGGGAGAAGACAGGTGGAAGAGTAGTGTATCCGGTGAGTGCACCGTACTGCTCGTACAAGTATCCAGCAGTTGGGCCTGGCAAAACGAACACATCAAGAAGGCCACCCTCGGAAAACCAATGAGTGTGGGTACTGCGTTTCTCGGTAGACAGGGCTTTGGGATTCGGGTGGCTCTTGGTGATATCGATCCAAGTTTCGGCAGCGTTGAGCCAGAATACTCCGACGGTAGAGCCCTTCTTCTGCGCCTGCATGAACGGAATGGATCCGTAGAGGGTCATCGGCGAATTGGTCTCGTACTCGAAGACGTCTGCATTGTACAGCCGGTATGGTTCATCATAGTTGCCTTCGCCGCCACGGGTCTCCTTGAGAGCAAGACTAGAGGCGTGCTCGGGAATGCCGTACACGTGCTCGTAACCAGGGAAGGTAATATCCAACCCGACGGACTCGGGACCTGCACATAGGTCAATACGCGGCGATACAGCGAACGGGAACGTGTTACCAACCTCGGGGCTTAGAGTCGGTGTTGCCACCGAAGGTCTCATCCCACCAGGTGCTGTCGTCCTCCCCATTCTCTCCTTCCACCTTCTCCCTCTGGGGCCTCCAGTGCTCAACATTCATGAGGTTACGCCCATTGAGCACAATATAAGGTTCGCCGTTCCTCAGGAAAGTAAGCTTGAACGGCTTATGCTCGATAATTGCCCGAAAATCGCCAAAACCGTAGGTAACCGTACTCTCCGTTCCCTTCGTATCGAGCTCGGCCTTGGCAAATACATTCTTCCCGCCGACCAGCACCCACTTCTCAGCCTCATTGTAACGTTCTTTCCTCGCCTTACTCCCACCCCGCAGCTCAATCTCCCCTTTCTGACGCTTCGCTTCATCGACCGAGACTCGTGCAACGCCGTCTTCCAAGAACGAGATAGTAAGCGGCAATTCGACCTTCCCACCATCCTTCTCGCCCACAGATTTCCACAGTTTTCCCGTCAACACGCCATCTGCGAGTTTGACACTATCCGCCTCGAGCTCGTATGGCGATGCCCACGACGGGCCCGCGGCCGACGCTTCGTCTGCGAGAGCGCGGTTTCTCTGGCAGAATCCTGATTGTAAACACGTCTTGAAGTCGCCATGCTTAACTGCGGTCGTGAGTTCGAGGACCGAGAGTAGCAGCACTAGAAGGGTGGCCTGCCGCCGCATCGGAGCTGTAGAATGTCCCAGGCTTTTCAGGGTTTCCTGAGACGATAAGAAGTTGAGAGGGCCGAGACAACTGAGGTAATGGTAATCGGGCTGCTTCGGAGTTGGGGAAGCTCGAGTTCGTCGGTAGAATTGGGATATCAAAAAGAAGTTCAGCCGTGGTGTTTGGCCGGCCGAAGAATGTACCTGAATGAATAGCTCTCTCTTGCAGCAAGGTGTTCAAATGTTCCCTCGATAGCTTTCGGCTTAGCCGCCATGCTGTACGCCGCTAACCGCAAAAAATCAGAACCCCTGCAGATGGCCGATGCTGACTTCAGAGTTAAGGTTGCTTACCCGGAGAAGCTGAGCTGAGCTATGCTGTGTCTGGAGGTGGGGTTCATCCGCCACTTTTGTTGCTTCTTTCCCAGATTGATAAGCCATCCATTTCTTACCTATGATGTGATTGTGTAAAACTCGCGACACTCCTCAATCTCCATAATCAAACTCCTTCAAACACCAATATACGAGAAACGAAACCCGACTTCTTCAAAATGTCCATGGATAGTGTGAAGCACGTAATACTGGTGCGTTCACTCCACTCACTCGCCCCCGAGTTATACTACGTATAGTGGCTCACACCTTTCAGGTTCTCTCCGGCAAAGGCGGCGTTGGAAAATCCTCAGTAACCGTTCAACTCGCTCTCTCCCTCGCACGTGCCGGCCATAAAGTCGGAGTTCTCGATGTCGACCTGACGGGTCCCAACATCCCACGGATGTTCAACGTCGAGGGCGAAAAGGTCACGCAGGGAGCGCACGGATGGGTCCCGGTTCCTGTGGGCGGGAAGGCTGAGGAGGGGAAAGGCTCGATATGCTGTATGAGTCTGGGGTTCCTACTGCGTGATCGTGGTGATAGTGTTGTCTGGAGGGGTCCCAAAAAGACGGCCATGGTTAGGCAGTTTATGACGGATGTCATTTGGGGGGAGCTGGACTATCTTCTGATTGATACGCCGCCGGGTATATTCCATCCAGAAAGAGTGAAAGAGGAGCTGGTACTAACAGGTAGGAAGGCACGAGCGATGAACACATTTCCCTAGCGGAGCAAATGCGCACCGTAAATCCCGACGGTGCTGTTATCGTCACTACGCCCCAAGCCGTTGCCACCGCGGACGTACGCAAGGAGATCAATTTTTGCAAGAAAGTCGGTCTGGAAATCCTAGGTGTGGTCGAGAACATGAGTGGATTCGTATGCCCGCATTGCAGCGAGTGCACGAACGTGTTTTCGTCTGGAGGAGGAAAGACTATGGCGGAGCAGTTCTCGGTGGAGTTCTTTGGCGCCGTGCCGATTGACCCGTCATTCAACCTCATGATCGAAAGTCAGTCATCGGGAGAAGGGAGGAAGACGCCGCTGGTGGAGCAGTATGGAAAGTCAAAGTTGTGCCCGATATTCAAGGAAATCACGGATGGGCTTGTAGCGAAGGTCAACCCGTAGTTACAAAGATGGTGGCTTGATGTTAGACGGGCATGAGCTGGGGCGTACGGTGTTTGGAATTTGGATTGTCATGTTTACTATGTGGGGAAGTAGAGATACCTTTTCCATATGCGCATCATCTGGTGAATAGGTACATGCATGTGTACAATCGGGAGCGTGCAGCTCAGTCCGCTCGATGTAGCACAAGCTTCAATCCCCGCCATACTCCACCGACGTCATCCATCCCTCTTCCGAACCTTCATCCACCACGCTCTGCCATGCCGCCTACGCAAAACTTTCTCCAGTCCTTCCTCCATACCAGTCGCACCACCCTCGTCGCAGCGACCAAAACCACCAACATCCTCCCAATCGTAATTGGCAATGAATCCGCCGGTTAGCCAGCCATCTCCCCACCCTTCAGCATACCCACTAACCTTCCATGCAGACCTAGACTCGTTCGCTTCCTCCCTCCTCTACGCCTACCTCACACCTACCCGTCCGCAACCCATTCCTTTTCTCGCCATCCCCCGCGCCGACCTCTCCCTCCGTCCCGAATTCCTGCACCTCTTCCACGAACTCTCGCTGTCTCCTTCCGACATCCTCTGTGCGGACGACACTCCGAGCTTCCACTCGGTCCCTCCCTCGGCGCTCCACCTGCACCTCGTCGACCACAACGTCCCGACACTCCCGCTGCCCGGTTCACAAGTTGTGGGAATAATCGACCACCATGACGACGAGGGTCATTTCCCGTCGGCGTCACCGCGGGTGATCGAGAAGTGCGGATCCTGCTCCTCGCTCGTGATCCGCACGTTCCTCGCACAATCCCAACTCCGCAAAGCCGATGAACAATCGCAGATCGCGCGCTTGGCCCTCGCAGCTGTACTCATCGATACAACCGACATGACGCAGAAGGTTACGGAGATCGATGAGGCGGTGGTGCAGACGCTGCTGGGAATGCTGCCAAAGGACTGGGACAGGAAGGCATTTTATCAGGGCGTGTCGCAGGCGAAGAAGGATGTCGGGAGCCTGCCGCTGAGGGATCTGCTCAGGAAGGACTATAAGGAGTGGGCTGAAGCGAACGTGTGCAAGATCGGCATCGCGAGCGTCGTAATGGGCCTAAAATGGATGTGCTCCCGCGAGGAGAACAATACTGTGTTCATGAACTGTCTCAAGTCCTATGCCGGCGAGAAAGGACTGGATGTACTGGGCGTTATGACTACAGATGGGGAGGGCGATGAGTTCCACAGGGAGCTGCTGCTGTGGGGAATGAGTGATGTGGGGAAGGAATGTGTGCAGCGGTTTGAGAACGGCGCAGATGACGCGGGGTTGAGTTTAGGGAAGTGGGGGGATGGAGAATTGGATTTGGTGCCAGAGCGCAAGGCATGGACGCAAGGGAATCTGGCTATGAGTCGGAAGCAGGTTGCCCCGTTCCTCAGGGAGTGTGCCAGAGGGAGGAATGATACCAACAAAGCGAGAGCCAAGGTTTAAGGCAGTAGACCAAGTAGAAATTTGAAGATGAGCCTTGGGCAATCACACGAGATCACCTGAAGAAGTTCGGCTCATGTGACCCTGTGCCGGTATTAGTGAACACTCGTATATGGAACCGCGGTCAATTGAGAGTCGCCCAAAAACCCATAGAGAAAGCTTAATGAAATCGATGCACGTAACTCACCAAAACTAGTACGTTCGACAAAGTACTCGCACATCTAGAGGACAGCAACGGAGAGAGAGAGAGAACATAAATTCCCAAATCTAACACGGCTGAGTGCAATATGAAACAAGAAAATGGAAACAAACCTCCGGAGTGTATTCATCGTTCAACACTACCAAGCATTAGACGCCTAGTAATCTATCATACAGGAATATCTTGTCTACAGTAGTATGAGTACATCCACCACACCTACGCCCACCAAATCTCCACCAAATACCAAAAGACAGACCGACAGACAGACAATTCACTCTCTTGGTGCAAATCAAATGAAGCAGAACAGAACAACGCAAACAAAACGGCAAACGTCATCGCATAAAGGGTTCAATGTTGTAAAAACTAACGCAAAGTAAAGAAAAAAAAGTCCCTTTAATCAACCGTCCCAGGAGCCAGCAGTCGGGCCTGCAGGTAACATTTGTCAGGCCATATGCCGCCGAGATCGAAGGTGTTGGTGGAGAGATTAATGTATGGTATGCAAAAACCACCATCCGAAAGCAAGCCGAACGTGTAAGGGAAACAGGGAAACAACGCCGCGCTCAGTATCGAAGTAGTACACAGTTAAAAGAGGGCGGGCTTGCTGGGAGAGAGCCGGATCTCGTTGCCTGTCCAGTAAATCAGTATGGCGTCCTAAAAGCAAAAGTACGTCATGGATGGCAACTAACTCTTCCTGTTCAAAGCATTCTTCTCGTACGCCCATAGGTTGCTGGGAGTAACACTACTGTTACCGACAGTCTTGGGGCTGGCATTCCTGGGAGATCCCCACACAGGGCGTCCACCCATACGGAGGGGGCTGCCCATCGGCTTTGGGCTGGGCGAGTCCATTGAGAATGAGGAAATTCCAGACATTCCCAAGCTGGAGTTGCCAAAGGTGGAGTTACCCAAGGCGGAGTTACCCAAGGCGGAGTTGCCCAAGGAGGAGTTGCCAAAGCCCGAGTTACCCGGAGCCGCCTTGCGCGTCAACGTCGGCGATGTATTCGTGGGAATTGGCGTAGCATTGCGGGAGGTAGGAGTCTTGGAGTAACGAGGAGGCGTCGCAAATTTTTCGGGAGACGCGGCAGCGGCGCTGAGAGGCGTATCGGGATTGAGGCCCAACAGCTTACGTTGTCCAGGCGTCATCGAGATGTCGGTAAACTCATCGGCTGGCTTCAGCAGCTTCTTGAGCATAGCGTAGGTGTTCCAGAGAAAGAGGAGGCGCAACCCCCAGAAAGCGTAGGCGCCGTAGGTGAGCACAATCGCGGGGAAGATGGACGCCAACGAGGTCGCAGACTCACTACAATGGGTTAGTTACTGATTGAAAGCAATACACATTGTGGAGACAGGCGCACTTGGTGAGCAGGAATTTGGGAGCCACAAACGAAGCGACGAAAGCAGCCATGTTGTAGGTGACCACCATGAAGCTGGCATCGGTAAAGGTATTCTCGGCGATCCTTTTGGTGACCTTGTCTATTTCTGGGTGCCTCCAGGTACCAGTGGGGGTGATTGGCGTGGAGGGCGCCGAAGTGAATCTCGGTGTCGTTGGTGTTGTTGGAGCGCGTAAAGCCATGATGTTGTGCGAGGTGAAGTGTGTCTGTGTGGCAGCAGGTGAGAAAGCGAGAAGTAGTAGTGGCAGTAAGTGTTGTGAGAGGAAACGGAGTAAGTGAGCTGGATGGAGCTGAGGTGTGAAGTGTGTGTTGGTGTAGAGTCGTGTGGGAGGTTCGTGACAAGGAGGGAATTTGTTTGGGTGGGAACCCTGTCGGACTTTGTCTTGGCTCTTGGAAGCGTGACCAGAACGATGCTTATCATTATTCTTTGCCGATGCTCACTAGCCTGTGCTCACTAGCCGCCCCCCCCCCACCGCACTGCGCTCAACATCCCGCTTAACGGGCGAATGCCTGCGACCTTAGACGCCGGTTAATTGCCTAGGGATCTTCTTGATTAGCAAAGGCGATGAGGTAGGTGGCAGAAGGTGGTCACTAGGTGGCAGAAGGTGGTCACTAGGTGGCAGAAGGTGGTAGGCGGTGAGGCCACCGCAACTTCGAGCAGATTCACCACCATAGAAGAAGAGGGATCTCAGCTTTCTTCTCTTTGCAGAATCAACAACCCCACCGACAAAATAAACTCCACAATCATGATCGATGGATTTGAGCTCGCGCTCGAATTCAATGTCGTCTCCTACACTCTAATCGCCCTTCTCGTTGGCATCCTCGTGCTTCCCGTCGTGCTCGCGAAGGATCCAGATATCCACCCTTACGCACTCTACCGTCAATCCACGGTCGCTCCGTCCGTACCTTTCGCTCTTCTTTCTAATTGGAGATTGTTCTAATTGCTTCGTTCAGTGTCCGAAACCCCAAGGAGTCCGCCATCCACCGTTCTCTGCACACTCCTCTCGGCTACCCTCTCGTCTCGGGTCTTGGACTTCCAAGCGCGCAGAAGTACTCGACGCGTAGCGGTGATATTCGCGACATCTGGAAGCTTGCGATCGAGAAGGGCAATGGGAAACTGCTGTCGGTCAAAGGTAGCACTATCGAGGAGCATGACATCAGTGAGCCCCCCGCGCTACTCCCCGCTAAATGTCTCAGAACTAACGTCAGGCCCAAGATGATCTCACGAAGGAAATACACTCACTCGGTTTATACCTGTCGCAAATCGGAGCGAAGAGGGTCGCGGTCCATCTTCCCAATGACACCGAGAATCTTGTTGCTACTTTTGGTATGTAATGGGATATCCCAGTCTCGTCTGAGCACAGTGTTGACCTGGCATGTCAGCTTGTGCGTTCTACAATATCCCCCTCGTCATTCTTCCGTTCGAACCGCAGCCAAAGGATGCCCCGAAAATCAGTGAACTTTTGCAACGCGCCTCGCCGGATGTCTTGATCGCGCAGGGTGGACAACTGCCACTTGAGGAGTTTAAGGGAACTGGCCTTAAGCAAGTTATCTTGGTCGTCGAGAAGGCGTCTCAGCATCTTGGGTGGGGCGGACCCATGGGCGAAATCAAATGTGTTCAGTACGACGAGGTGGTGGCTAAGGCTGCCGTGCCCATTGATGACCTTAAGCTCGATCTCGACGCGCCTGCGGTTATCATCTTTGGTCCCAAGATTGCCGGAAAGATTGATATGGTTGAGTTCAGCCACAGGGTAAGTTCGATGTCCATTCTAGACATGACACCAACGCTGATATGGTTGCTAGAATATCATTGCCGGCGTCGCGTCCCAATCCGTTGTCCTCCCTAAGGCAGAGAAGTATTCGCCAGAAGACGTTTTCCTTCCCGTCGACACGCTTTCGGACCTGTACACTCGCATTCACACCTATGTCGCCTTGTCTTCTGGATCCTTGGTGGCTCTAAACCCTATCGGTGGAAAGCACGCAAACGTCGAACTAGCATGCAAGGCCGTCAAGCCCACCATTATCTGCGTCTCACCAGAGGCTCTATTGGCCATCCAACGCAAAACTCGAGGCACCATGATGGAGATGTGGCACAACTTGATTCACTGGTTCCAACTACGCACGCTAAAAGACCAAGGCCGGATCCCCCAGGGTACCTTTTTCACCAGGCTCAATGACTACGAGCGTCCTCAAGTGGGCGGAAACCTTCGCCTGGTCTTTGTTGCCGAGGGCGGAGGCGATGTTGCATCACAAGCACTCAATTCCATGGATCTTTCCGATCTTCGGGTGTTCTTCAAATCGAAGGTTGTGTACGGTCTCAAGCACCACAGGGTAGCTGGCCCCGTGGCACAGTGCAACGTCTACGACTACCGCGTTCAATATCCCCTACGGTTGCCCAACAGGAGCAAACAAATCGAGAGATTCTGCGCGCATTTTGGACCCGTCACGCCCGGACTCGAGATCAAGCTGAAGGATGCCCAAGGCTACACGGCTGACGGCCCCGAAGGCCCCAAGGGAGAGGTGATTGTGTCCGGGCTGCCCGTGGCTGGTGCGAGGGAAGCAGCTTTGGGCTTTGTTGGTAAATGGGAGCCGGAAGGTGTGTTGAGTTATGCATAGGCGGTTAGCTTGTTTGTTTGTTTGAGGATCGACATTTCATTAACGAATTCGTGGTAGCCAGTATATCCTAGTGGCTACATTTTTTGTGTTAGACAGATGTCATCTTTCTTTTTACGTTCTCGATAAGTGGCTCGATGCTGGGTACTACATGCCAAAATGACTGCACGGATAAATACTTGAAGTTTGCCTCCCAGGCTTTGATCGTGAGCTGTTATAAACAATTCATGTACCTGCCTAAATCCTGGATTCAGGGCCAAGGGCTCAGGGCTGCCGTGAATCTGCCCATGCATTCGATCAGTCATTCGCAGCTGTCTGAGCTGCTGACTGGACCTCTAAGCGCTGGAGCATTTATCATCTGCGTGAGCAGGCATTCGGCTCCAAGCTCCAAGCTCAGCAGAAGAAGCAGTAGCAGCTCCCTCTTACTCTATGTTTGTGTCCCAAGTACCAAGTCGAAATCCCCTGCTGGGAAACGCAGAGGTCACGGTAGCCATCATTCGGGTAGGTACTCACTCTATTATCCAGAAGCTTTCTGCAGGTGACATGTGTGAAGCACTCTACGGATCCCATGGTCTGGATGTAGAATAAAATCAAAATCACGGCCATGGCAGAAGAAAGCATCATATCCCATTCAGGTATCCCGCTCCCAGCGTCGGTTCCGAGTAAAACAAATCTTTAATCTCAGCTCCGGCCATACGGGCAGTGGCTGGCTGACCAAATGAATGGATTAACCTGAGTGCCTATTCAACCCTCCAAGCTATCCTAACCAAGCCGCTCCCAGCCTCAAACACGCGGTCAAAAAACACAAATCGAGCTCCTGACCGCTTTTCCACTTTCCCCGCCTCATCACGATTGACACCCCGCTTTTCGTCGCGTTCCGACCTATCTAGGCCGTTGTGGACGAGAGCTGATTGTTTGGCCGCTTTCCCCACCCAATTGTTGCGGCTCTCTCCGTTGATAGCGTTTCTGGTTCTGGGACTCGCTCTCTCTCTTAGCTGCCTTTACCACGTCGATAAGTAGGGTGCGTTGGACGCTTTCAACTACTCTCCTCGACAAACCCCCCCTCCTAAAGAAAACCCACCTTACTCGTCTTCCCTCTGTCTTACCGATCCCCGATTCTCCTGGCCCTTTACCGCTTTGTCTAGAGATTTCATTCGCTCCCCGAAACGGCACACCCGCCCGCCCGAACTGCAATCTTGCTCACAAACGCGGACGCCCCAACCTGTCGAGACTATCCACTATCTCCTAAGCTTCGCTTTTGACTTCGATCAAAGCCCCAGAACAAAGTTGGAACACCAGGCTGGCCTTTGAACGGGCCTGGAACTTACAAAGTGCTCCATCTAGCTACTCACTTTAGCTCTCTACTCGCGACCGCTGTCCCCGGTCAAAGCTCGTGCAAACTCCCCAAGTCCTCACGCCTCAAGCAACCCCGACCGACCTTTACGTCTGGCTTCTTCCCGACTTTTTAGATCACACGGTTCTAGCGGTCGTCATAGCTGTGCTCCCACCTCTCGACTAAACACGGTCTAGAGGTGAGCGAGGTTCAAAAGCAGTAGCGTTGCCGACATCCCGCCACAGGCCGCCCTCCCCTCCCCCAAACATCGTCCTGGCAACCAGACGACCTCACGCCGACATCTCGTCCTCCAGTGAAAACGAGATTGAATCTCCGCCGACGCCACCTTTGCTGCTACACAGATCCCGAGGCTCCTCCGCGAACCCCACCATCGCCACCCCATCCCAATCCTCCTCAGAATCTCCGGGAAACAACAGGTATAAACGCAGACGGACCTCCGCTTATAGTGCAGGAGGACCATCTCCCGCCACGCCAGCTTTCGCAACGCCTAATCCCACTTCCTCCTCCAACATGAGACTTGAGAACAATGGAGTAACTTCCAACTCTCAGTCGTCAAATGCGCCCGGAGTTGCCAGTAACAATGGACTCGTCGGCAGCAATGGAGCACTCAAGCCGGCTGCATCGGAGATCCACAGCAATGGCTCTGCTGTGAGGAATGGGATGGCGGGAAAGCTGGACAGCGCGGGGATGGCGTGTAGGGCGGCTCCGATGCGGAGCGACTACTTTGGACACGACCGGGAGGAGGTCACCAGAATTTTGATTCAGGCGTTGGGGGATCTAGGCTACGCTAAGGCAGCGATCACGCTAGAAGACGAGAGCGAGTACACGCTGGAAAGTCCGTACGTATCGAGCTTCCGCCATGCTGTGCTCAAAGGAGACTGGAACAACGCGGAAAAGCTGCTGGAAGGGATGGAGATCCACCAGGATGCTGACACCAATGTGAGCTTCACGCGTTAGACGGGTGGGACGGACGAAACAATACCAGATAGCTAATCTTTTGCGAAGGCCCTACTGTTCTACCTTCGACAGCAAAAGTTTCTGGAGCTCTTGGAGATGAGAGATGTCTCGAATGCGTTATATGTATTACGCACCGAACTCACACCACTCGGCCACAGTAGCGAGAGGGTGCACTTCCTGTCGAGGTACGAGTCTCCGGTGGCTGGTTCGCGTCTTGTATCGGTGGGCTGACAGTGAAAACCTTCAGTTTAATGATGTGCTTAACAGCCGACGATGTCAAACAACAAGCGAACTGGGACGGTGCTCTTGGGATATCACGTCAACACCTCTTATCCGAACTGTCAAGTCCGTCGATCTACTGCTGCACCAAAGGGTCGCTTGTATAACTGGTTTCTAACGATCGTGCAGAGTTTATATCGCCGGCAATAATGATTCCTGAACACCGATTGGCATCATTATTGCAGCAGGTCAAGAAAACGCAGATAGCAAACTGCTTGTACCACAACACGTCGAACCCGCCGTCGCTATACTCAGATCACACCTGCGACCGGAATCAATTTCCGTTACTGACGATACAAACACTTTCCGATCACACGGACGAAGTTTACTGTGTCAAATTTTCGCATGATGGAACAAAAATGGCTTCGGCAAGCAAAGATAAGACTATCATCATCTGGGACGTCAAGGTATGAATAGTCAGTTGAAAAGGGTGTTGCTGGGATGGTTCTGACCGGTCTGCAGAGCTTTATGCCGCTGTGCGTTTTGGAGGGACACACCAAGGACGTGACATACGTAGAATGGTCGCCAGCCGACACTCGACTGGTCAGTTGTTCTCGAGACAAGACTGCAAGGCTGTGGGACATAACGGTATGATATTGAACTCTGATTAAAATCCCCGAAATGCGGAACATGTGTTGATCAGTGGTCTGGTGTTTAGGAAGGAATCTGCATCAAAACCATGTCGGAATTCACAGAACCCGTCTCTTCGGTAACATGGGCGCCTGATGGCCAAACATTCATCACGGGGGGCATGGACGAGTACATGATCTCATGGGATGCCCAAGGAGAGAGACTCTACCGAGCATCCGCGCCACGAACCTACGACCTTGAGATCACCGCCGATGGTTCGAAGATTGTTACAGTGTGTATCAATGACCAGCTACACGTGTACGACTTCCACAATTGGAAGAATCAGCGTAGCTACAGTTTAGGGAGTCGGCTCACTGGGCTCGAGACGACAAAGGACTCACGATATGCCATTGTGAATACGGCCGCACGAGAGGTCATACTGGTGGATCTGGAGAATGGCAGGGTGATACAGAGATATAGCGGACAGGTGCAGGATCAATGGGTCATTCGAGGCTGTCTAGGCGGCGCCAATGAGAATTTTGTGCTCTCGGGCAGCGAAGGTTAGTTTGATCGAATGCCCGTCGTATGAGGATCGGTACTGATGCGGACAGACTCCAATATCTACGTGTGGCATAAGCAGAACGGCCAGCTGGTGGAGAAGTTGGCGGGTCACACTGGCACAGTCAACTGTGTTGCATGGAATCCGTCCAATGCCCAGATGTTTGCCTCCGCGGGAGATGACCGGACGATACGGATGTAAGATTTGCCGTCTTATCTCCGAGTTGTCCCTTTTACTGACGAGCCAATCTAGATGGTCACGAGCAGCACGACCACAGACCAAAGGAAAGATGAAGAATATTATCGACACGTGGGCGTAGTGAACTACTCGCCATGTCGGACTATCGCCTTCACCGTACATAGTCTCGTTTCCATCCTGCATTTGCCGTTGGTTTTTTCCTTTCCTTAAATGCTTCTAATTCTCTGGAGAGAGAAAGGGGTTTGGGCTTCACTGGGAAGGTGGTTTTTTTGCTTGTGTTTTTATTTACTTTTGTTTCCTTTTACCTCTACTTTTCGATTGTTCTTGGACTAGTTATTTGTTGAGACGGAGTGCAGAGGGAATCGGGTTTGAGCTTTTGTTTTCGCTTGCTTACTTCTTACTGCGGCAGACAATTCTAACCATCTCGTGGGTTTTTTCATACTATTTTTCCGTTCTCTTCTCATTGGTACTGCTTACTTCTCGCAAGTGGTTTACGTGTGCGTAGATTTCATTTTCTTCGTCTCAATATGGGATTACTAGCCGGAGAGGCAGTGGATGGAGGGAAATCGGATAGGTAGCATATAATTTACGGCGATTGTCCGTCAGTTCATGAGCTCTCACCCACGCATGGCGACATGGCGGCATGGGCCCCATAATTTATGCTATCTATCTGCACCTTTATGTCATTACCCGGAAACCTCCGGCCAGTTGCGGGGCAGAAACCTTTGTACTCTACATGGAGTACGGTAGATAGAACACTTTACTTCCGAGCAAAGGTCTAAAATGCCCTCACATACACTAGAAAGATGGAACGCATGATATCTACCCTCGGTGATGCCAAATGGCCTCGTCAGTGCCATACCCACCTCACCACCAACTGTATCTAACGCGTCAACGCAAAACGGCAATAGTCATAAATGTTATTGGCTCGCCATGAGTGCACTCATTTACTTTGCTATTGGAATTGATTGACTCACCACTGAATACTAGCTTAAAAGTCAATAAGTTATTTATCGATAGACTACATAAAAAAGGAAATAGAAAAAGCGCTTACTTTTGATCTCTTTCTTTCTGTCGAGCCCTTGCTGCAGGGCTGGCTGACCGTGCATGCTTGCCTTTTATGAGATGTCCTAGCTTACATATAAAACGCTCTCTTCCCCCCACTACTCCACCTCGTCTATCGTCACTAGGTACTGGAACACAAGCACATTACAAACCATGGGACATCTTGTTACTGTCGCCACATGGTATATATACTTTTCCATGTTATGTTATGTATGTGTGTAGGGCGCTGATGAACAAACGGGTAGTTCGTTGAACCAATGGGCCCTCGACTTCGAAGGAAATGCAGACCGTATCATCGAGAGCATTCGTATCGCGAAGCAGCGGGGCGCGAAACTGAGAGTGGGGCCTGAGCTGGAGATCACGTATGCCCCGCCCCTCTCGAGCTGATATTACGTGGGGAGCATCGGTGGGCTGATGAAGGATGCGGGCAGAGGTTATGGATGCCTTGACCACTTTCTTGAGGGTTCGTGAGTCAGAGAGGGGAAGGCGGGAAGTGGGAGAGGAAAATGTGCTGATGGTGGATACTGCACAGGTGATACTTACCTCCACTCGTGGGAGATGCTCGGGCGTATCCTGACGCATGAGGACTGTCAGGACATTCTGCTGGACATCGGGATGTACGCACTGCTTCCCCACCCCTCGTCAATCTCCCGCGTCTCATTGGAATAGGCCAGTCCGCCACAAAGGCGTCCGCTACAATAGCCGTATAATCGCTCTGAACAAGCGGATCCTCTTGATCCGGCCCAAACTCTTCCTCGCCAACGACGGCAACTACCGGGAGATGCGCTACTTCACACCGTGGAACCGTCCGCGCTACGTCGAGCAGTTTCAAGAGTTCAACCTCCCGCCCGTGATGGCCGAGATCATTGGCGACTCTCTGCCGCCGATTGGAGACGCGGCGATTAGCGCGCTTGATACATGTATCGCGGCCGAAACCTGCGAAGAGCTGTTCACACCTCGTGCTCCGCATGTGGAGATGGCGCTGGACGGGATTGAGATCCTGACGAATTCCTCGGGCAGTCATCATGAGCTCAGGAAGCTTAACAAGCGGATCCAGCTGATGACCAATGCTACCGGCATTTGTGGCGGTGTCTACCTGTATGCCAACCAGCAGGGCTGCGATGGCGATAGGTTGTACTATGACGGCTGTGCGATGATCGGCGTGAACGGGAAGATCGTGGCCCAGGGATCGCAGTTTTCGCTGCAGGATGTGGAGGTTGTCACTGCGACTGTGGATCTAGAGGAGGTGAGGAGTTATCGCTACCAGCCTTCTAGGGGAATGCAAGCGATAGACACGAAGCCGTATCCCCGTGTCAAGGCGGAGATAAAGCTGGGTAAGGATGGGGAGAATGAGGATCTTGCTATCGGTCCCACGCCGGAGATCGAGGTGAGGTACCACAAGCCCGAGGAGGAGATAGCACTCGGCCCTGCGTGCTGGCTGTGGGACTACCTGCGGCGCTGCGGGGGTGTATCTGGGTACTTCCTTCCTCTCAGCGGCGGAATCGACAGCTGCGCTACAGCGACAATAGTCTATTCTATGTGCCGTCTTGTCGTAGCGGACTGCGCAGCCGGCGACGAAACTGTTCTCAGCGATGTCCGCCGGATCTGTGGTGAAGCACCAGACTCCACTTGGGTCCCCGCCACGCCGCAAGAGCTCGCCGGGCGGATCTTCCACACCTCCTTCATGGGCACCGAAAACAGCAGCGCCGAGACACGGGCCCGCGCAAAGGACCTTGCGGAAGTAATCGGCGCCTACCATGTAGACCTGAACATGGACTCGGTGGTCAGTGCGGTCCGCAGCCTGTTCAGCTTCGTCACCGGCAAGACCCCAGTGTTCCGGGTTCACGGCGGCTCAAAAACCGAGAACCTCGCGCTCCAGAATATCCAAGCACGCCTGCGAATGGTCCTTGCATACATGTTTGCGCAGCTGCTCCCCTGGGTCCGCGGGAACGCCGGCGGCCTGCTGGTCCTGGGTTCCGCAAACGTCGACGAGTCACTGCGCGGGTACCTGACCAAATACGACTGCTCCTCGGCGGACATCAACCCAATCGGCGGCATCTCCAAGACGGACCTAAAATCGTTCATCGCGTACGCGCGCGACGAGTTCCAGCTGCCGATCCTGCACGACTTCATCACCGCGGTGCCGACGGCCGAGCTCGAGCCCATCACGCAGAACTACGTGCAGAGCGACGAGGCCGATATGGGCTTCACGTACGACGAGCTCTCGATCTTCGGCAAGCTCCGGAAGAACCACAAACTGGGACCGTGGGGCGCGTTCGAAAAGTTGCTGCACGAGTGGAGCGGGAAAATGAGCCCCCGACAGATCGCGGATAAGACGAGGAACTTCTTTTGGTTCTATGCTATCAATAGACACAAGATGACGACTATCACCCCCGCGTACCATGCTGAGGCGTACTCGCCGGACGATAATAGGTACGCTCGTTCACATATATACCACCTCTCTTGCGCGGCCGATGCTAATACTAACAACGTCGGACAGGTTCGATCTGCGACCGTTCTTGTACCCCGCGTTCAGCTGGCCGTACAAGAAGATCGAGGCAGCTGTGGCGCGGATGGCGGCGGCGGCGGAGATTGCAGAGAGTGCGGAGGGCAAAGGGAAGACGGACGACGGTAAAAAGGATGTATAGCATTTGGGTCATGAGATGTCATTCATAGAAGCGAGTGATAGTTAAGTACTAAGTCATCGTACATACCACACGACCATCAACACGCGGCCATCGTGCAGAGCGACCGATCAGAGTAAAACTTACAGTGACACGTTTCCACTGAGATAGTTACCATCTGCTGGTGTTTCAACTTTCGGGGCTATAAGTAACTGGGGATATCTGTGCGCGCATCTGGCATGCATCTCCCCATTGCATCCCCGCCGCACCTGCGGCACCAACGCCCTGCTTGAATTTCAGACACGCTTTAGCATTCAAAAACCCGTATACAGGTACCTAGGCGGTCTTGAACTCTTGAGAAGTCATCTCCCGTCCTTGGTTACCGGTATAGTAGTGGTAGCCCCCCACCTCCACCCCCGTTCATCTACCATTTTCCCAGTGATTTTCCGCGGATGTACAATACACACAGTAGGTAGCAAAATGTGGAGTGCGATTAATGCCGAAGGTCTCCAGTAGTACTAACGCTGGGGTTTAAATCCAGCAGGCTTGGAGAATACGGATCTAATTTTGTATTTGATTTTTTTTTCTTGGTCAATTCTACGGTATCGAAATTTCGAAAGAGCATACGCAGTGTTGGATGATACGCACACTAGAAAGCTGGAAAGACTACTGCGGTTCTTCTGAATACCAAATGTTACGCACTTTTCGGAATACTGGAGACCTACCAGACCAGACAACTACCAGACACCTACCGTATACGGTATTCGCACAACAACGTAGTGCGGAGAAAACGCTGTCATGCTAATCACGTAGTTCCCAGACTGTATGATAGTAAACGTACCCCGACAATCGTCCTACGGAGGAAATGCCGTGCTGAGCTGAGCAGACTTCACCGTCCACTGACTCCGGTGTGGATACGGTATGCATAGAAATCCTGTAGTTTCACGAATACGTGCTGTGAGTAAGCGAGTAAGAGAGTAAGACGTGCTGTACGCAATGTTCAAGCAAACATTTGCGAAATTGTGTAATGCAGGAAGTACCGTAGGCCTATGGAATAAATACTGTATCTGTAAAGGAAACTACATACCTATGATACGAATTGAGTTGGCCACAGTACTCTAGAGCTGCCGAGTGACAGTCCCTGCGGAATTGAGCCCATATCAATCCATATCCACCCATATCAATCCATCTCAATCTATCTCCTCCCATATCCACCCATATCGATCCATATTAATCCATATCCACCGAAGGAGACTGCATGAAAAGCCTTTGCAGTGCCTGCACTATGTACCTACGTAAACTTTAAAGTGCCTTGTGTGGCGGTGTGAAGGAGGAGCTGTCAGCGAGAGGTGAAAGCGGAGGAGGAATTGTCGGCGAGACGAGGAAATTGCGAGAGGAGGAGGAGATGTCTGCGAGAGGAGGAGGAGCTATCAGCGACAGGATGAGCTATACATCAGTCACACACCCAAAACGAGTGATTACCCCACAGTATGTCTACACATTCCGGGCCCCATGGGCTTGGTCCAGACGGACGGACTATCGCGCATCTTATGTAAAAATCCATAGCGCGTATTGTAATCTGTGCCCTATTATCGTATACCGTACTTTAAGTTTATCCGCACCACTGCCACTTCAACCCCGAAAACCCGACGATAGCTCCAAAAGCCTCGTCCCGTCTCCTGCCCATGCGCGTCAACTCGACCGTTTCCTCCGTCTCCTCACCCATGCCCATCCCTTCCATCCCATCCACCCCGCCCTCCCCCGCCGGCGTGGGCAAAAACACCAATTTCAAACCCTCCGCGCCGACCAGCCTACTTCCCGCCCCATCGCTGACCTTCGCGATCTCAACCAGGTCCTTCCACTGTTTCTCCCAGTGGATCTGGCGCTTACCGTGGCCCTCGAAGCGCACGCCGTCGGGTGCGACAACCAAGTTCCCGCGCTGGCGCTTATGGTGGCACGAGTACATAGCGATGTTTTCCGCACCGTCGAGCGGCGAGGCGCCGAACGAGTGGGTGCTCCGAAACGATGCCTCGCTGCCGCGATCGCTGTCGCCCTCCTCCCCAACGCCCTCCCCCACGCCCTCGTCTTCCTCGTCAAGCTTCCGGTAGATGAGCCGCTCCCGGTTCGTTTGCGCCTCCAGCCGCAGCTCAGCAAACGCCCACTCGGCATGCGTTGGCACGCCCCAGAAGGCCCATTTCACGGGCGAAACGAGGTATCTATACTTCGGATAGTGGCTCGCGATTGGCCAAGCGCCGAAGAACAGTGCGCCTAAAGCGAAGAACACGAGGCGCACGCAGAGTTCTCTATCGCCGATAGCGGCGACGAGGAAAACGGAAAAGAAGAAGATCAGTGCGAGCATTGTTGCGCGAGGTGCGTGCCACTCCGTGAAATTATTGAATACTTCCAGCATGTTGGCCACATCGCTGAGTTGGAGCTGGGCCCAAGGGCCAAGATCCGATTCGAGCGCCGAAAGGACGGCGGAGGGCCCCGAGTGGCTGAGCATTTGGTTTAGTTTTTGGGCTGCTATGGTGCGGCCCTGCGCCTGGGCTGTGGCTCTGCGGAGGCTGGAAACGGTCGTCGGGATGAAGTAGTTCTTCAAGGTGCTGAGGATCATGTAGCCCAGCTAGTTTTTCTCTGATAAGTTGCAGGTCGTGATGGGATATGGAAGATACGTACAGCGAAGGAGACGATCTGCGAGTATTGCCACAGAATGCAGTAGAGGATGGCCCAGCGGGCGGTCTCGTACGGGTCTTTCCATCGATAGACATCGCGTACATGGATCAACCAGTGCTGCCAAGGTTGCGAGGCAATAAAGATGCGTTCGATGTGGCAGCGGAGACGGTCGACAGTCAGTGGCTCCGGAGGCTGGTTCCAGTCTTCAATGTATTGCGAGGTAACATCTTGGGTCATGTAGATAAGGTACTGTGATTCATCGTAACGGTTTTATCAGAATCATCGCCAAATCGCACACACACTCGCAGAAAGAAAGAAAACAAATTCAAAGCAAAAGATTGTTTTTCACTGAACATACGCAGCAGCAGCGGCAACGGGACTGTCGGACTCACCTGACCTAGCCACAAAAGGTAGTCCACCTGTTCAACGCCCAGCTCGTCCCTAACGACCTCTCCGTCTTTGTCTCTGATCAAGAACTCGCTCTTGTGCGGAAAATCCCTTCTCCGATGCGGCACCACATGGACTCTCTTGATATGCCTGCCCATGACCACGCCCATGCGCATATTCCGCATCTGGACCTCGAGATCCTCGATGGACTTGTCAGCCAGTACTGCGCCCTGGACATCATCGTAGTGCAGTGCAGATTCCTTGCGCTCATGCGCCTTGACGAAGGCCGAGTGTGCCGAGTGTGGCACGTGCGGAGTATTCAAGTCCGAGACCTGCTCGGCGATGGTTGAGGTCAATGCCTCCTTTATCGCTGTTCGCGGATGCGTCACGAACGAGGCAAGTTTTGTCTTGCGGCTGCCCTTGTGCGAGGAGGTGACCTCGTCGTCGTCATCCTCTGCTTCGTCGTCGCCCGCAGCCTCGTCGGGGTGCCGGCGGGGATGCACATTCCGCTTTATGGCCTCTTTGGTTTTGTTCTTGAGCCGTGCGAGCTTTTGGGTTGTCATGGGAGGGATCCCGGCCGTAAAGATGTTTTCGTGGTCTCTTGGATCGTCACTCGGGTGGGCCTCCTTCGGTGAAGTGGGGCCGTTGTCGGCCGCTGTGCATGACAGCGGAGGTGCGAACGACTCGTTAAGGACGGGAAAGGTGGGCGCCGCGACGATCGGTTGTCGCTCGCGATTGAGGTTGTCGTAGTGGCTTGGTGCAGCATCGCCGTCTGGCGATGACGAGGCCGGGGGTGTGAGCTGACCCCAGCCTGCTTCTGGGAGGGTGTCATCGGTTTTGTGGGTCCCCTGTGAGGGTACATCTGGTGGTGCGTTCATGACGTTTCGCCGCGCCCTCGCCGAGCGAATGTCAATCAATCTCGATTTGGCAAAGACAAGACAAGGGAGGGGATATTCGGAATGGAGAGCGGTGGAGTATTATGTGTCGTGGTTATGGGCAATAATGGAAAAAAGTAACTGGAGTGGAGCTCGATATCGATGGAACGTCTCTGGGGTGGAATAATACAAGACGTGGTATGCACCTATGGGCAGCGGCAATGAGGTCACTGCTGCAGGCAATCACAAGTGACGTAGCAAGGTTGACGTATCTGCTTCATTATCGATCGCTCGGCCTTCGAGTCAGCAGTCATGATGCATACCTCCATCCTCCGGGTCTGCCGGCCGCACTTTCACTGTCGAGCCTGCAAATACTATTTTATCCATTGCCTTCCTTTTTAGGCGAGCGTTAAAGGCGAAGTGTCTACCTTGGAAAGTCGCCTCCATCCGTGGCTAAGAAAGCTCCTGGACATTGGCAAAGATTGCGATGACAGTCCATTTTCTCGTTTCCTGGCGAGCTTCACTGCTTTAGCTACCACACAAGTTCTGGCGTCGCTCATTCTTTGGGTTACGATGTGGCTGAACAATAGCGGCGATAGCCGTTTGATTATCTCGATAGGTACCCGCAATACCAGCCTCAATCAAACTCGCTCCTCCGGGACTTAAACAGCCCTATCACGTTCCATCCATAACCTCCCTGCTGTTGTAGATCACCGTAATAGTTTAGCGATCTCTACGTCTCCGGCAAGTAGCTTGATTGGGTTCCGTAGTGTAGAATAAACGTAAATCCTACGTTTTGACTTGACTTGGCGACTCCTGCACAAGATGGGGCCTTCTAGCTCTGAGAAACTGTATCATATGTATCGATTATGGCGTAGTGGGATAAATATTATCGACATCGTGGCCGGCACGCCGCACCACCGCACCACCGCACCACCGCACCACCGCACCAAAGTAGCCAGTGTGTTCAGACCAAAGTTATCCTTGACCCTTATCAGAGTCGCCAACGTTCACGAGGTTATTCCATTTTCCTTTATGTTGACAATAGTTAGTCTCAAACTTCCTATAATTTCCGTCACTAGAAACCCCCACCGACTTACAATGTCAAAGTTATGCTGTTACTTCGAGGAAAACTCGGGAAAATCGAAGCATGTGTACAGCGGGTATGTAAGAGGAAAGGCGTGGAGTGGGAGCTCAAAGTAGTCGAAGTTTGCCAACGGGATTGCTCGTTCGGGAGTTGCCTAAGTAGACGTATCTAGGTGGTTAGCTGGAAGCCGTAGACGAGGACAGCAAACCCACTCAGGGATACCCGAGCAAACGGCTTGGTTGAACTGGGTGGTAGGAATAGCCAAGTTGAAGCAAACGAGGCTGGAGTACTCAACATTTGTAGGGAGCGGAATGCCAAGGAAAAAGACCTCGGCGGAGATGCGGGGATGTTGGGAAGTGGGGATGCGGGGATGCAAAGGACCAATAGCATGACGGGAGAAATATCTGAGATGTTCTTCACGAGACAGCTCACAGACTTCGTATCGTCATTTAGTCCTTCGGCCCATCCCATTCGTCCCATTCGTCCCAGCGCGGGGCGGATGTCCAGAAAAGCAGGTAGGACATCGATTAATGGTTGAAGCCAGCCATTCTTTCCCTGATACTTGGCACCCATCTGGGACAACGACTGCTACCTGTTCTATATACTCGTGAGGGTGAAATATGGCCCCGTGGTGGGAAGTGGAGGAAGCTGTACCGTAGTCGCCTGGAGCTTGTACCTATCTACCGAGGTAGTCTGAATCCACCACCAATACAGCCATTCTGAATATCACTGGCACTCAGACGTTTAGTCATGACTCTTGACTACCTACCGATGGAAGTGCTCGTGATTGAGAGTAGTTTGAGGATGGAGATGGTGGAGATGATGGAGATGGTGGAGATGGTGGAGATGGTGGGTGGGTAGTGCGGGGTGACTACTTCACCCCAACTTCAAGCACTCGAGTCTGGAGTAACCAGGCTGCGGCGAGCAGCAAGCGGACTCATCGCGATGGATGGATGGATTGGATGTCTACCCAGTTCCATGGATAAGCCATAGCCGTGGCCGTGGGAAAAGGCGACCGAGTGTGTGCTAGTTACCGATGGCTGAGATGGTGGAGTTGAGTGTTGGGTGTTGAGAGTTGGTTGTTGGTTGTTGAGTGCTGAGTGCTGAGTGCTGAGTCGTGGGAGGGGTCGTGAGAGGGGAAGGTGAGGGGCAGTTACCGTCGTTGTCGTCGTTGTCATCGTCGTGGACTCGTAGTGGGCATAAGCCCCACTCCCCACAGGAGGGGAACGATATCTATATGACCACCACCATTCCAAGAGCACCATTCCAAGAGCACCATTCCAAGAGCCCGGTACTATTATGCAAGCGGCCCATTCGGGAATCCAACGTTCCCCACCCAGCACATAGCTCGTCCTGTCCGTTTTGAGGCACGAAGAGAACGGCTTGCCAAGATCGGCCGCCTCGGATCTCTGTAGGATGTATGTGCCAGATGGTGAGCATGCGGCCAAGCACTGGACCCAGTGGAATACTGCTGATGCGGCGGGGCTCGCCAATCGCTAATGTTCCGCTTTTTGGATCACTACGGTACATACCAGCAGGTACCCCGCAGTCGGGACGGAAGAGTAAAGTCTGAGAACCTTGGGTATGGTCTCCCTGCGCTGGAATGTCAACGGCCACGCAGCACACTACTAGTAGGGTGGGCAGGTACACGGCTGAGCAAAAATGGCGGCGGAACACTGTTCCATTTGTTCCTTCGGCTTCTTCAGTGATCACTAGCGGCGGAGGATCATGAACCTCGCGTGATCAGCTATGATTCGGAATTCGAGTGAACGGCGGTAGTAACAGTGCCATGCCCGGCTCTAAGTACCGTACTCCAGAGTACGGTACCTACCGTACCGTATCCCACCGCTAGATAATTGAAATATCTGCTCAATGGCGGGCAAGGCGTCTATTTACCATGACAGTTTGGATGTTGCGTGTCAAAGGTAACGTCTGCAATTCGTGACACATCGACCATCGGTCCTTCACAGAAGATCAAGGGTCTACTAGGTATACTGGTGTCCGCTGCATGGGAGTGGAGTGGCAGAACTTCAAGTCTGGTTCAACTAGCCTTAAGCTTCTCCAGAGAACTTACCATGGTACAGGTAGAGAATAGATGCATACCTCCATCGAAGAGTGAATCCCGATGGAGTGACAAGGTATGAGCCTCAAAGGACAATTCCGTAACGAATGTTTTCATCCAAAGCCTCCCCGCAATAAACGTTATATGTACCGCTGCCTTGTACTGTACACCTCACCGGTAACTCGCTCCCCAAGGTTCGTCCTGAATTCTCGGGTGGAATTCCATCGAACCGGTCTTTGGTGTGGATGTGGTCACGAACGCAAAGCAGCAACCCTAACCCAGCAGCCACCCCATCCCACTGCTCCACATCACTTCGCTCCACTTCGCTCAACTCCCGCGGCGAATAATCATGCGAACGATGGATGTCAAAGGATTTTTCCCATTTTTCCATTTATCCGTTGTCGTTGTTCGGGGATCGGTATCACCATAATAATTCCATTCATGATTCTGTGGGGATATCATCATAGGATGTACCCGACCCCGGCTCCTCGCATTCCCATGTATGAAGGGCGATCCCTCATTGCCGTCACACCCAGGTCCCACGGATGCAGCAGCAAGCAACAAGCAACAAGCAACAAGGTGAGGATGCAAGCTCCGGATCGCGTCGTACGTGTTCTGGTTCTGAGTCCTGGCCGGCCTGGAAGCACAAGCACACAGGCATACAAGCACACAGGCATACAAGCACACAGGCACACAAGGGAAGGGAAGAGGGAGCGAGGGAGCGTCGTCGTCGACATCACTGCAGACCTTCGTCATGCCAAACTTCAAAGGAGGGAGAAGTGGTGGTGGTGGTGGTAGAGCACTCTATCGTACCTGCGCCCACCTGCCTCCTTCCCCCCGCCCCAGCCACCGCCTCTCGCGCCGGTGCTGGTGCTGGTGCTGGTGCTGGTGCTGGTGCTGGTGCTGGTGCTGGTGCTGGTGCTGGTACTGGTGCTGGCGCAGAAATCAAGGAAATGTCTCCACCACGTTTTTTTGCCACCAATCTCACTTTCTTTGGGAGGCTTTGTTCCTCCTCCTCCGAGCGAGGGGCAGCCGACCGACCCCCCCCCCCATGGCTCGCTGTTGGCCGGCCCCCTCTGCAGCAGATCGTCGCTGCTGTGCTGCGCGTACATACGGGGGAGGGGAGGGGGGGCGATTCATCATTCGACAGGTCTGCTCTGCTTCGACAGCGGCGACACGAACAGAACAGAACAGCGAAGCAGCCTGTGCCGATATCGATGCGCCCGATGCGATGCGAATTGTCATTTGCCCATGGCTGTCTGGCTTGGCGATTCGACTGCCCAGCCACTTCTCGCATTTCGCTGGAGGAGCGAATTGGTTGGCGTACGATACTTAAAGTAGAGTACACTGGGCACGTTCTGCGACGGATGCTGTCTCCATCCATCATCCATCCTGTGGCTCGCTCCATTCGCGGTTGGGTTAATTTGTGGCATTTTTTTCCTCGCTGTATGGTGTCTTTGCTTTTTCTTTCTGTGCGTGTGTGCGTCCACCACCGAACCACCTCCACCACCAAACCACCACCACCACCAAACCAACACACGCAGCCTGCCGGGATGGATGATGGATCCCTTCGGGCGGTCGTTCGTGCGTTCGTTCGTTACCAGCCGTCGAGACTCTACCTTGTTGCTCTAGATTGCTTGGGGATGAAGGAGATCTCATTGGTACGTCAGCCAAGCCAAGCCGGGGGTGCCAATCGGATTCCGCGAATCGGAGGATCGGGATGGCTGGCCCGAGGCCGAATTCGATCACCGAGCTGGCCGCTAGCTCCCACCCAGCACTCCCCCGGTGCATGATGCATCCATCTGGCTGGCTGGCTGCGATTGTAAGTTACCCAGATCGGAAGCGCGTTTCGGGCGTGTCTTGCAACAACTGCACAGACACGAAGGCCAGTCTGTGGGCGATGGCTGATGGCTGATGGGCGACGGGCGACGGGCGACGGGCGACGGGCCACCAGCTTGTGAAAACGCGAGGCGAGGCGAGACGACACCACCACCACCACCGCCGATAGAGTGCTTACTCTACTTTGCCAACATCTTGGGGGAGGACTCCGCTATGTCTCCCCGATGCCTCATGTGCTCCACTCTACACGGCACAACCGCAACCTGGAGTATGCATAGTACAGCTGCGGGAGACGGGGCAGCACGCGGAGGAGACGAGGGGGCCGGAAAGCAGTACCGTAATGAAATGAACTGCTTAGATAAGTGCCCACTTAGGTACCTGGCGATGCCCACGCCTCCACCACGAAAGTCCTTGATTCCCACCTTCTCGTCCACGCACGCCCGCGCTTGCCATGCTTTGCCACCAAGTTGCAACTGGCCGCAACCCGCCATGTATCTAGAGTTGAACAAGGACTCGCCCCAAGCAAGCAAAGCACGTCGTTGGTGTGTGCACTAGAGTACCTGTACACCGCGCTACCGTGCTCTACTCTACACTTGGCCAGGTACTGTAGATTGCCCAGGGATAGGTACCTCTAGAGCACTGCGGCTACTCTACTCTGGGTACATGCTCTAGAGTTCCAAAGCACCAGCAGGTATCCGATCTGCCCTAAATAATGCTCTACCGATACCTGGCCCGCGTTAGCCGCATCGGTCGTAACCTTGACCCCGCGTAGACGTCCAACGCCCAGCGATCATGAAATTCGTGTGTGTGTATGTGGATGTGTGGATGTACCTCAACACCACCGGTGCTGCACGGCATCTGTCCACTCCACCACCACTCACCCATCTCCGCCAACCAGCTCGCTGCACGCAATGTGCGAGAACCAGGGAAGGGGGCCATAATTCCAGTGGTCAGGTTCCAGCCACTTGCTGGTGCTGTGCTGTGCGGTTCCCGTGAAGAAGAAGGCGAGGTGAAGAGAAGAGAGAGTGCCCCAACCATCTCCGACCCACAAGTGGCCTAGACCTCGCAGCGGACGAGAGCTGGCAGATGGGAAAACAGACATGGCCATTGGTCCAGCCCGTTCAATTGCAAGGAACTGCTCTCTCTACTCTCTGCTCTAGCAGGGAGCAGGAAAAAAATAAGGAAAAAAAGGAAAAAACAAAGATTGCTCCGAAGAGCGATTCGTCGTCTGCTGCGGCCTGGGGGAAATAGGCGGGTCCTTGCAATTGGCCACTCCGGCCAACAAGCACCGTCATGTCACTCTTGCTCCCCCCCCCAAAACGTGTTTGTTTACACGCGTTCCCGGATAGGCATCGTGGGAATTGACTGGCCCCACCACCCGCCGATGTCCAATGGCCCTCCAGATTTCCCTGGCCTTCGTGTCTCCAAACCCAGGACTTTATAATCCAGACGCATTCCACCACTTCCTGCTCCCTTCCTTCCCTTTCTCCTCCCATCCAGCAGCAAGCCGAACATCTTCATCCTCCTCCTTAATTCACTCCCCTCCTCAATACCTTGCTCCACCTACCGCTCCTCCACAACATCCATCAAAATGAAGACCTCTATGATCATCGCTCTCGGCCTGGCCACTGCCGCCGTTGCCCAGAATGAATGCGCCGGATGTAACGACCTCTCTCAGCTGACGGTCTGCTCGGTCGCCTGGCGAGGAGCCATCATGGCGTACGTCCTTCCCGCACAATGTCCATCCATAACCACCCCACTAACGTCTCCTCCAGCTGCATGGCCGACCCTTGCAACGTCCCCTTCACCGAAGACCCCATCGCCGCCTGCGCCGCCGCCGCCCAGTCCTCCGCTGCCGCCGCCGCCTCGGCCTCCAGCGCCGCAGCTGCCGCCTCGTCCTCCGCCGCCGAGGCCCAAGCCTCGGCATCCGCCTCCGCCGCCGAGGCCGCCTCTTCCGCATCCGCCGCCGCCGCTGCCGCCTCCGCATCCGCCGAGTCCGTCGCCTCAGTTGCCGCCACCGCCGCCGTCGCCTCGGCCTCATCCATCGCCGAGCAGACCTCGGTCGTCGCCTCGGCCACCGAAGCCGCCGGCTCTGCCGTCGCTTCGGCCTCTGGCGCCATCGACTCCGCCGTCTCGGAAGCTACTGAGGCTGCCAGCTCTGCCGTCGCTTCCGCCTCCGACGCCGTCGACTCCGCCTCGTCCGCCATCGAGTCCCTCGCCTCCGGCGTCTCCTCTACCATCAGCTCCGTCACCTCGCGTCTCGCCGGCTCCGCTACCTCCACCTCCACCACCACTGCCACTTCCACCGCCGCCGCCGACTCCGCCGCTAACCGCCACGAGGTCGGTGGCATCGCCGCGTTCGTCATCGCTGCTGCCGGTTTTCTTGTCCTGTAAATTTAATCGATCCGACACATCATTCCCTTTGTAATATGTAAATGCTGGATGGAGCGGGGTTGGGGTTGCGGGTCTGGGGCCGATGGATGGTTTTTTTCTTTTCTTTCTGGGGGGATATCACTGCTTATGCTGTACACGAATTCGCATGTTGTTACGATTACACCTATAACTACGGTGGCGAGCCAGGGTGGGCACAATAATGAAGATGAAGAAGAAGTAATTAATTTACCGGGCTGTCTTTTTTATTCTCTGTGATGTGATGTGATGTGTTGCCATCGTTGAAGTCGTGCTTTTTCGCACCTAATCATCAAACTTTTGGCACTCAGCCATCCATCCATCCGCCCAAACATGGGGAAACTGTGGATGTGCGTGAGGAAGGGTGGGAGTACCTGCGCTGGCGGCGCCCCATACCCCAAACACGCACCCTGGCGTTTGCCAATCGAAGTGTCGTCCACAAAGGTGTGGACGCCACCCCATATGTGCGCTATCACGCAGAGAGAGACAAGTTGATAACTATTGACGCCACCACACCACCCACGACTACTACGACCACCACGACCACGACCACGACCACGACCAGCACCAGCACCACGACAATATGAAACAACAACAGCAGGCTGCAGTGTCTCGGGTGGTACGGGCTGGCCACGGTAGGGTGGTGTGGGGTGGGTTATTGATGTCACGGTCGCCCAAAAAGGGTGATGTGCAGTGTGCATGGCATGAGTCGGCCGCTTGGAAGTTGGGAGGTCGCATGCCTCATACTTTAGGTACTTGTCGACCTACTGGCCTATCTGCATAAGAAAAGAAGTATGTACATGTGTACATGTGTGCTTGCATACTTCGCCGTGGTCTCCGTAGTCGAGCACCCAAGCACCCCAGCACCCAAGCACCCAAGGGGTCAACCAGTCGCCATTCTCTCCCGTCCAATCCGCGAACAAGCACTGCTCCCACTGTATTGTACACTACAGTTCAGTTGGTACACATACGGTAGACCAGAACAGAGCAGAGTAGACCGGAACAGAGCAGAGCAGAACAGAGCAGAGTATAGAAGCCTATCCAGTATGTCCAGTATGTCCATATATCCATAGGTACAGAGGTACATTGGTACACAGCCAACCATCTCGTGACACGCCGTGATACGCCGTGATCCACTGTGACGTGCGCGCTCGATCACTCACTCGATCACTCAGGGCTTGCTGTACCAGAGCGAGTGATGATTTGTGTCTGTCCTGTTTGATGTCTGGTGTCTAGATCATGGCGGCTCGCTCGGTGAAATGGCTACTACCTGCTGTCTACCTGCTATTTACCATACTGTAAGAGTAGAGAGAGTAACGAGTAACATACCGCAGCTGGTACCGTATTCGGTATTCAGATTCAGTTTGGGCATGGGTTGGAATTGTGGTCTCCATAGCACCTAATTGAGGTCGTATGCGACAATGAATGGGATTCTCTCTCGCTATTCAAGCTTGGATTCAGACGAGGGTGTTGTGTAGTTCCAAGCTCTGGCTGGGATGGGCCTGGAAAAAACTAGTCACTCCGTCACTCCTCTACGCTGAGGTCGCGAGCACCAGGCATGGCAACACTCGTCACTTCCAATTCACCTTCCATCACTCGCATCCATGACTGTCTACCAATACTACCAACAATAGTATTCTCTCCCTCCGGTTCAAAATCTCCACAGAAGTTACATGGAAGTTACATAGAAGTTACAAGCCACATAAAAGTTACAAGCTCATCCTTGTAACGCCCTTGAGATTCATTTCCGGTTGTGCCCCATCGACTCGCACGGTGAGGTCCCCCTCGAGCTTCGCGTTAATTTCCAGGACTCCATCGTTCACACACAGCGCGCCCACGCTCTCTCCCTCGGAGTCGACCAGCTGCGTGGTCCTCCACTTCTCAACGGTGGGAGTGAACACTCTAATCTCCAGATCCTTCGTGTAATCGTACACCACCCGTTTCTCGCCAACTTTACCTAGGGGGAGGATCGTTCCCTCGCGCACATACAGCGGGATGCTATCGAACGCGTGCTTTTCGGTAACCCACTTCGGGCCGACCTCCGTGTGTCCCGTAAAGAACGCAGTCCACCTTCCGGCAGGGAGGTAGAGCGTCACCGTGCCCTTCTCGTTGAACACGGGGGCGACCAGCAGCGCGTCGCCGAGCATGTACTGCCTATCGAGGGACCAGGCCGTGGGGTCGTCTGGGAACTCGAGGAACATTGCGCGCAGGGAGACGGGCAGGCCGGATTCGGTCGAGGCCATCGAGTGCGCGTATAGGTACGGCATCAAGCGGCACTTCAGGTCCACGAATGTTCGTAGGACGTCGCTGGACTCGTCATCGATCGCCCAGGGGACGCGGTAGGAGTTCGAGCCGTGGAGACGTGAGTGTGAGCATAGCAGCCCGAAGGCCACCCACCGCTTGTACACGTCGTGCCGCGGCTTGCCCTCGAAGCCGCCGATGTCCACCGACCAGTACGCGAAGCCGGACAGGCCGAGGGAGAGACCGCCGCGGAGCGACTCGGCCATGGCCTCGTAGGTGGACTCGCAGTCGCCGCCCCACTGCAGCGGGAAGCGCTGTGTGCCGGCGGTGGCGGAGCGCGAGAACAGGACTGCCTGGTCGGCGCCGTAGCGCTTCTGCAGCGCGGTGTACACCAACTCGTTGTACATGAACGAGTAGAAGTTGTGCATCTTCGTCGGATCGACGGTTTTGTCGAACCACGCCACGTCCGTGTCCGGGATGCGCTCGCCGAAGTCCGTCTTGAGACAGTCCACGCCCACGTCGAAGAGGTACTCTAGCTTCGAAACGTACCACGCACACGCCGCCGGGTTGGTGAAATCCACCAGCCCCATACCGGCCTGCCAGAGGTCCCACTGCCATACGTCCCCGTTCGTGCGCTTCAGGAGGTAGCCCTTCTTCGCCGCCTCGGCGAACACCGGCGAGGCGTCGCCTAGATAAGGGTTGATCCACACGCAGAATTTGATGCCGGGGAATTTGGCTCGCAAGCGCGCCATCATCGCTTTGGGATCTGGGAAATGCTCCTCAGAGAAGACGAAGTCGCACCAGTGAAACTCCCGCAGCCAGAAACAGTCGTAATGGAATACGTGCACGGGGATCTCGCGCTCTTTCATGCCGTCCAGGAAACTTCCGACTGGCAAGAGTTAGCTGTGGGTACATACATCGGGGCATATGTGGAAGAGGAACGGACCAGTGGCTTCGTCGTAGTTCGTGGTGAACGAAGTTGATAGCCACAGCCCGTACGACCAACTGGGGACTTTGGCCGGCTTTCCGAGGAGGATCGAGTACTTCCTCAGGATCTCCTTCGGATTGGGACCGTAGATGATGTACCACTTGATTCTGCCGTCCATCAGCCACAATCCTGTGCGTTCCTAGGAGCACGCAACATACCTCTGTCCCTTGACGCTCGTCTGCAGCCTACAGGTCCTCTCACTTCCGATCTCCAGATCCGTCGGTTCCGGGTGATCGATGAAGATACCATAACCGGCACTCGAGATATAAAACGGAACATTCTTGTACGCCTGTTCGCTCGACGTTCCGCCGTCGGCATTGTACAGGGTGACCTGTTGTCCGACTTTATTGAACGGCGTGAACCTCTCTCCCAGCCCGTATATGCTCTCTCCGACGCCCAGATTGTGCTGTGTGAACATGTAGTGGTTGAACTTGGTCATGTCCCCTAGCTGCATGGGAGAGCCCGGGGGAGGATTGTAGGCGAAGCCGATGGACCGCGCACCGAGGGAGGTGATGGCCTCGTTGGTGGTGGCATCCCGGAACTGGATGTCGAAGGTGTGCGGCGCGCTGGAGACAGTGCAGGAGAGGTTTCCGACTGTCAGGGTGGTCCCCTCCGGTGAAGTGCTGGCCGCACTGGTGAGAGACGGTTTGCCGTCCGGGTACAGAGGATAGCTGGGACCCAGAACTCGGGCGCCTTTCCAATGGCGGGCGGTGATTGAGATTACATCGTCGAAGGCTGGCTCGATGTCCTATCGCACAGCGTTTAGCACCCCTCCGTCCTCCTCATAAACCGGAGATATAGCACTCACAATGGTAACCGTGGGCTGATTGAGCGTGCTACCACGGGCAAGGATCTGGCGTGTGGGGCAGAGCAGACTGAGAGCTCCATCGGGCCCTTGGTCGACTTTATGCACGTCCTCTGCGAACTCGACCCTGAAGTCCTCCCTGAAGAGCCACATGCCATCGCGGAACCGCATACTGATCGATCTTCTGGTTTAGTATTGTAGGTGTTCTGGTACGAAGAGCGCGCCGCACTGATGAGCTCCCATTCCCACCCAGCGGGATTGAGCTTCATTTATACCCCCCTCTGTTCAACTCCGTTTGCCTCGTCGTATGTACTGTGTACATCTCACCCGGTCCGTCCTCTCCCCCACGTTGCTTGCCCCGCAACACTCTATTCACTTCCCCCCACCGTCTGTGGGTATTTAGCCGTAACGCAAGGCTGCTGTGGTGATGCTCATCGTGCAACTCCCCCGCCCGCGCGCGAACTTCCGGAAAACATTCCTGCGTGCTGGAGCACATTCTCCCGGCGTTCGGCAGGCGTTGCCGGGCCTGAGTTCCCTGAGAGCCGTTTAGGCAGTCGATCATCCGTAGAGTACCCTAGTTGGGGCCAGGAGCGTCCCCGGGATTGTGGATAAGTTATCAGGTAACCAAGGCCAAGCCTTAGACAAAGTACGACGAATTACCATGTAGCGTACTGTATTGTACTCTGCACAACACATGATTTTTGAGCTCACAGCTAATCAGGAGCTCATCCATCCCCATCTGCACTCATGCGCCGTGGCTCGCAAGGAGTGGCCCCTTCCGGCCAGTCGCCAATCGCGCCGGCCGTGGGACTCGCATCATGTGTGGTGCTGTTCTAGAAGCGGGCCGCGTCTGGCCGCTTTTTGCCCTGCGATGGTCCGTGCCCCCTGTGTGCCTAACCTGCATGCAGCAGTGCACGACCCTCAATCCGTGAGAGAGCTCAACTCAGCTTGGAGGACGAGGAGTCAGCCAGTCAGTCAGGCACCCCGTGATTCGGACAGAGACAGACAAGGACACGGCGCGAGTGTCCACCGAGTCTTCTTGAACCGGGCTGCTGTGCCCGACGCGGCTGGCTGGTGCTGGCTGTCTTATATCTTGGAAGCTTCCTTCCCTCTTCCTTCGAGCGCAATCCTGCCTGCCTGCTGAGAAACTTTTCGCTGCCGACCAAGAACCAGTCATAACCTCCATTCGCCAACCACAATCGCCGTTCCGCCTCAGCAGCACCACAACCACAACAACCACCACCGCAGCCATGCCCGTAAGCTTCCCACACGCCTCCGCATCCCATTGATTCTTGCGTACTAACAACCCCCAGGACCAAGAACTCTACAGCGTCGCCAAACCTCTCAACCGCGAGCCCCCGATCCGCGAGCTCGTGTCGTCATTCATCACACCGGACAAAGTCGCCTACGACCGCAACCACGGGTTTGTCTCGTCCTCTGTTCCCTCCCTCTGCCTCCGCTAACATGTCACAGTCCCTTCCCCGTTCTCGACCCGTCCACCTTCCGCCTCACCGTCACCGGCTTGGTCGCGCAGCCGCTCTCGCTATCTCTGTCTTCACTACGCGCGCTGCCACAGCACACCGTGATCGCAGCGCTACAATGTGCCGGCAACCGACGGCACACCATGCGCACGGTGGTGAAGGAGGTGGACGGCATCGACTGGAACGACGGCGCGGTGTGCAACTGCACGTGGAGCGGGCCGCTGCTGGCCGACGTGCTGGCGCTGGCGGGCGTCGAGCTGAAGCAGGGCGACGAGAAACATGTCGTCTTCAATTGCGAGTGCGCCGATGTGCAGGATGATAAGTACTATGGCAGCTCTATACCGCTAGGGAGGTGCTTGGATAAAAAGTCCATGGCGATGCTGTGTCTCGAGGTATGTCTTTCCTCTCTCACCCCTCTATGACGTGCCGCTAATGGCAGCCACACAGATGAACAACGCCCCGCTCCCCCTCTCGCACGGCTACCCGCTGCGCGTCGTCCTGCCCGGCATCGCCGGTGCGCGCTGGACAAAGTGGCTCGACCGGATCCACGTGCAGCCGCATGAAAGCGGGAACTTCTACATGCAAAAAGACTACAAGATCCTCCCGCCGCACATCGACACCAAGGCTTTAGCCGAAGCCCACTGGCCTTTAGTCCCAGCGATCCAGGGGCTCCCGATCAACAGCATAATCGCGTACCCTGCCGCGAACTCCGTGCTCCCCTCCACGTCGCCCATCAAGGTGGGAGGGTACGCCCTCCCCCAAGCCGACGACGGCCCCGTCGTCGCCGTCGACGTCTCCACCGACCAAGGAAGGTCGTGGCATCCTGCTACGATAACTACGCCGACGGAGCCGGCGGAGAAATATAAGTGGGCGTGGGCGATTTGGAAGTACACCCTTACGAACGAACAGGCTAGGGCGCTGAGCAGGGACACCAAGATCTGGAGTCGTGCCAGAGATAGAGGCGGGAATGTGCAAGACGGGGAGATTCGCTGGAATTTTAGGGGCGTCGCGTATAATGCGTATGGAGAGACGGGCGGGTTGACGGTGGAGGGGGCGAGGACGGATGCGAGGTTGTAGGGCTTTAGAGGGGGATGGGAAGGGTGGGAGGGGAAGGGGGAGGGGGGACGGAGGTAATGGGAGGGGGAGGGGATTGGCGTTGGGTTGGGTTTGCGGGTTGGGTTTGCGGGTTGGGTTTGCGGGTTTGCTTGCGTGGTTGGTTTATACAATGTCTGATGGCTGATGAGTGGGACTGGGTGGGATGGGTGGGATAGATGCGTGCTTGGATTGTTATAGGCAGGAATAGAATGGATGGCTAGATTATTTGTACTTGGAACTTTGTGGTTGCTTTGTAGAGAGCGGTGGACGACGGGCGATATTTGATATTTGATATTTGATAGATCGATTTACTATGTCACTCAGACTCATATATCACTTTCATCTATCAAGCTATTTCACTCCCGCTCTCCCACCATCTCACCACCCATATCTCCATATCTCCATCCCACAATCCCACCATCATATCCCCATCCACGCACCCAGCGTCCTTACCCTCGATCCACCAATACCAATACCAATACCAATACCAATACCAATACCAATACCAATACCAATACCAATACCAATACCAATACCCCTCCCCTTCCCGTCCACTTCCCGTCCCCGTCCCCCTCCCCGTCCTTTCCGTCCATCCATCCATCCAGCCAAAAAGACCAAAAAAGACCAAAAAAGACCAAAAAGCCAATCATGACTTTTTCTTCTTTTTTCGCCAGATATGACGGGAAGGGAAGTGAAATGCTTGCAAGTATTAGAGCTTGATGGGCGGGATGGTGGGCGTGTTGGGATGGAGATATAGACCGAAGCATAAGGGGATGGTGGGAGTCAAATAACTAGCAAAGGACCATCTATCGTGGTCGAGGACAGACAAGATACAACCAGAACCGCTTCATTCCACTTCATTCCTCCAGCCCAGCCCAGCCCAGCCCAGCCCAGCCCCAGCCCCAGCCCCAGTAGTCCAATCCAATCCGATTTCCTCAATAACTCAATAACTCAATAATACATACAGGTAGACATACAGGTAGACCCCCCCTTACACACGGACACATACGGAGACAGACATGAGATAAAAGTCGATTCGCTCAAAGCAAAGACAAGCCAGCAAAAGCAAGCAAAACAAGAAAGACAAGAAAGACAGAAAAAAACGTAAGGAAACCGCTGAATACACAGTTAACTACAAGCAAACAAAATCCAGAGACCCACCAGTACAAACGATAGAAAAATACAGGAGATATCCACCCCACCCCGCCGTCTTTGAACCCACCGAACCAGCCCAACCCAACCCAACCCAACCATATCCAATCCAATCCAATCCAATCCAATCCAATCCAATCCAATCCAATCCAATCCAATCCAATCCAATCCAATCCACCAAACCAACCCACACATACCACTAGGTACCAGAAACGACAGTCAAGAACCCAACCCAACGAAAGTAAAGATCAAGAAAAGAAGCGTGAAAAGACACATAAGCAGACAACCGATCAAATCTCCGAATCCGAGCTCCCACCCAACGAGTCCGCATCATTCCCCCAGGATTCAAACTCCTGATCGGCGAGCTCCCTCTCTAGCTCTAGATCCACTTCGTCATCCGGCAACGCCACTCCCGCAGCGATAGCAGCTTCATCAACACCATCCTCCCTTGCCTCCTCGTCCTCTTCGTGATCACTCTCCCAGACGACGAAGCCGGGACTATCCGGCGACTTCGGCGTGACATCGCCCAGCTTGTGCGGGTGGGGGTAGCCTCGCTCTTTCTTTGGCGGCGTGAACACAGGGAAGCGATCGCTCGCGAGGGTCGGGAGGTTATTCTCGACCGCCGGCGTCTTTTCGGGGAGTGCAAGCTCCTCTTTCAGCATTTCCCTAAGCGGATCTCGCCGGGATCCTCTCCGCTGCGGGATCGTCTTCTCGACGGCGTCGACGCGCATGGCGTTGCCGCGCTCGATCGGGGCGACGGCCAGCAGCTCTGCCAGCCGTGCGGGCGCAATGTTTTCCTTGCCCTTCTCGTGCAGCTCGCTGGTGACCGACTCGTCGTCGTCCGAGTCGTCCGAGATGTCGAGCGTGCACGTCGAGTGCTCCATCAGGTTCTGTAGCGTCTCCTCGGGCGAGTCCTCGTAGATCTCGAAGGCCCACGAGTCGGGGATGTTGGGTGCCATTAGCGGGACGGGCTCGGCGGCTTTGCGCGCCGCGACATCGGCGGACGGTGGTGGGTCGACGAAGAGTGCAAGCTTTGAGGGTCGGCTAACGGCGGCGAGGAGGGAGTCGATCGAGTCAATCGCGGCGGGGCCGAAGGATGGTGGGTCGATGCGACGGAACGCGGGGGGCTTGATGGCGCTGCGGCGGGGCGAGGGCGGAGCACGGACACGGGCACTGACACCCGAGCGGCGTGACGGTGAGGTCTGCTTGTGGTGGGTAATGGGCGAGGCCTTCTTGGGGCTGAGGACTGTTCGTGCGGGCTTCACAGACTTGCTCGAGTTCTTTTCCGCGAGCGCACCACGGGACTTGGATGGGGCTTTGCCGGTGATGGAATCACTTTTGTCGCCTGCGCGAGTGTTCGTGATATCGACCAATGTTCCAAAGGCCCGCTTCGGTTTCGGGCCGACAAGGTTCGATGACGACGCCGACGAGATGGCACTCTTCAATACCGCGTTAAGCGAGTCCGACAGCGCGGACTTTACGCGTTTGCGTGACGACTTTGTGGCAGTGGGCAGGGCAGACAGGACATCACTGTTCTCGTCATTCTGCGAGTGTGTGCGCTTTGTGGCGGTGGGGCAGGCTGTTTCAGGGAAAGCAACAGATTAGCGATGAGCGGGGGTGTGACTGATGCGCTGGCGGATGGATTGGCAGGGATGGGGCGAAAGGGGTGGTGGGCTGCGGCAGAGCAGAAGAGGCGCAATTTGCGGACATTTGAGACGTCGCCCAGACGGCTGTGCCTGAGATGGGTGTGGGTATACTCTATGAATTCATGGAGAATATTGGGGTGGGGGGCTGGGAGACCGAAGATAGAAGAAGAGTGGATCAAGTGTGCGAGGAGCGGGGGTAGCGGGGACGGGGAGTTGATAATAGAGGGGGCTGGGAGGAAGAAGAGGAGGGCTCACAGTTCATGTTCTTCACATCGCCCTTCAACTTGTTCGAGTTCCGCAATGACTTCATTGCGTTCGGCTTCATGGGGGATAACTGCTGTCGCCGAGACGACAGAAGTGTGGGTGCAGTTGCTGTTGCCGAAGACATGGCTGGCTGGCTGTAGTGGAGGGTTGTGGGTTGTGGGCTGTGGGTTGTGGGCTGTGGGTTGTGGAGAGGTGAGAGTAGTGAATCTGGACGCGTTCCTCGACGTGAACGGAGAGGGCAGCACAGGTGGCAGTTGAAACCAAAAGCGAAAGGCCAATCAATTCCCTCGGATCGGGAATGTGGGAGTAGAAGCGGGAGGATCTTCCTCTTTTGCGTCTTTTCGGTCTTTTCGGTCTTTTCGGTCTTTTTCGCTGGCTCTTTTTCTTTGTTCTTTTTTTCTTCTTCTTTTGGTCGTCGTCGTCGCGTTGGGATGGGACGATGAGAAGCAGGAGGTCGGAGCAGCAGAGGGCGAAGTTGAGGGCGGAGGGGGAACGGAGCGAAGGGAAGTGAGTAAGAAGTGAGTGGTATTTAGAGCGCGTTCCGGGGGAGGGAGAGGCAGAGTTGTGAGTGAGAGCGCCCGAGCTTGGCGAGAGGGAGGAGGGTGAATGACCTGAGCGAGACTGAACCGAGCGCACGCTCCGCCTAGGCAAAAAGCACTTTACACCAACACCACCAGTTTCGTTTTCGCGTAAAGTACTTTGCTTGCGGGACCCATGGCCGCATCAGCACCACCCACCCAGCTCCACCACCAACCCACATATCTTCCCACCTACCACTGCCCAAGGACAATGCCTTGTAACGGGATGAGACAGGATTCTCTTCTCCAAGCTAATGTACTGGCCGTCGTACAGCAGAAGGCGAAACGGAACAAGGTGCTATTCTTCTCCACGGAGCCGCTGGCACTGGCACTGGCACTGGCACTTGCGTCACGGCGGATGTGAGCTTCGGTGCCCAAGTAACAGGTATTCAAGCATTCAAGCGTCCAAGTACTCAACTGCCCAAGTAGGTAAGTCCGTACTCCACCGTATGTACGGACGACGTCCTCTGATTTGTGCGCGAACCAAGCCATGCACACCCCCTTCCGCTCGCTCGCCCACAGCCAGCTTGGAGATCCCCGATCTCAGTGTGTCCAATACATACAATACAAAAAGCAATCACGGTGAACACCCACCAGGAGAGAAGCTGAACGGCTGCTAGCTGAGGACGCACGCCCGCAATCCCATCGATATGTAGCTGTGGAGTAGGTACCCCACCAATGGTCAATGCAGAGATAGGTAGATATCCCCCGCACTCCTCCTCTCTGAATCTCTGATCCCCCCACCCCACACACATCGTTCAGCTGTGAGCTTCATTCGTCTTTTCGTCTTTCTCGTACAGTACAGTACAGCAAGCTGTGGGATGATTCGTGGACACGGCTGCGCATGATCACACATGCCCGATTGTTGGCCTGTAGAAATCGTGGTTGCCTCTGCGTATCCATCCATGTGACCATCGGTTTCGATATCGGATTTGTGAGGATCTCGACTCGAATGAGGATTCTACCCCACGGCTTGGAGGGAAAGTGGGTGGGATACGTATCCACGGTACCTACCTACATCACAGTCGAGCTTCAATCTGCAACCTGCCAGTCTGCCAGCCCCATTCGGGCAATGTTTGCGAACTTCAAAGTTCAATGGCTATAAATTCCCCGTGGAACCGTGGATAGCCTCAATGATAGGCATGTACGATACCACGAATCGCGCCACTCACACCCGAGTCAAGACTCAAGAGTACCGAGCAGGTGAATTGACCACCTCGCCATCTGGAACCAACGTCAAAACATTCAGCCTAGGTATCTATCATAGGTAGGAGAACGAGTTCTAGTCTACTGGTAGGTACCGTAGGTATCAACCGCGCAAGCGACGATCCAGGATTCAATAACACATCCATCTCCGTACCCATTGTTCCAAAAAGAAGGCACCGAATTATTCCACGCTTTCCTCGGGTTTGTGCTGCCATCCGGACAGCCTACAAGCGCAGCTCCCCGTCTGGGCTGCGAGCTGTCAGTCAGCACAAGGCGGCTACCTAAGCGCCCCCCCGTCTCCCCCAGTCTCCCAGTCCCCCCCCCCCCCCCCACCCTGAAGTAGAGTAAGCCCTCGCAATCCCCAATCCCCAGAACCAAACAAGCGACCGAGCCCACAAACCAAAAACCAAACAGGCGGAGTGTTTATCCTACCCAGAGACTCAGAGAGAGCCATCCGGGACGCTTCCCGGCCGTCTCTGGTGCCGTGTATGTAGTCGGCGTCATTGTGCACGACCACTGCTCCAAAGCTACAAATAGAAGGTAGGTCCCGACCATGGCACCATGATGCCGCCTACTACTGCCGGGTACTTGGGGAGGTTTGGGAAGTTTGGGAAACGATGGGCATTGGGGAGAACTACATAGGGTCGGAAAGCAAAACAAAACAAAGCAGGTAGATGTCACTTGCACTCGCCGCGCTCGCCAATGCAGCCAGTGAACTGTTTCGATCCTGCAGCTGGCTGTCCGCCAATGGTTGAACTGGGGAGATGGTTGGAGTTGGGTGGAGCGAGGATTGGATGGATTCTGGTGTGCACAATACAATGCATACGGACGTAACCCGGTGGGGAAAATTCAAAGCATGCACCCGGGGGCAGGCTTGCATACCTCATCCTTCATACATACAAACACACATGCATATTTACGGCATGGACTGATCGGTTCCGGCGTTTTGCTGGCTATGGACCATGGACCATGGTGGCGGACATACATATCGTACGCATACTACTTTATTCTTCCGCCGGGCATGCCACTGGCACAGCGATTTCCCCAAGTTTGGCGGGGAATTGTTCATGCGCGATTAGAGTGGAGTACATGGAATATGTACCTGTGGAGTGGATATGTAGAGGGCATAGTGGGCACTGATGCATCCCACATGCAGCCAGCGCCATGGACATGCATCTCCCCTCCAGGATCCAGATGCTCAATAGCAAAGTCCCGGGTCACTATCGCTCACCCGAGCGGGCCATATCAATCAATCAAGCAGGGTTAGGTTCCGTCGGGCTCGTAAAAAAAACTTTTAGTTAGCGCGAATGTTTGGATCCCGGTGCGTATGATTTTGTTGCCCCTCCTTTTGCCCCACCATAGCCCCTAGAGGAACAAATACAAATACAAACAATCCCACGAAGCCGAAGTCGAAACCTTACAACCACCACCCACAACAACAAACCCATTCCTTTTCGCCGCAGCAGCAGAGCAGCTAGCATAGCAGGAATGGCCTCCTCCGCCTCCGTAGAAGAGTTCCTGGCCCTCCCGGGCTCTCCTGCATTCTCCCCGTTCCGATTGTCCGAGCTGAAGGACAGTCTGAATGCGACACTGCAAGCGGAAGCGGGAGGTGCGCACACGAAGGTGACGGAGGTGTCCTCGATCCACGTGCACTACGTCGCACCAAAGACCGCCGAGGCGCGCGCAACACTGTCGAATCCCGCCGCTCCGGAGAGGAAGATCCTCAGCAAGATGCTCGGGTACGGCATCAAGTCGGCGGCGGCTGCCAACACAGACGAGGCCCTGGCGAAGGCACTGGAGGGATTGACGGTCGAGGGCGATGGCAGCAGGAGGTTGTTTCTGTATGTCGTGCCGGTAAAGGGTACCATCAGCCCGTGGTCATCGAAGGCTACGTCGATAGCGGCTGTGTGCGGCCTCGGCGGCATCGTGCAGAGGATTGAGCGCGGCGTGATGATCTCGATCACTTTCGAGGGGGAGTATGAGAACCGCAGTGGGCCGTTCCCATTTGCGGATGTGTTGCACGACCGCATGACGCAGGTGGGTTCTTCATTCCGAGTGATTGATGGCGTGCATGCGTTGGTTGGTTGGGGGGCATAAGGACTGATTGTTGGGTCGCAAACAGACGCTCAGTGTGAACCCGCCAACATTCGAGGGTCTGTTCGGCACGCACACGCCGGATCCCGTCGGAATTGTCGACCTGCACTCGTCGACTGCGACTCCGCGCGAGTCGCTGGAGAAGGCGAACAAGACGCTGGGGCTGGCGCTCGACGAGTCCGAGATCGACTACCTGCTCGAGGCGTTCTCGAAGAGCGGCGCGTGTCCGCGCAATCCGTACGATGTGGAGCTGTTCATGTTTGCGCAGGTCAACTCGGAGCATTGTCGCCACAAGCAGTTCAACGCCTCGTGGACGATCGACGGCCAGGAGAAGCCCCACTCCCTGTTCGGCATGATCAGGAATACCCACAAGATCAGCCCCGACTACACCGTCTCCGCCTACTCGGACAATGCGGCCGTCCTGGAGGGAAACGAGGGTGCGTTCTGGGCGCCGAATCCCACAACGAACGTCTGGGAGGCGACAAAGGAGGAGGTGTATATCGTTGCCAAGGTCGAAACCCACAACCACCCCACAGCAGTGTCTCCCTTCCCCGGAGCCGCCACTGGTTCCGGCGGTGAGATCAGAGACGAGGGAGCCGTTGGACGTGGTTCGAAGCCCAAGGCTGGTCTGTCGGGGTTCAACGTCTCCGATATGTTGATCCCTGGCCACGTCCAGCCCTGGGAGCTGAATGTTGGAAAGCCCAACCACATTGCGAGCCCGATCGACATCATGCTCGAGGCGCCTATCGGATCGGCCGCATTCAACAACGAGTTTGGTCGTCCGTGCACCCTGGGATACTTCCGCACCCTGACCACCACCGTTCCCGTCGACGGAAAGGACGAGATCCGTGGTTACCACAAGCCCATCATGCTTGCCGGTGGTCTCGGAACGGTCCGACCCATCCACGCCATGAAGCTCGCTGGATTGATCGAGCCTGGCGCGTACCTCGTCGTCCTGGGCGGACCGGCGATGTTGATTGGCCTCGGAGGAGGAGCTGCCAGTTCCATTGCTTCCGGCGAGGGATCGGTCGACTTGGATTTCGCGTCCGTTCAGCGTGGAAACCCAGAGCAGCAGAGGCGGGCACAGATGGTGATCGATGCTTGCGTTGCTCTCGGAGAGAACAGCCCCATCCGCTCCATCCACGACGTCGGTGCCGGCGGTCTGTCCAACGCTCTCCCTGAGATCGTGCACGATGCTGGCCTCGGTGCGACATTCGAGCTCCGCGAGATCGATAGTGCCGATAGAGGCTTGAGCCCCCTGCAGATTTGGTGCTGCGAGGCCCAGGAGCGATACGTCATGGCCGTTGCCGAGGAGGGACTCAAGACTTTCGAGGCTATTGCGCAGAGAGAACGTTGTGGTTTCTCGGTGGTCGGGAGAGCCGAGGGCGGAAAGGAGGAGGACCAAAGGCTCGTCTTGACCGACAGGGACTCCAAGGAGAATCCTAAGGTTATTGACCTGCCTATGAGTACTCTCTTCGGAAAGCCTCCCAAGATGAAGCGTGTTGTCGAGAGCCGAAAGCTCCAGCTGCCGGAGTTCGACAACTCTCTCAAGTCCTACGCCCCCGAGCTTTCGGAAGACAAGTTGGTGTCCGAGGCCGTGGACCGCGTGATGCACTTGCCGTCGGTTGGCTCCAAGAACTTCCTGATCACCATCGGAGATAGAACTGTCACTGGCCTTATCACCAGAGACCAGATGGTTGGACCATGGCAGGTTCCTGTTTCGGATGTCGCTGTCACTGCGACCGCCCTCGTGGAGGGAATTCGTACTGGTGAGGCGATGGCCATGGGCGAGAAGCCTACTCTGGCTTTGATCTCTCCTGCGGCTTCGGCCCGCATGGCGGTTGCAGAGTCCTTGATGAACTTGATCGCCTCCGACGTCCAGGATGGAATCTCCCGTGTCCGTCTCTCTGCTAACTGGATGGCCGCCGGTAATCACCCCGGTGAGGGTGCTGCCCTGTACGAGGCTGTCGAGGCCATCGGTATGGACCTTTGCCCCAAGCTTGGTATTAGTATTCCGGTCGGAAAGGACTCCATGAGCATGAAGATGAAGTGGAACCAGGATGGAGCGTCGAAGGAGGTTACCGCGCCCATCTCCCTGGTCATCACTGCTTTTGCGGCTGTTGAGAATATCACCAGGACATGGACACCGCAGCTCAAGAGGATCGCCGGAAGCAAGCTTATCTTCGTTGATCTGGCCAAGAGGAGTATGGCTATGGGAGGCAGTGCCGTCGCTCAAGTTTTCAAGCAGGTCGGCAATGCTTCTCCTGATGTCCGGGACGTCGAGGAGTTCAAGGCTTTCTTCGACGCTTGCAGGCAGGCGCGCAAGAGTGGACTGGTCGAGGCTTACCACGATCGGTCAGACGGTGGTCTCTTCACTACGATCGTCGAAATGGCGTTTGCTGGTCGTGTCGGTGTTGATGTCGACTTGAGCAAGTATGCCAAGAGTGCCAGCACCGAGGACATCATCCCCGCGCTGTTCAACGAAGAGCTCGGAGCGGTGTTCCAGGTCAAGGAGGAGATGCTTGCGGCTTTCTACAGCACCTTCACAGCTTGCGGTGTGGCTAAGGATAGCATCATCACCATTGGAGCCGTCAAGCCCGTCGCTGCCGGTCAGGAGATCACATTCACCCACGGATCTACGCCAGTTTTCGCTGCGCCCCGAGGAACCCTTCAGCAGGCATGGGCGGCAACTTCGTATGCCATGCAGCGTATCCGCGACAATCCCGCTTGTGCGGACTCCGAGTACGCCGCCATCCTCGACGACGCCGACCCTGGTCTCAGCTACAACCTTACCTACACCCCGAGCACTGTTCTCCCCGCTCCTAGCGCGCAGCGCCCCCGCGTTGCCATCCTCCGTGAGCAGGGTGTCAACTCCCACGCTGAGATGGCTTTCGCCTTCCACCTTGCCGGCTTCGAGCCCGTCGATGTGCACATGACGGATCTGATCAGCAAGCGCGTCTCACTCGCGGACTTCAAGGGCCTCGCCGCATGCGGTGGGTTCTCGTACGGTGATGTTCTCGGTGCTGGAGCGGGATGGGCGCACTCTGTCCTCCTCCACGCCGACACCCGCCGCGACTTCGAGGCATTCTTCAACCGCGCGGACACCTTCGCTCTCGGCGTCTGCAACGGCTGCCAGTTCTTCTCCCGCCTGAAAGATCTCATCCCAGGCGCCGAGGACTGGCCCACCTTCGAGCGCAACGAGAGCGAGCAGTACGAAGCCCGCATGTGCATGGTTGAGCTCAGCTCGCCCGCCTCTGCCCCCTCCGTCTTCATCGACAAGGTCGCCGGCTCGTCGCTGCCCATCGCCGTTGCCCACGGAGAGGGTCGCGCCGTCTTTGATTCCCCGGCGGATCTGGAAAGCCTCGAGAAGCGCGGCGGTGTCGTCGTCCGCTACGTCGACAACGCCCTCAAGCAGACCGAGAGGTACCCTTTCAATCCCAACGGATCGCCGAACGGAATCGCCGGTATCCAAAACAAGGACGGACGTGTTCTGGCCATGATGCCCCACCCCGAGAGAACGACGTTGGCGGGAACGGGAAGCTGGATTCCGGCTGGTCTGGATAAGGAGCGCGTTGGCGCTTGGGTCGCCCTCTTCAAGGGCGCCAGGAACTGGGTCGGATAAATAACGGATTTGTACGGAATGGAGGTTCGGTTCGGCGTTGGTGTTTTCTTGTGTTCCTTTCTTTTTCGTATAATTGTGCAGACAGAGCGTGGTTTAGAGATCCCCCCAGAGGAAACAAAATGGAGACATACTGGAGCTATGGTTTCGGTATCTACATACTCTATTGTAGACATGGTTCCTAAACGAAACGTGCACATGACGATCTATCCGCACTGACCGGCCAACCAATGCAACCATAGCTCCAGTTCTCTGCAGGGACCCCGCGGAGCCATGGCATATGTAGCTGCCAGCGCACAGCACAAGCCTACATACCTACCCCTCGAATACCTACCTCATACATACATACCATCCATATCCCCCCAAGGCCCTCTCTACATACTATAGTTACTTATCAACGAGCACCCCGTCCTCACCGCGCAACCGTCCCATCGTACCATCCCATAGCCTACTTTCCATTACACTCCGACGATGGGCCAACTCATCTCCACCCCCTCAACACCCGCACACCTCGCGCCGCCGCCGGAAGTGCAAGCCTCCGAGCTCCGCGCGGCCGCGAAAGCCGCAGGCGACCTGCGGCGCAAGTACTCCGAGGAGTCGCAGGCCGCGTGGCACGACAACCGCAAGGGCGACGCGAAGGCGCTGTCCGATCGCTCCAAGGAGGCGGGGTTGGAGGTTGAGCGGCTCAATGCCCGCGCTGCTGAGATTATCTTTACGGGTCTCAATCCGAACTATCCGATTGAGGGGGCGGGCGCAGGCGGTGTGGGGGTGGGGGTGGCGTGGGTGGCGTGGTTGTTTAGTGCTGGTGGTGGAGGGGGGGATGGGGAGCCTGCGGGGGGCGGGGGGAAGGCGGGGAACAAGGCGGGCGGCGGCTTGGGCATGGTCGATCTTCATGGCCTATATGTTGCCGAGGCGATCGCGAGGGTCAAGAGGCACCTTGAGAGGTGTGCGGAGGCGGGGGTCGACAGGACTACCATCATTACCGGGCGTGGACTGCACAGCCAGGGCGGGGTCGCGAGGATCAAGCCCGAGGTCGAGAAGTGGCTGGGGGAGCACGTGGCGCAGTATAGAGTGCTCGCTGGCGCGAATGGAGGCGCGTTTACGGTCGAGCTGATGCAGGAGGAGCAGAAGGGCGTGTTGGGTGGGGTGTGGAAGTTTCTTGGGTGGTAGGTGGGAGGGAGGGCAGAGGAGGATCTTTGGGCGTTGGGTTTTGGGTTTTGGGATGCATGCTTTGGATCGGAGTTTGTTTGTGCGCGGATATCTACCGGCGGCGTTTGGGTTTATGTAGCGGCGATAGTTTGTGTGTTTATGCTTTGGTTGTACCGCCTCTGATGATTACTGTTTGGATCATCTCCCTATGGTGAAGAACTTCATGAATACTTCCAATTGTTGTTTTTTTCTTTGGCCCGTGCGCGATGCATGTCTACACGCTAGCGTGTGTAACATCAGGCAGCTGAAAGCACCGTGGTTTCACAGCAACGCCAGGAACATCACTTTACACAGCTCAGCTCTACGACAGACAAACAACCCCCACCATTTCCAAACCTGTCGCCCTACCTACACCGTCGCCCTACCTACACCGCACAAATGCCACCACCACCCTCGGCGCCGTCGCTCCTTGGAGACAGCGGCACTGTTGCGGCTCCGGTGTCAGCGCCGTCGTCCCGCAAGAAATACCAAACTGCCCCAGCGTCGAACCCCAAGATGGAGGAGTTCCTCAAGAACTGGAGGCAAGATGCGCTGAACAAACATCAGTACGATGCGGCGATCTTCATCGGTGATAAACTCTTGGCATTGACTGGTAAGTGCCAGGAAACAAACGTCGTTCGACGCCCGGAGGTGCTGACGTTCGCTAGGTGATCCGAAAGATGCGTTCTGGCTTGCGCAAGTGCACTTCAGCACCGGCCACTACAACCGCGCACAAACGTTCCTGACGCGTAACGATCTAATCTCGCGCTCCACGTCGTGTCGCTACCTCGCCGCGCTGTGTTTGATCAAGCAATCGAAGTACGACGAGGCGTTGACAATCCTCGGCGAGAAGAACCCGTCGCACCTCACCATCGGCAGCACACCCCAGGCGGCTAAGCGTCGCAGTGGGAAAGGAAACAGTAAAGACCGCGATGAGTACGGAAATAATATTAAGTTCGAGGCGGCGATGTGTTACCTCCGTGGCCTGGTCTATGCGAAGCAGAATGCTTTCGACAAGGCTAAGGATTGCTACAAGCAGGCGGTGTTGATCGATGTTAGATGCTTTGAGGCATTTGACCAGCTGATGAAGAATGCTTTGATGAGTCCCGACGAGGAGTGGAAGTTCCTTGAGAGCCTCGACTTTCAGTGTTTGAGCAGCGATGGAGACGAGGGACAGGAGGCCCATTTTGTTCGCATGCTTTACACTACCCGCTTGAGCAAGTATAAGAACCCGGCGGCTTTCAATGCGGCGACTGAAACGTTGGGCACGAGCTACAACCTAGCGCAGAATGCGGACTTGGTAATCTCTAAGGCGGAACTGCTTTTCACCCAATGCCGGTTCAAGGAGTGCTTGGGGCTCTGTGAGGGCGTGATTGCGGATGACAACTACAACTTCTCGGTCTACCCGCTGTACTTGGCATGCCTACACGAGCTCAACATGAAGAATAAGTTGTTTCTTGTTGCTCACGACATGTCCGACAACTACCCCGAGGAACCCGTGACGTGGCTGGCTGTTGGGATCTACTACCTCACCACCGGTAAGATCGCGGAGGCTCGACGGTTCTTCTCCAAAGCGTCAATGATGGATCCCCACTTTGGACCCGCCTGGATAGGGTTTGCCCACACGTTTGCTGCCGAGGGTGAGCATGACCAGGCCATATCCGCTTACTCCACCGCCGCTCGGTTGTTCCAGGGCACTCACCTTCCCCAGTTGTTCTTGGGAATGCAACATCTCCAGCTGAATAACATTACGCTCGCCGACGAGTACCTCAACACCGCCTTTTCGCTCTGCAAGTCGGACCCACTTTTGCTGAACGAGCTGGGAGTTGTCTTCTACCACAAGGACGCACTTAAGGAGGCAGTCCAGCTGTTCAACAAGGCCCTAACGATTGCCGACGAGATTGAGTCGAATCCGAAAGCTTGGGTGGCGACCAGAGCAAACCTGGGACACGCGTACAGACGTCTCGAGATGTTCGATGAGGCGCTGGGCTGTTTCTCTGAGGTTACGAGGAGCTCGGATAGCAAAGATGCGAATGTTTACAGTGCCATCGGCTTGTGCCATCTGCAGGCTGGTAGACCGTGGGAGGCAACTGTAGCACTTCATGAGGTGGGCTTTCCTCTCCCTGCCTCCTTTTAGAGCTTCGTAGCTAACGAGGTGAAAATAGGCACTCGCCATGAGCCCGCAGGATCCAGTGGCAACAGAGCTTCTCGAGAAGGCTCTTCGAGAGAATGCAGACAAGGACAACATTTTCATCTCGACCATGCTCAACTCCGATGGCGAGATCGTAACGCAAGACGACGTAGAGGTTGATGCCATGATCTACCAACGGCAGTCGTCGAGACGTTCGGGAACACGAGGAGCCGTAACCCAGGCCTCTGCCTCTTCTTCCCGTGCTCAACCACCTGTCTCTAGAAAGAGACTGGGAGACGTCACACGAGACTTCGGGGGCATGGAGGTTAGTGACGAGGACGGTTTGTAAACCACTAAACCACTTGATTGATTGATTGGAACTGGTTGGGTTGGGTTGGGTGCTGCTGGGACTGGGCTGGGGCTGGGCTGGAGTTTTCTGCTTTGTTCTGTCTGGATTAGCTTTTTCTGCTCTTTTCTTCTGCATCCTGCATCCTGTAACCCTTTCTTTCTTTCTTTCTTTCTTTCTTGTGCTTTTGTTCGTTCTTGGTAATCGCATGCATCCATTGCATTAGCCTCACAATGGGATTTTGGAGATGTTCCTTTTCTTCACTTCTGGTTTTTGGTCATGTTTTGAGGCTTTTGGGGCTCTGGGAGTTTAGGTATCTGGTTCTTTGGGATGTGGAGTGAGGGTTTGTTAGAGTTCCCGCGCTATGGGGGATGCGGGATGTGGGATGGGATGGGGTGGGATGGGTACACGGATGGATGTGGGGAACGAAGGCACGCATGTGGGGGGGAGCGAAGACGCGGATCCGGACCGATCCTTCGGGTAGGCGGCAAACCGACCTTTTTTGCCGCCATTAGATATGGAATTTTCCTGGCGGGTTGGGTTGGCCGCGAGACGTGCGCGCTGTGGTGTGCTGGTGGAATCGTTGTGGGCCTGGGCTTTGCTTGCGGGCTTTGCGTCGATGGGGCATTGGGGTAGAGAATTGGATATTGTTCATGATACCTACCGGATCACAGGGAAATAAGGGACACGGCGAAAACGTAGTACTCGTACCTATCGGCATCCCTAGTCAATCAGGTTGCCTTTGGGGTGAGGTCGTATTGCACTTGACCATTTTGGCTGCCTCGATGGTTTCTGGCGGAGTGGAGGTGCCCTACGCAGGGCTGGACAATCTAACTCGCGATTGGCCTTGCACAGGAATACTCGGCTTCAGCCTCACGGCAGCCCGTCCTCACAGAGTTCCGCAGTTTGGCGTTACTAGTACCGTGGTCCGCTAATCGGACCCTGTCACACAACCGTGAGCCATCATTGGCCAAGGTCCGCACAGGGTGCTTATCCGTCCCTTGGCAGGGCTAGCGCTTGAAATTTTCAAGAAAAAAAGTTCGAATCTTTATCAAAAAGCTCAAAAGCTCGAAGCCAAACCCACCACGGCCACTCAACCCCACCTTCAACCGCCTCACCCTATATCCTCCCACCACCACCCTCCTCTTCCCTCCTCTCCTTCCTCCCTCCTCCGCCTCAGAGACCGCAATCGCAAATTAAAGGTCTTTTTTCTCCTCCTCCTCCTCCTCCACGTCTTCTCCCCCTCCTACAGTACATCTTCCCCAGAAGGATGTTTTCGTCCATTCGCAGAACGTCACGGTTCCTCCGCCTGCGTGTCGCTCCCTCGACTGTCTTCGTTCCTTCTTCCCTTACTCTTGTTCACCATGCTCCAGCAGCAGCAACATCCAACTTTGTCCGCACAATGGCGTTTGTCCGGGAACCCAGCAGGCGCAACCTCCCTTCCGTGATGGATATGTCCGAGCACGAGGCGATCCTCGATGACGCTGAGCATGAGGTCGCAACCTCTGAGGCGGGCATCGTCCGATTCCAGGATTTGGCCGACAAGCAAATCATCGACCCCCGTGTCGTCAAGAACATCACCGACGGTATGCAGTACGATGAGATGACCAAGGTCCAGCGCAGAACCGTTACCTCGACGGTCAATGGAGACGATGTCCTCGCGCAGGCCAAGACCGGAACTGGAAAGACTATTGCCTTCCTCCTACCAGTATTACAACGATTAATCACCTCCCCCGAACCCATCCAGCCCAGAAGTACCGATATCCGCGCTATAATCATCTCGCCAACCAGAGAGTTGGCTATCCAGATCCACACCGACGCCCTGAAGCTGTGCAAGGGAACTGGCATCGTCTGCCAGGCCGCTGTCGGAGGAACCGGAAAGTCTCAGGCCGTTCTGCAGATGCGCCGTGAGGGTTGTCACATTCTGATTGCCACCCCTGGACGTCTGAAGGATTTGCTGCAGGACGGGCGCGCCGGTGTGAATACCGACAAGGTTGATACACTTGTGCTTGACGAGGGTGATACTCTGTTGGACCAAGGATTCGCGGACTCTATCGATGAGATCATTCGGATGCTTCCTCCTGCGGGTTCGCCGGTGCGTCGTGGCGCTGGAAGACAGTCGATGGTCTTCTCCGCTACTATGCCGCAGAAGGTTCTCGAGATGGTCCGCCGCACGCTCCGCAAGGATTATAAGTTCTTGAAGATGGTTGACAAAGGTGAGACTGCGGTGCATGACCGTGTCAAGCAGCACCTCATCAAGTGCCGTGGCTTCGAGAACATCTTGCCCTCGCTCTACGAGCTTGTGATGAAGAACCTCGACCTGGCTGAGAATGACGGAGAGGCTGGCGTTGTTGCTGAGGATTCAGCCGAGGAGAAGGAACCTTTCAAGGCGATTGTCTTCTTCCCCACCACTAAGTTCGCCGCTCTCGCCGCTGCTACTTTCCGCAACTTCGAGCACAGCGAAGGCGCCCACCCTCTCTACAGGCGCGTGAAGATGACCGAGATCCACTCCCGTCTTTCCCAGAGTCAGCGCACCAGGGCTGCCGAGAAGTTCAAGAGTGCCAAGAGCGGTATCCTCTTCGCCAGTGATGTCGTTGCCAGAGGAATGGACTTCCCCCACGTCACCCACGTCATCCAGGTCTGCGCGCCTTCAAACCAGGAGCAGTACATCCACCGTCTCGGACGTACCGGTCGTGCTGGACGTTCCGGTGTCGGTTACATCATGCTCACCGAGTCAGAGCTCGCTGAGAAGAATGTCAGCGCGATCCTCCATGGCATGAAGATGGACGACACACCTCTTGGAACATCCGGTGTCGACTTGCAGACCGAACAGCAGCTCAGCAAGTCCGCTCTCGACGCTATCAAGTCGGTGACCGAGGCAAGTCTTAGGACCGACGTCAAGGAGCGTAGTGACGCTTACATGAGTTTGTTGGGTTACTTCACCGGTGTCCTCGGCGACCGCCAGGCTCTCGTTGACGGCCTCAACCGTTGGTCTTCCCTCGGATGGGGTATGAAGACTCCCCCTCACATCTCCCCCATGATGATCAACAAGCTTGGTCTCTCCAAGGTCCGTGGCTTGAACGATGCCTACGTTCCTCGCGAGGAGCGTGAGGATGGTGGCTTCTCGTCCGGCGGCAGCAGCAGAGGAGGGATGAGTGGTGGCCGTGGCGGTTTCGGTGGTCGTGGTGGAGGACGTGGTGGCAGCTCTTTCGGAGGCCGTGAGCGCAGCAGCGAGCGTCCCGCTTTCGGTGACCGCCCCGCTTTCGGTGACCGCCCCGCTTTCAAGCCCCGTGGCGACTTCGGTGGCCGTGGCGACAGGCCCAGCTTCGGTGACCGTGGTGACCGACCTGCGTTCAAGCCCCGTGGCGACTTCGGCGACCGTGGCGACAGACCTAGCTTCGGCGACCGTGGTGACCGTCCCGCCTTCAAGCCCCGTGGTGACTTCGGTGGCCGTGGTGGTGACAGACCCAGCTTCGGCGACCGTGGCGACAGACCCAGCTTCGGCGACCGTGGCGACAGACCCAGCTTCGGCGACCGTGGCGACAGGCCTAGCCGTGGAGGCTTCGGTGGTCGTGGTGGCGGCCGTGGTGGCAGCTCTGGAGGCCGCGGCGGTGACAGGAACAGAGCACCCTGGATGGGACGTGGCGCTCGCGAGGAGGGCGGTGAGCGGAGACAGCGGTATTAAAAATTTGACGACATCACGATCTTGAATGAGGGCGTCAGATAGGGGTATGAGTGTTTGGGTGCTGTCTTTCTTCACATTCTTCGTCTTCTTGTACTATTATATGGCATCTGCCATTAGATATGGTGGTTGGTTGGTTGGTTGGGGTTTGCTTCATCTCGGTTTGTTTTCTTCATGTATTTCCTTTCACTTCGTTACTGCTGCTTAGACGGATGCTGTAAGATATATCTCTGACCCTTCTTCTTTTTTTGGTCTGCGCTTATGTGTTTTTTATCCCTGGGCTTCATTTCGAGTTTGTTTGGGGGTTGGCTGGCTGGTGACGGAAAAGGACGGGGTTAATGTTTTCATAATTCATCATGTAGAAAAGTTTTGCGATTTGTCTGTACTATCATAGAGAAGAGGTAGGGGGAAAGGAAAGGGTGAATGGAGAAGGAAGGATGGGGATGGATGTTTCTCTGCTCCATTTGAGGCCTTTTGCGTGAACGTGACAGTATCGGAATGGGATGTTGTGACATTTGTAGGTCCTTGTGGACGAATGACTGGTTTTCCTGTTGTTTTATCATTCCCATTCGATCGTGTCTGGTCATGGAAACTCATAAATTCGGTCCTGTCACCCTCGGATGAATGGTCTCCAATACGGCCATTGGGCCATCTGATCGTGGTGTAAGTGATATTTTGTGTTTCACTAGCTTATTTTCACCCCACCATGCCCCTCACGACGTCATGCATATTCATATCCACCACCACCACCACCACCTCCAACCACGCTCATCTCCAACCACCACCATCCTTTACCACCAACACCAATCCCACGCCCCTCCAGCCCTCCAGCTCTTCCACCGCCATGTCGACCTGGTTCCAAAAAACGATCCGCCTGCCCTCGAAGTCTCGGGGCTCCTACCTGGTTACCGACGAGCTCACGGCAGCGCTCCCGGAGATCGGGTCCTACAAGATCGGACTGCTGACGCTATTCGTGCAGCACACGTCGTGCGCGCTGTCGCTGAACGAGAACTGGGACTCGGATGTGCGGCTAGACATGAGCGACGCCATGGACCGCATCGTTGTCGAGGACAAGAACGGCGAGGGGATCTATCGCCATGATGCTGAGGGCAGCGATGATATGCCTGCGCACATCAAGAGCGCGCTGATAGGGGCTACCGTAACCGTGCCAATTACGGATGGAAAGTTGGCGCTCGGGACGTGGCAAGGTATGTGCTACGGCTGGGTGGGGGGAGGGGGAAGGGTGGAGGGCTGACGACGACCAACTTAGGCATCTGGTATATGGAGTTTCGCACGCAGAGGCATACGCGGAAGGTGGTGGCTACTATCCAGGGTGAGAAGCGCTGAGTGGGTGGGGATGTGGATGGAAGTAGGAGAACACGGAATATTGATTGATTCTCCGCCATAAATGAAAACCCTATAGACCCATCATCCCCACACCGTACCGTACGAAAAGCAAACCCAGAATACCGTACATATCCATAAAAAAAAGCAAGTGGTATAGCAGCCAGCAGCCAGCACCTCACAGCTTTGCCTTCCCCTCCCGTGTCTTCGCCTCCCACTGCCGCCTCCTCCACCAATTCAGCGCGACCATCCACGTACCCAGCAGCACCCCCACAATAGGATTCCCCCAAACCCACCTCCACGGCCCCACCCTGCCCCTCCTAATCTCCCGCACCACCTGATCAACCTGCAACTTCAACTCCTCAACCGTGCCCTCATTCTGGACGACCCACGCCCTCTCTCCAAAAACTCCCTTCGCCAGCGCGACCTTCTCCTCGACGCTCCACTGACTTTTCACCCTCTTCCTCGCCTCCTCCTCCGTACTTCCATCCCTCCGCATGAGCCGTTGGAGCTGACACTCCTCGCCCACGCCGACGACAACAACAGCACCACACACACTCTCCAACCGTGCCTCGAGGAGCAGGGGCACATCCAGCACGACCGCCCACGCGCCGCTCCACCAGGCCTTTACCACCTCGCGCGCAATCTCCCTGCGCACCAGCGGATGGATAATCCCGTTGAGCACGTGCCGGTCCCGCACGCGCTCGGGGGAGTCGCCAAATACTCGCTTCCCCAGCACGCCGCGGTTGAGCGGCCCCCCCGCAATGCCCACCAGCCCGGGCGTCGAAGCTGAGAACGCAGACAGGATCTGCCGGTATCCGGAGGTACCAGGCTCCACCACGGAGCGCGCGAGAAGGTCTGCGTCGATTATGGGGAGATCGTGCGTCGAAGAGAGGTACGAGGAGACGGTCGATTTGCCGGTCGCGATCGAGCCGGTGAGGCCGAGGAGGAGCATTTTGTGAGGTGGGGTGAGGTGGGGATGGGCGAGGAGGCAGAGTGGCGGCGGCGGGGGTGCGAGACGATGGTGATGTGGACGTGGATCGTGGGTAAATATAAGGTATGTATGAGGTATGTGCGTCGCGGGTATCTGCGTGAATGTGCTGTGCTGTGTTGTGCTGTGCTGTGCTGTTTCACGGAGATAGCTATGCAAACAAACAAGCAGACAAGCGAGTGGCGACACCCGCTGCGATGATGATGATGATGATGGGCGCACCCTGTAAGTTGTTCAACCCTAACCTGCCCCGGTGCTCAACCCTCAACCTCGGCCCGAAGTCCGCAGTCCGAATTGAATGGGAAAAAGTGGTCCCATCTCATCGGGAAAGCAAGCAAGCACGAGTCGTGATCGTCATCGTTAATGGGCAAATGTTAAACGAATACCTGGTAGGTATGTGTGTGTGTGGAGGGGATGTGGGGGTATGGAGCTGTGGATCCTGTACACAAGCTGGGTGGGGAATGTCTGCATGCATGCCATGCACGTGCATGTCGGCGCCCCCCAGTACATGTGATACCTGGATATGATATGTACCTGGATACCTGGACTGGCGACGCCATCTCCGATTGGGTGTGGCAATAACATTACCGTCATGAACTCTTCTTTACAGTCACAATACGTGACAATACGAGTCAATACGAGTCAATACGAGCCAATACGTTCCATGACAATACCACTGTCACATTACATCCCAGTGCCATCCTAGTGCCATCAATCGTATCAATCGTATCATACAGTACAGCAACCACAACAAAAAAAGCTTTATACTCTATTCCAAGGAGGGAAGAAGGAAGAAGAAAACCGAGAGCACACAACACAGCACACACTCTACTCTAAAGCTTAACCTCGGTGCTCTCAAACTCGACCAGCGGCTTAACGGGCCTAGGGCCGGCAGAAACGCGGCAGCTAGCCTTCCACGCGACCACGTCCTGAATGGACTCAAAGATCTCACCAAAGTCCTCCATCTTGAACTTCTCCTCGTCCGCCTTCTTGACCGGGATCGCACCGACAAGCGCTGCGCGACCCTTCTCGAGGATCTCGTGGATGTTGGCCTCCTCGATTTTCTTGACGTCCTTGAGGAATGTGTGGACCGCGGCGACGACGGCGTCCGTGTCGTTGATGTCGATGCCTTCCAGGGCTTTCGTCACTTCCGTGTGCTCCGAGACTACGCCCGCGGCGGCGGAAAGGAACTGGACTAGTGCCTCGACGAGGCCGGGCTTGCGGTCTTCGGGTGTGACGGCTGCCGCGCGCATCTGGATCGACGCCTTGGAGCGGCGGGGAGAAGCGGAATTTATGAACGTGTTGTAGAAGTCGATGGTATCCTGTTTGGTCAAAGCCTTCAGGATTTCGACGTCCTCATCCGCTGTCAATCGGTGTTAGTTCGTTCGTTCGCCCAACCTCGCTCGCTCAGGGATTTCTTACTCCGCTCAAAATCGTACATCTCGCTCGCGATGAACGTCCACAGGCGATTGCTCTCCTGGTTGAGGTTCTTGAGTCTCTCCGTCTTGCGGAGGATCACCGCCTTGACGTGAGATTGGAATTCCTTGTCGGTTATATCCGCAAGCTTTTGCGCGACGGATTGCAAAAATTCTTCGATCCGTGACTCCAGATACGGCGCGGAACGTTCCGACTGTACGATCACACGGTATCCCATGGTGGTCGCGCTGTACCGACTGCCCGAGAATACAATGTATCCGAGCTGCTCCTTGGTACGAAGCTGGTCGAAACATGGCCTGGACGTAGGGGTTAGCCGGTGAATCGAGTAAAAAGAACTAGGACAACTCTTACTCCTCAGTTATCTGAGAGAACAAGGCGAGGAGGTTCTTAAGTCTCCGGTCCGACTGTTCTCCAACATAGAGGGTGTATTCGATGACGGAGTTAACGTTCTTCGGGTCCTCCAGCGCCCGGTCCCAAACATATCTTGCTCCCTCGGGGATGATGAGCGAACGTCTGATGCCATGCTGAGTCGGCGGGAGCACCCTAGGTTTCAGAATAGTCTCGATGAGATTGATGTACTTCAGAGCATCCTACATGTCCAGCAGCAGATTAGCCACGTTTCCCAACCTCCCAACAGCTGCAGGCGACTTACCTCTTTGTACAAATTTCCGTGAACCAACGCTTCTATGTGAGTCTGTCCCAAGATCTTCTGGAAAAAGGTTTCAACGTCCGCTGCGGTAAGGCACTCAAGCTCCGCCAGCACCTCCTCGTTCAGCCACATGGTCTGGGAGTTCATGTATCTAATGTATTCCATGACTTGGTGGTAGGGCTGTTGGAAGATCCAATTCCTGTAGGCCCGAAGATTCTTTTCCTTGATGATTTTGAATCTATCGGGCAGGACCTTCAGATCCCTCATCTGGATTATGACCTTCTCCAATAGCACCGACATCTTGTCGTTGTATCCGGCAACCTCAATCTCCAAACCAACGGTGCTAGAGCTGACTGTGTAGTCGAGGCCGGCAATCTCTGCGTCGTAGGCATACTCATTGAGTGCGTCCTTGACAAGGTCGCAGTAAATTCTAGCTGCAACGGCATTGGCTGGCGAGGAATATACCAGCGGGCTGCGATGACATTAGCGCAGCACCGTACCAGTGTTTCCACACGAAGTAAAGGGGATCCCTACTTTCGCAAAGTAATGTAGACATTCGCCTTGGGCACCCAGAAAGTGTCGTCCTTCTTGTACCAAATCCTGGAGAGTTCCGTGTTCTTGATCAGAACGGGGACCTTGCTAGGAGTGTCGACCTTCTTCTTCTGCACATCAAAGTTCTTTGGGATAAACTCGTTCTTGTGCGGCAGATGAAGCTCGCCGTGCAGCTCGCCAGCACCTATACCTGTGGCAGCAGTACTCTTCACCTTCTGAACGAAGGATGCCGGCATCTTCTCCACCCGGTATTCCGTCCCATACCACTTCTCGGTCTGGTCAAGCGGTCCACCTGGGCAATGGCGTGCCGCGATCTGGATTCTAAAATTGTCAGGACGAAGATAGTCCAGCGATTTGGCGATCATTTCGGGGTCATATTCTCTGAACAGGAACGAAGAGAGCAGCCATTCCCTGGGGAGGGGCTTCTGCATCGTTCCAGCCTGACGAGATGTGAACTTGGACGCCGGGGACTTTTGACGGAACTTGAAATCCACCGCAGCGGTGTCCTGCAGCTCTTTAAAGATCCAGTTCTGCACTGGTGTATCCTTGATGAGGTTGATGTAGTGGAAGACAGCCTTCACGATTTCCTCATAGTTTTCTACGGGGGGATGGGGTCAGCAAGATACATTCGGAGGAGATACAGGTGCGTTAGAATCTCACCCAGTCCATCTTCGGTAAGCTTGATGTTGATGTGGAAGAAAGCAGAGCCGACGCCGACAGGAGTAGCTCCAGCAGACAATTCATTCACCCAGCCCTTCTTCTTCAAGTAGGCCAGGAGCGAACCCGGACCTTCATGACCGATCAGATGGCTTGCATATCTAGAAGGTTGTGTCTCGAAGAGGGGTTCCTCGTCCAGAAATGGGAATATGATGTCAATCTGTCGGGTGTCCATGACCGGCTTGGCAAAGATTTGTGTCTGCAACCATCAATAAAAGTGCGCACCAGGGATTGGTGCGGGGAGGGGACAGGATGGGCGCGGCAGACCATGAGATGCTCCGGTAGGAGGGGTTGTCCCTCAAACCTCTGTTCGGGCAGATCTTTATTCTTGACGCCTTCAAAGAGCTCAACGGTCCACTTCTCCAAGGTGTCGAGATCTTCCCGACCCAGAACCACCAACTTCATGGTATTTGCGGAGTAATACTTGTCATGAAACTTCATAAATTCATCTCGAACATTAACACCTCTCTGTTCGGGCAGCTCCTTCAAGGTTTGCAGATTTCCTGTGGAGAAGTGACAGTACGGGTGCTTCGGGTTGGATAGCGCTTTGGAGAGCTGGTGCAACCTCCAGACGTCATTCTGCAAGTTCTTCTTGTTCTCCGAGTCAACAGCCCTCAGCTCACGTTCTAGAGTTTCGGCAAGAAACAGTGGCGAAATGAAGAACTGGGCGAACCGATCCAGCGCGCCGTAGAAGTGTTCGTGGCCAACCTCAAAGTAGTAGTTTGTAGACGTTGAGGCTGTGTAGGCATTGGAGTTACCCGAATGCTCGGAAAGGTATTGCGAGTACTCGTTCTCTTTTGGGTACTATCGGGGTAGGAGAGGCGATGTTAGCATGGGAGGCGATATCTGGGGCGGAGCGGGAGGATGACGGGAGGATGACGGAGAAGTACATACCTTTTTAGTTCCCATGAAGAGCAGATGTTCGACCGCATGTGCTTGACCCTACAATTGCGTGCGGTTGCTCGCGTCAGCCTGATCACATCTTCATCCCATGTTTACTTGCATGATGCATGCCTGCCAGCGTGGTTCCCCAGCCAGCCAGCTCTGAAGCGTGCCACTGGCTGCAGATATGTAGATAGCCGAATCGGGTGTTACCGAGCGGGATGGATGGATGGACAGGATGGAGGGATGGGGCGGTATCTAAAACGGAATCCCGCATGGGGGATGGGTGATGGGCTATGGGGGAGCTGGCTGCATTCAGGTGGAGACGCAAACCAAAACTTACTTGCAAGTCGATGCTATCGGAAAAATTGCCCACGTGCACATCTAGAGCTGCAGAGGCCTTGTCGGTATCGGGATCATGCACCAGCAATGCTTCGAGCTTGTTCGGCAGCTGGATAACCCTGTAGGAACGATCATCCAGGTCCGGCTTCTCCAGCTGGGACGCAACGACGGTAGCTTTGCCGCGGATGGGAAGGGTGTCGGTAGTCATCGTGAAGGCGGCCGAAGAGTAGAAGCGTTTGGTAGCAGGGGCGGTGGGGAAGAAGAAGCGGGATGTTGGACGAGGTGGGATAGGTGTTGCTTGAAGTGGCGAACGCGGTGGTGTTGCTAGTGGCGGAGCAGCAGTAGGAGCGGCGGCGGCAGCAGTGGATGGGGACGACTGTGAGTACTTATGCAGTTGTCGGCGTGCAGGCAGCAGCAGCAGTGACTGTGGGCAATGGCTGACCTTCAGCAGGAGATGGACGGGATGGGGAAGGGGAGGAAGGTGGAAGTGTGTCGCAAGCGTCGAGAGTTGATTATAAGTGATGGCGGTAGTGGCACTTCGTCTGAGGACGGAGGGCGGCTGTGTAGTCAAAGCGGATGATGACGGCGGTGACTCCAAGACCGGAAACCTTGTTGGCAAGCGTGTAGAGGCCGCGACTGCTCTGTAGTGCAGAGCCGGTTGCATTCAATGGCGGAGAGACCAAGTAAAGGGCAGAGGATTTTATTTGGTTCTGTTGAGGAGGGTGTGGTGATTCGGCGGAAGACCCGTCAAGTGAATGAGTGATAATACTGGGGGGTGGTGGGGGAGGGGGCGACGGCGGGATTCGTTGGTTACATAGGGATTTAGTAGGCGTGCGCCCGTAAGTTGGATAAGTCACCAAGTATAGCAGTTAGCACGGTCTCACATTCGCCTCAGGGCACGGACTCACACTGGTAGTCCGGGGGTGGGTGAAGCAGCAAACGCCAACGAGGGGCGGGAATGGAAGATCCATTTCTGCAGGGGTTCTCCAGCCCTCGATTGAGCGTGTGGGCGACCGGCGGCAGCTTCAGATGGGACACTCGCTTGGGGTGCTCTGTTCGGCGGAATCCGCAGTCTTGGGCGCGTAGCACACGCGGGAGCCAGCCATGGTTGCCAGCCGAAAACCGGCTAGAGTGCACACCCCGCTGGGCAGGAAGACGCTCGCCGGACAGGGCTAACTATCGCCGATGGAAATGTGTTCTGTCGATCGGAAGATGGTCTCTCTGACTGGCCGTCCTTCGGTGGAGACCATGGCCAGTGTCGAGGCTGCCAGTGTCGAGGCTGCCAGTGCCAGTGCCAGTGCCGTACCAGTGCCAGTCGCACTGGGGACTCCAAATGTTGTCTGTCCTTTATATTGTACCAATGGTACCAATCCTTCACGTACATGTACTCTACATACATACGGGCTACAGTTTGTCTATTGCCCCCACTGAGCTCCTTCATGTGCCGAGTTGCGTGCATGCAAACGTGCTTTGCCATTCAAAAGCAGGATGCTTATGGCGAATGACGGGAGTGACGGTAAACGGGATATACCTTCTTGAACCAGCTCCCATTCCTGTGCATTGATCCTGTTATCAGAGCTTTGAATGGCCACCATGTGCAGCAGCAGGAATTCCGGAGACTTATCGGAACCGGAATATTGAGAATCGATGCGAGGAGGAATCTGCGACGGCCCGCCCAAAACCCCCATACATAGCCGTTCTGTCCAACCTCAGGATATGTCTCCGTTGAGTCTACTGGGAGGCTACTTGCAGCCACTGTTGTTCTGGAATGGACCTGAAGGCTGAAGGCTGAAGGACAGTAGATCTCGGAGGTTAAAGTAGGATGGTATGCACATACATAGCCGGTCCCAAAGGCAGCGCTCGTTCCACACTGTCGGAATAGGTGGGACGCCTTACTGATAGTTGCATCGATACCTACGAGTCTCCGACTCTCCGATCTTCTCCGGCTAAACATCAGGAAACCCTACCTAAATACCTGCCTCCTAGATGTTTGGATTATCCTGTCCTGCAACACTGATGTTCACGTCCAGGGACCTGAATGGGTTGAATGAGTGTCGCATTCTCATTGCCCAAGGGTACACTGGCAGTGGCCGTCTACTTCTGCACTTCCCCATACCGTAGCCTTGCCGAGAATGTGGTCTTCGATAGCCACGACTCCAGGTCTTAAACTCGTTAAAAGCCTGCCATCATAGAGGGAAGACAGATACCCTCGGGTAGGTGAATTGGAGTTTCCATGTCCATTCATGGTGGATAATCTTCATGAGTGATCGTGAGAGATGCGACGGCGATCTCTGTTCTCTGATTCGCTTAACCCCACTATCTACCGTTCATGGGTTAGTGCGGGAATTCCCTCTATCGTGTCTTGGCAGTCGGCTGGGAAAGTTCGCAACGCCTCGTTCCCTAACTCAGCTTTTCTTTCCTTTTTCTTTGAAGGAGTGCCGTGCCAGTCAGTCAGTCACTAGCGCACATAAATTTGGTCCCTTCCTGTTCGTCTCTCTCCATCGTCCTCAAAGTTTACCGCCTTTCCTAGCATCCATTCTTTCCTGCTTGCTCCGCGCCTCTTCTTTGTCCTCCCCTCCCCGGCCAAAGATTCATACTGCGAACACTCCAGACACAATGTCCGAACTTAAGCCCGAAGAGGTCGAGAGACATTTCGTCCAACTCGCCGAACTCGAGAAGGAATTCGACAGGGTTGATGTCGAGATCCGTAAGTTGCCTGTCGCTCTTTCCCTGCTTCACCGATCGCTTGCGGGCTTTTCCTGGGGAGGGTCGTGCGCCTCCTTGGGGGGGCACATTGTTTGCACTCGCCCGTTTCGGGGTGAGTGAATATTGTCGTGAGGCTGCCAATTGCCCTCAACCCGATGCGGTGTCCTACCGTGGCAGACGGGCTGCTTGCTGTGTCGCGCAAAGAACAATCAGTGACAATGGCAATGGCAAAGATGATGGGGATGATACTTACAACAACGATGCTAACGCACAAGTGCAGTTCGCGAGACCACCATCAAGCAGAGCCCGCTGTACGAGAAGCGCAATGCGATTACGTCTGCGATCCCCGGCTTCTGGCCGCACGTGTTCGAGGACGCCTCGAGCGCGCTGCGCTTTGACGAGCACATCACGCCGGAGGATGCGGAGGTTCTCGCGCACCTCACGGAGCTGAACGTCACGCGCCCGCACGCCGAGAAGGGCGACCCGCGCGACATCGAGTTCACCTTCAAGTTCAAGGACAACGACTACATGCCCGCGCAGACGCTCGTCAAGCTGTTCACGTATCAGGAGGGCGGCAAGCCCGGCTTGACCGGACTCATATCCACCCCCATCGAGATCCAGTGGAAGGGCACCAAGGACCTTACTTTCGGCGTGAATAAGGCCGCGGTTGAGGCGTTCGAAGAGCGCAAGGCTAAGGCGGCGGATAAGGAGAAGAAGAAGGGCGGCCTGGGTGACAAGGAAAAGAGCCTGCTGGAGCTTCTTAACAAGAACTCCCAGAGCTTCTTTATCTGGTTCTCCTATGCCGGTGCCCACCACGGCCTTGGCGAGAAGGAGGGCGAGATCGAGGATATGGATGACGAGGAGGAGGATGCGATCACTGGCCCGGTCGAGGCGTTCCCCTACGGCGACGAGCTCGCTATCCAGTTGGCTGAGGATGTCTACCCGGCAGCTGTCAAGTACTTTAGTACGTGTTCCGTACCCTCTGGAGAGGTTTCTGAGTGTTGTTGTTGATGTGCGCATGCTGATTGAGCGCTCGCAATGTAGCCTCGTCCCTCGAGGAGTCCGATGATGAGGATGACTCGGATATCGATCTCGACAGTGATGCTGAAGAACAGTCGGCCAAGCACAGTCATAGCCACAGTGGCGGAAGCTGCGGCGGCAAGCACAAGCACAGCCATTCCCACAGCGAGTCCCCCGACGAACCAGCCAAGAAGAAGGCCAAGAAATAGAGGGTTCGCAGGGCGGTGTTGATTTACTAGCAACGTAATGGATAAAAAGTGGTATTTCACGAGTAATCTACATAATGGGAAAAAAATGGGCTTTCTTGTACAGCAGTTTATGACGAGATTGAATTGAGCTTTTGCTCTATGGGATGGGGATATTTGGTCTTCTAAGTAGAGTACGATTCCGTGATCCTGTGTATTCACCGGCGTGACGACTTTGGGTCCAAAGTCCACAGCAAAATCCTTGGTGATCTATTCGCCAACCTGCCCTAAAGAGAAGTGAAGTGATATAGCCATAGGCAACTCCCAACGCCCGGAAACGCAACAAAGTAAACTAAACTTCCCCATCGCTGCCCGCTCACATGGATTTCCTCGCCTTCCTAGGCCAGGAATCACCTCCATCGTTGCGCCGCTTCTTTTTGGGGTTGGGGCAATCGTTACTCATGTGACCCCTCCCACCACAAGCATAGCACTCCGCCTTGGGGCAATCGGAAGACTTGTGCCCGTTCTTGCCGCAGCTATGACACTTCATAGTCGCCAGCCCAGCCCTCCCAGCATTGGAAATACCGGTCAATCCCTTCAGCGGATCTTTCTTCCTCCTGGGCGTGTTCTCCTCCTCCTCCTCCTCCGAGCTATCACTGTCATCGGAACCATCCTCCCCTTTTCTCGGAGTGCCTTCCTCGAAGTTCTTTTTCCGGAAGTTCCCAAAGACCATGCGTCCGGTAGTCTCCTTCTCTTCCTTCACCTCCTCCTCTTCCTCGTCGTCTTCTTCTTTTTCATCCTCCCCTAGCTGCGCAAAGCCCATGTTGACCACCTTCATCCCGGCGCTGCGCTGCGACGAGCGCACATACGACAGCTCCCACCGCGTCTCAGCATCGCCGCTCGACTGTTTCTTCGGACGCAGCGCCAGCGTCGCCGCCTCACGGCGCGCATCCTCTTCAGCTGTGGCCGCCTTGATCGCTTCCGTTGCGGTCTTGTTATTGGGGCTCGAGTACGCCGCGCGTTGCATGAACTTTTGAGGTGTTAGCGGAGGGCGCAAGGGGGAATGGAATGGAGAGGGAAAAGGTGCCTGCCTTCATGGTTAGCAGGCGGCTCGACATGTTCTTGCTGGCGGGCACGCCGGGTTTGCTGGGAGATGGGGCGCTCATGGTGCGTGTTTGGAGGCGCGGAAGGTGAGGTTTGGTAATTGGTGGTTGTTGGTCTTGGTCGTGAAGAGCAATTCAACTTTCCTTCGAGTCGCCCCGTCATGTGCAACCACGCTTGTCCTTGTTAGATAGCGTCTTGGCGTCAACCCACTTCCCCGGGGACCTCCACCTTCCCTTGCCGCTCCGCAGTCCGTCAATCCATCGACAACGCGCAGCCAACCGCCACCACCATGACCCCGCTCCTCCTCCGTCCGACGCTCCTCCTCTCGCGGCTCCCCCGCGCCGCCCTGCTCGTGCGTGGTGTCCAAACCACCTCTCCCACAATCACCAAGCCGAACGTCGCCGGCACCCCCAACGCCTCGGCCACCAATGCGGTCCCCACCGACTCCCCGGCCATGGACGGCCCGCACCCCAAGGACCTTGCCGAGTCCGTCGAGGCCGGCGAAGCCGCGCGCCACACGCAGGCTCCCAACCGCGCCACTACCTGGTCCCGCTCGCAGCGCTCTAGGGCTATGGCTATGGTCGGCCCGCGCTTCGAGCAGACGAATATTGCGCAGCAGCCCGCACCTTGGGCCGCTATCGACCTGATCCATCAGCAACCGGTGAGGTGGTCCGAGAGCAGGGTAGTTGCTTGCGATGGCGGTGAGTGATCTCTTCGGGCCCGGCGGGGAAGGCACGAGTACTGACGGGTGCATCAAGGTGGTGGCCCTTCGGGACACCCCAGGGTGTTCATCAATGTCGATAAGCCCGAGGTCACACCGTGTGGGTACTGTGGCCTGCCGTTTGCGCATGTCAAAAATCGGAAACACCTTGAACAACACGGTGCGAGCTACCCGTTGGAATAGGGACGGGCGGCGCGGGGTGAGGGCTTGTATAAAGGGCTGTATTAGAATTGAGATCGGTGACTCTCGTTTCTGTGATCCATCCGGAGCTCGTCCTTGCCCCTCCCCCTGGGGAGAGATTCGTGATGATAATATCCCGCGTGTTGGCTTTGCGGCCAAACCTTGCGGGCATCCCCTGATACTTTACACGTGAACGGCTTTTATGTGGCATTTAATATTAATGTAGACCGCTGTGGGCCACCCAGGTTACAACATATGGCTACGAGTACTCAACGCCCAGAAGTAAAAAGCACACCCAAACTCCATCGCGAACTCTAGAGCGCGAAAACCAAAAAAAAAACCGAAAACCGCTTGCTATACAATGATCAGAAGAAACAGTAGGATGCACAGAACAAGTATCAGCAAGCCAATACACCAATTACTTGCCGTATCTGTCATCCATTAGAATCCGTACCCAGCCCAACGAGCAGACACAGAACTCACCTTCATTCTTCCGTATAAACTTATTCAGATCCTTCAGGCCCTTCCCCAGCTTTCCTTGAACCCTGTCCACATCCGTATCGAGGGCACTAATCATCTCCGCCTGTTCCTCCAGCTCGCGGCCCATGACATGCGCCTGCTCCCTGAGATTCCCCACGGTCCTGTAGACGCCATCGAGCTGCAAGTCCTGCTCGCGCATGATCTGCACCTGCTGCTCCTGTTCATAAGCGCTGAGCGGGTCTGCGGCGTAATGATCATCGTCGTCGTCATCGTCGCCGACGAAGCCTCCATACTGCGGATGAACGGGCCCGGCCATCTCCTCCTTCATATCCTCGACCTCGCCGGCCGCCTCCTCGACGAACCGCCGGCGCGCCGCAACGTCCGCCACATCGAGCCCGTACTGGTACGGGTCCTTTTCGACGGCCTTGACGGCCGCGGTCAGGTCCGCAAGGTCGTCAGAGAGCGTCGCGAGGTGGTCGCTGAGCTCCTGGCGCGCCGAGGCGAGGTCCGCCCGGTTGGGCGACGACGGCAGAGAGCGTAGCCGTAGGAAGTTCGTGAATGACGTGCGGGTCTGCTGTAGGAGCGATTGGACTTCGCTGTAGCGCGTTAGCTGCCGTCACTGCGCGCCGCCGGGAGCAGGGGACGCACGACTGGAATTGGTGGTACGGGTCCGTGTCGGTCGTGGAGGACATCATTTTCGCGGCGGGTATCTCGCTTTCCTTTTTCTGCGTCTTCCTGTGCGGTTCCGTCGTTGTGGTGCCGGGAGAGAGCCAGGTATCTGTAGGGTTACGTATTGGCCAATAGGTGAAACGAGCTGCTGAGAGCTCGATGCGGTGCGAACTAGAGCAGCAGCAGAGCCGCCTCACCTGAACCTATGATACATCGTCCCATCTTTCTTGGCGTGCACAACGTCATTTGAGAATGTTTGGTGGTGGAACAGACCAAACACACATCGAAGCATATCATTCTTTACACACCTTTCCTCGTCCAGGTCGACCTCTCGCCCCGCTTCGTTCGAAGCACCTGTTCTAGCAGCGGAGCAACTACACACAGAGACAGACAGGCATGGCGGATTCGGTCCCCGCACCCCGCGGAAGAGCAAGTGTCTCACCGCACGACGATCGCGACCACCAGCACCACGGAAACGGCAGTGCGCGCCAACCGAGCGACGACAACTACGATTCCGAAGAATACGATCGGGACGACGACGTGGACGACGGCGAGGGCGAGAGCGATGACTACTACTCCATCCTCAATGTTCCGCGAGATGTAAGATTCCGGACCCCACGGGAAAGGGAATGGGGTGATTGCAGTCGGTAACTAACGGTCCGTAGGCTTCTCCGAACCAGATCCGCACCGCGTATCACTCGCTATCGCGCCGTTTCCACCCGGACAAGCAACCGCCGGATATGCGCGACCGAGCCACGACGCACTTCAACCGCATCCTGATCGCCTACGAGACCCTGATGAACCCCCACAAGCGTATAATATACGACCAGTTCGGTGTCGAGGGGCTCAAGGAGCGGGCGTGGCAGCTGGGTGTCAGGCCGATGAGTCCCGAGCAGTTCAAATTCTGGCTGGAGGAGAATATGCGGAAGCAGAAGGCTGAGCAGCTGGAGGAGCTGGTGGCTTCTCACGGGAAGGTGGAGGCCACGGTTGATGTCTCTGGCCTGTGGTTCTCGCAGGTCATGCTGCATCAGCAGAAGGATGGGAGGTATACTGCTGAGGAACTGCAGCCACCGGTTGGTGCGATTACGCGGTACGTGGTTAAACATTCCTTCAACATCCCGTTGGAGGAGTTTGCTAGAATCTTGGAGGCACCGCTTCCAACTTCGGTCAAGGGGTTGTGGGAAGGTGTGGAGAGACCTCGGCCAGCGAAACATGAGACAGCACCCAGGCCGAAGCCGATGCTGACGTTCGATTGCGCGCTGGATGGGGCACCGCCGCGGAAAGGAAGGAAAGCGAGCCCAAATCATCTACCGCAGTCCGTGTTTGCGTCGACATCGTTTACTGCGACTCTGATGCACATGTTCCCCAACCTCCCACCCGACGCCCCTCGATCCGTAGCTTCCCTGCTTGCTGGCAATCAATTTGCTATCTCAGCGAGAGTTCTTCCGTCACCTGTGGTTACCGCTCAGGTTTCCCGCGCGTTCGGCCAGAATGCTCTCACCACATCGGCCACCTTTATTGGAATCCCACGCTGGGAGAAGGCTCCGATCGTAGAAACCAATTTCACGAGACGACTGGCGGTTCGTCACAGTGTCTTCGTGGGCGTCAACACTGGCGGAACCACGTGGCTCGCCAACTTCAGCGAGCTCTTCAGCCTACCGCGCTTCGGCTCTGTACGTAGTGGGTATGCGTCGCTGGGGTACACCTTCCACCCCATCTCCTCCGCTCTGGAAGAGGCAAGCGAAAACGCCGAAAGCGGCACATCCAAGATGCCCTCCTCGCGCGCTAGCCGCTCAAAGCGAACAGAAACCTACACGGCATCCGTAACCGCTGGTCTGCTTGCCGCCGGAATCCAAGCCAAGCTGTCCTGGGGTCGTACCTTCTTCGTGGGCACTCCCGTAACCTCTGCGATTACCCCCGGCAAACCGCGCTCTCCCGTCGGGATCCGTCTCGGCCTCGAGACCACCCTGCACGTCACCGGCGCAGCCCAATACACTGTTAAGGCCTCGCGCAGGTTCTTCGAGAACACCACCTGCGGCGTCGCCGCAACCATGGGCGGTTCCTCGGGCAAAGGCGGCGTGATAATCAGTCTCTCCTGGTCCCGCCTCGGCCAGCGCTTCTCCCTCCCCGTCATCCTCGCGCCGATCCCGGACAACAAATTCATGATCTACGCCACGGCGCTTCCCTTCGCCGCCTACGTCGCGACCGAGCTCTTCTGGCTGCGCCCCCGCGAGCGAAAGCTGCGTGCCAAAGAAGTCGCCCGTCTCCGCAAAGCCCTGCATTACAAAACCCGCCGCCGCAAGCGTGCCGCCGAAGAAGCCGCAGAAATCATGGCGCCCTCCGTGAAACGCAAGATGGACGCCGAGCGGGAAACCGGCGGGCTGGTCATCGTCAACGCCACATACGGCGACGAAGCGACACGAGCAGACGTCACCATCGCGCTCGCGGCACTGGTTGAGGGCGGACAACTCGTTCTGCCCAGGGGCGTCGATAAGTCACGCATCATTGGATTCTATGACCCCGCCCCCGGCGCGGAGAAGGTCCTCGATGTTACGTACCTCTGGCATGGTGTCACGCATTGTGTCACTGTTAGGGGCGCCCAGGGGTTGACCGCGCCGTTGAGGTCGCATCAGGTTAAGGGGAATTAGCCGGGGATTGTAACGATACTCTACTTTATTTTACTTTACTTTACTTTGCGGCGTGTTGACTGACTAGATCCGGTTTTGTTGCTGGTGTTGGGCTGGGCTTATATGCGGCTTTCTCGCGCTCTCTCTCTTCTCTTGTCTTGTCTTGTCTGGCCTTATTTACATGGATGGATGGATCGGGAGAGTCTGTACTTTTACGTTACGTTACTGAGGATGGGTACCTACCTGATGTACCTAAATACTTGACTGTTGGGGCGAGATGTTGGAACAGTTATGGTCAGTTTACACTCACTCATACGATCTCGTTCGCTTGAACTTTGAAATGTACGAGGGCAAAAGTCCAGTCATGCTGCTTGCGGACTAAATAGGACTGCGCGGGTAGAAACGGAGGAACGGGACCGAAAAACGAAAACATCTGACAGGGACTGAATATAAAAGCCTATGTATGCGCTCTGTATCGTCCCCGTCCCGAATCAAAGCCTTCTGCTGTGCCCCAGGCAGCATACGGTAGGTATTCCATCCGCCCCACGGTCTTTAGAGCATATCATAGGGCCTCTCTCCGCCCATAAGCGGTTCCGGCGCGTATAGTAGTTTTGGCGGAGCGCCCTCACTCACTCGCACGCACTTTCATAGGGCTGCGCTCAGACCTGCCAGCGCTAACCAGTTTCGTTAGATACGTTAGCACTCTGGCGGGTTGTCATTACCTGTCACTCGCTGCCCCAAAACAACGGCGCGATATTCCAAGTTCCAAGTTCCAACTAACGTGATAATCAATGGCCGGGGTTTGTGGGCCAAACGGACTGATGGCATGCTTGGAATACCTACCCCCAACATCTACCCCACCAATTATACTCGTACCGGATCCCGTTGACCTAAACTGTAGTCCGGGGTCCCGCCGTTCCGGACAGACTGGCGGGGAGAGATTGGTGGCATGCTACTCGGATTGGACTCTGGAGTTTGGGGCCGCTCTGCACAGCACAGTGATCGAGAAGGGCTGGCTGGAGTAACGACGTATGTACTAGTATTGACACTACTATAGACAACAATTGCTTTTTCCCTCGGTATCGCCGACATCTCATGATCTCGCATTTCCACACTGGCTGTGATGCCCTCCAACTGAAGTATGCATACTACAGTAGTTAGTAGCTAGAGTGAGTAATTGCATGGATAGACGACTGTCAAGTACATTTACCTACTGACACAGGCCGAAGATCTGGGGAAACCCAAACAAAAGCACATGGTGGTGGTCAGCGAGGCAAGCATACCGGTACCGATCTGGGATGTAGGTATTGTATCATGCTTCATGAATAGCCTCGCAATATCCGCCGTTTCTCTTTGACTCCCCCGTCGTCGTCGCCGCCGCGGTCAAGCATAGAGTGACGAGCAGTGATTCCGGAAGTGAAAGTCCGTTGAGAATGTTTCGGCCGTTTCGACCGTTTCAGATCCGTCGGCCTGTTGCCATCACGTCGGGCATAGGTATCGGTATCGGACCGGCCTTCTGCTCCGCCTCCCGAGGACCTGTGTATCCCAAACACACACACCCCAACCACCGACCACCGACCACCGACCACCGACCCGGCCTGGACCGTTTCGTTTCGTAATGTCGGCACATACATTCTTCAAGCGAGTACAGGGCCCAGGTTTGTAGCATTTGCTGGAGTGCATACATGCTACCTAGAGTATGTACGGTAGAGTTCGGTAGAGTAGAGTAGAGTATAAGCACTCGGCGCAGCAGCAGGTAGAGAGAGATCGATCGTCCCGCGGTATCATGAGCATCTTACTCTCACGGGGAAACACTCTCGCCAGACTTGGTTCACCCCAGGCCGTTTCTCCGCACCGCCAATCTTCTAGAGACTCTCGTCAGACTTGGTCTACCGTACCCCAGACTCGCCCTCCACACCGCCAATCTTTCGGAGACGAGTATTGTTGGCCCTTCTTTTTAGGCCCCCCCCACAAGATCATCAATTGACGCACTCACGCACGCACACACGCACCCGGCACTGGCACCTGTGTACCGAACCGTGCGGGGTGGTGATCACATGGAGTGAAGATCGTATCGCATCGTGAATTAGAGACCAGACAATTGCAAATCGTGCACTACTACTCTATGATATACCGGTATGTAAGTAGAGTAAGTAGAGTGGAGATCCATGCCCCCCCCCCCCCCCCCCCCCCGCCCCCATGCACTCACCCGCGCTGTTCTCCGGCCACCGTACGTATATAGTAGTCGTGGTTACAGCGTCACCACACCGCACAGCATGTGACGGACAAGACTTTTAACGGCCGACTCTCCTCCTTCTCCTTCTCTTCCTCTTCTTGATTATGCTCCTCCTCCTGTTCCGCAACGGTACATACGACATCCGTCTATGCGTGCGTGCGTTAATCCCGGTATCTATGCCATATGCCATATGTATGTAGGTAGCCCGCACATTAGCCACCGAAAGGGGCAGCTAGACCGGGCACGCCGAGGTGGAGAGTCTTCATCACAAGCTTTTGCGCGCTGCAATAGGTATCTGGCCTCTGGCGGAGGCTGCTAGTGGGCGTAGATGCCGAAAGAGTGAGAGTACCCCGCCCTTCGCTTGGGGGAAAGGGAAGGAAGGAGCCTGAGGCGAGTGTGTGGAGTGGAGATGCACAACTGATGTTGAGTGCGTCCGTCCGCGCGTGTCGCTTGGCCGTCCGCCCGCCTCGGCAAGAGCGGTGTCCGAGCGTCATATAGTAGGTATGGTTAGTGGCGAGTGGGAAAACGCCGACGAGGCAAGACAACGAGGTTGGGTCCATTCATGCGTTGATGGTTCTTGTTGTTCATCCGGTACCGGTATATCGCTCGCCCAGACAGACTGCTGAGCCTGTCTTTCGATAACCGTCGCTCTTTCCCTCCTTCCCTCCCGCGCTCCCTCCCTTCATTTTCGACTGCAATGCAACTGATTGGCGCAGCAAATGGTCCCCAATGAAATCCGAAACTGCCCACATGCCAACAATGTAGCTGGATATACGATGGAGCGGAAGTATTCGTACAAGCGTACAAGCGCAACAACTCGGAGGGTTGGCTTACCGTTCTGTCAGCATCGTATCGTAACGTATCGTATCGAACATCGTATGTAGGAATGATAACCCCCCAGCGCTCCCACCATGCACGCCACATTTCCATGTTGCACCTGCAGGTTCAAGCGGGAATTCGACCTGTCCCATTGATCCCTCCCTCCTCCCTTTTTTTCCTTCCTTTTCTTCAGGGAAGGGCGCGCAGGAAATTCGGAGACTCCCGAGTACGCTGTATTCGATTCATCCGTGTAACTCAACACACACACCCATCGCCCTCACCCTCCCCCTCCCCATTAACCCCCGGTCTCCATCCCTTCTCCCTGCCAGCCATACATATGGTTAATTGTTCTTCAACCTGTATTCTACTAGTACTACCCTTCTAGAGTATGATCCTCTATACTCTGTCATGTGAAGCCGAATTAGCTGTGTAGTACTATGCTGCGAGCACACTGGACAGATCGAAGTTTCGCCATCCGCCATCAAATCTCCAGGTTGAACGCACGCATCTCCCTCTGCGCCCTCTGCGCCCAACCACGTACAGTATCTACATACAGGAAGCATTCCGGCGGATCCGAATCCACGTCCACGTCCGAACCAGCTACCCCGGCAATAGCTGTTCCCAGCGTGATGATTGGACATCCGACCCAATAACTACTCTACATTTCTACCATACCCTAGGAATGTATGTAGTTGCTCTAGCTAGGTACTCTACTCTACGCTACTACCTGTCTACCTGCCAGGACGCCGCAACTTGCAAGAGACTACGGTAGAGTACCTATCATAGTTATGGGGGTTTAATTATTTTTGTCCTGTGCTTGCTTGCTTGCCTTTCCTTTCCAACCTCTCATAGGTAGTTAGCCGCGTTTGAGCTTGACGCAGGTCGCAGGTCGCCACCCTGCGAGCCGGCCCCGGGGGCGGGGGGGAGGGGCTTGCTCTGCTCTGTGTGAAGCATTCAGTCCGCTGCAAATGATGGATTGAAATAATTCCCTACATGGTAAGAAGTAGGTGTGTGGGGGGACCAGTATTGGGACGGGTATTGGGATGAGTATTGGGACGGGGAGGACAATGAGGAGGAGGATGGGCGGGGAGTAGGTAGTACCTAGGCGGGCGCTCGGAACTGCCCTACCAACTGATTTGGAGATCTAGAGTAAAAAACTGCGGGCATCCACATCTTTAACTAAAGCCTCGTGCCTGATTTACCCACGGAATTTGAAAGCCCCAGGGAAGGAAGCCGCCTACATACTTAGGTACATACCTGGATTCGCATATATACCCTTCCTCCCTATTCTGTCCCACAGGTTCGGACGATTCGGTGCCTTGCTGCCCCATTCAACTATAACTCCGGCTTCGTTCCCATCTCCCAATACCTCGCAACAGCAGCAGCAGCAACTACAGCAAGTATGTCGAAATTCAGCAAGCCTGACGATACGAAAATCGAAGATGCCGGTGTTGTCTACGGCCCCATCACGAAGCGACAAAAGGTCGGCCGACACTGCAAGCGGTTCTGGTGGGCATGGCTGGGGGGCTTCCTGCTATTCGTGCTGGTGATCGTTCTCATCATGTAAACAAACCCTCCCGTCTCTCTCCTCCATCCTCCGCACCGTAATCACTAACCCTCCCGCCACAGTATCTTCGCCGCCATTCCTGCCATCGCCCAAAAAAAAATCAACGACACCGAGTTGGAGCTACACTCCTTGAAGATCCTGAACCCGACCGCCGAGTCCTTCGAGCTGTCGATCAATGGGTCCATTACCGGAGCCACGGGCTCGGCCGCACACGCCCGCCTGGAGAAGATGGACGTCAAGCTCTTCCTTGAGGGCCAAGATCCGATCCAGCCGTTCCTGATCCTGCCCATGGACGAGATCCACGGCGGCGACGATGTTCCGGTGGTCAAGGACAGTGTGCCGGTCGAGATCACGGATGCGGGCGCGCTCGACGAGTTTGCCCTCCGCCTCATGGATAACGACCTGCTCCGCGTGGCGATGAGGGGCCGCACTACTATGTGGCTCGGAAAGATCCATACCGATATCGATTACAACGAGGTGGTCGAGATGAAGGGTTTGTTCAACTGCCGGTTGCGAAATACGATAAGCGGGCAGGCGGGCTGATTTGTGCGATGCAGCTCTCAACCAGCTCAAGGGAATGGTCATCACCAAGTACGCCCTTGTCGCCAACAACACCGCCTACAACGTGGAGGGTGAAGTGATGATCCCGAACCCGAGCGTCGTGACGATCGAGATGGTATATACATCCATCCCTCCCCCCCTCCCCCCCCCCTTCCCTCCCCGCTAACCCCCTTAGGGCGACGTCAACCTCAAAATCGGGCTCACCGGCGCGTCGATCGGCACGGGTGTGATCCCTAGTCTGATCCTACGTCCGGGCAACAACACGTACCGCTTCACGGTGCTGATCCCAGACCAGGCAAACATCTTGAAGATGGCCGGTGCAGCCATCGGCGGTGGCACACTCACCATCGGATCAAATGGCACCACCATCGACGGCGTTAAGATCCCGTGGCTAAGCAAGCCGCTCGAGAAATTGTCCACCGAGGTGCCGATTAATACTAAGTACTTCGAGGAGAACTGATGGATCACCACGGGACGGGGCCATAAGTGGCTTGTGTTATGTATATAGCGTTTGATGAAGCGGGAGAGGGAGCGATGCGTGCTGCTGCTGCTGTGGGAAGGGGAAGGGGGGCTAAGGGCTTGGGGCATGGGATGAGGGGGCATCGTAGGGGGGCGTAATGATGGTGTACTCTTATCTAGGTCTGGAGGCTATGTGTGCGTTTTGTCGGCATGTAGATGATACCAATTGTGTTTACTGTTCTGTTCCGTCTTGAATCGCAAATAGCGTTTTATGGGGATTACCGCGCGGTGAATGGAATGGTCAATATCAGATACATCGCTGGCTAAGGAGTTCGAAAAGGAGTTCGGACGTCGTAGGGCATCAATTCGCATGGGTGGGTGGGTATCATCATGGGGAATCACTCGGTACCTGTCCGGAGCGGTAATGAGGTGTCTTTGGACGAGTCAGGCGATAGTTAGGTGGGGTGATGGTCACCTAGAATGGCTCCATCAAAGTTCTCAATTTCAGCGCCAAAATCCCCTAGAGGAATCTCAGCGCGCATGGACAATCCGAGGAGTGATCGCTCATGACTACGAGTAGTTACCCGGTAGAAGAATTCCTCAAGCAGCATGACGTCCGCAGTACTTATTGTGTCTCACGCAAACCCTCCGCCATGCCCGCCGATTCCTCGGGCCTCTCGATACTTGGGCTCAAACCCCCGTCACCACCAGTACCGTCGTCAGCACCAGACGGCAGCAATGCCTCGCAACCCTCGCCTCCGCCGAGCACCAGCATCTTCGGGAGTCTCGGAGACAACCCTCTCTTTGCCGGGGTAACGAGCGCCCGCCCCTCCACCCGTCCTCGAAACCTCCCCCGTCTAAACGGCGCGTCTACGTAGGGACTAGCACTAGGCGCGATGACTGCGGCGTTCCAGCTAGTGCGGCGCACCAGCACGCGCGCGCTGCATCTCGCGCGCCGCCAGCTGCTCGTCACCGTCGAGATCCCGTCCACCGATCCGTCGTACGAGTGGTTCTTGCATTTTCTGGCAGAGAGCCAGCGGGCTTCGGCATCTGCAGGATCCTACGGGACGGGAGTGATTCCCGGCTACTCGCTCTCGGCGCTACTGTCGCGGTTCCGGCCGGCGCCGCGGGAGCTGGCGGTCGAGACGCGGACTACGAAGCTGGGCTCGGGAGCGGCTGCTGCCGATTTTGTTCTGGTACCTGGGCAGGGAAAGCATATCATCAATTACAACTCGACGCTGCTGCAGGTGGCGCGGACGCGGGATCCGCGGCGGTCCAATCCCAGCGGACTGCCGTTCGAGACGGTCGAGATCACGACGCTCAATTCGCGGCGCGGGGTGCTTTACGAGCTGCTGCGGGAGTCGCAGCAGCTTGCGCTGCACCGCGCGGAGGGGAAGACGACGGTGTACACGTCGCGCGGGATCAGCTGGGAGCGGTTTGGCAACCCGCAGAGGAAGCGCCCGCTGGAGAGCGTCATCCTCGCGCCGGGGGTGAAGGAGGGCGTGGTCAAGGACCTGGAGGACTTCCTGTCGTCGCCGGCGTGGTACCAAGACCGCGGGATACCGTACCGGCGCGGATACCTCCTCTACGGCCCGCCGGGCACGGGGAAGACCTCGTTCGTCAAGGCAGTTGCCGGTCACCTCGACTACAACATCTGCCTGATTAACCTGTCGGAGCGCGGCCTGACCGACGATAGGCTCAACTACCTCCTGTGCAACCTCCCCGAGCGCTCCGTCGCGCTGCTGGAGGACGTCGACGCCGCCTTCGCGAACAGAAAGCAGGTGGGCGAGGACGGGTACAGCGGCGCGAACGTGACGTTCTCGGGCCTGCTCAATGCCCTCGATGGCGCCGCCTCCGGCGAGGACAGGATTATCTTCTTGACTACTAACCACCAGGAGCGACTGGACGAGGCCCTCCTCCGCCCCGGACGTGTCGACCTCAAGGTCGAGATCGGTTGGGCTACCCCGGAGGTCGTCGATGGCATGTGGCAGCGCTTCTATGGCGCTGGTGCGTTCCCGCAGGCAGAGAAACTGCGGGTCCGCTTCCTCCAGATCCTGACGGATGGACAACTGTTCGAGCCTGGCCGTCACGGTGTTAGCACCGCGGAACTGCAGGGGCTGTTTTTGTTCTTTAAGAATGATCCTGAGGGCGTAGTGGGCGCCGCGGAGAATATGGTGCTGGCTAGAAAGGCGTAAATGGAGCTGTATGATGGCATGTCTGTATTCCCAAAGCTGGTGCTGGGATGTAAATACACTGTAAAGTAAGAGGTTAGAAGGGAAGCATCTGGAGTACAAAATCGGGGAGCGATAGTTAGTCCATGGGAAGTCGATCCACCGTTTGCTTATGTACCTGTCGAGTGATGTCCTGCGATTATACCCACGCAAAGACCATAACTATCAATGAACGTGCATCACCCGGAACCGTGCGTGTTCGCCAGTACCCAGAGATCGTGCTCCAACTGTAGTTCCCGGGCGGGGGGAGCTTCAATTTGAGGACCGTGCGGGGACGGGAAGCAGCTGGACGAGAAAGCTGATATGTGCCCTACATACCATGCCAGTGTTCATTGACAGGCCCCGATCAGTCAATTGCCAAGGTACTCTTCACCAGTGAAATGACAAAGCAGAGTTGTCATCCGAGGGAGGGAGGGTGTCTGTAAGACTGTAAGATTGTAAGACTATCACCCGCGAGCTGACGTGATGGCTGAAGTTTGACGATGGACGATGGCGGCCTCGAGGAGGAGGCCGCTAAGCTGCAGTGTGGCTGGTGTGAAGCGTATGCTCGCGTGGAATATCTTCACCACATATCTACATCACATGGTACTCACCTACTCTACATAGAGTACCTGTCCAAGACTGTGCTGTAAGACAAGGCATAGAGTGGAGTAAATATATGTAGTATCGGTACATACCGGCATAGATTGCATAACTTCATGCCCATTTAACCGCGCCGCGAGGCCCGCCTATGTAGAGTATGCAGAATAGAGTAGGCAGGTATTCTGGCATAGGTGGGATGTGAAAAGTCTGCCATTTTTCCGTTTGACAGTTGACAGTTGACTTCCGTCTCAGGACGAAGTCGGTCGAAGCCGAAGTTGCTATATACACAGCCATATGATGGCTCTGCTTACATATGCAGAACTATGAAAGCGCGAGGGTTCGCTTGTTGAGTCTTGACTAACTAGCGGCAGGGCTAAATTGGCAACCTCGGCTCCGGGCTATGCATAGCTGCCCGCAAAAACACGTGTGCTCGCGCATTCGTCCGATGAGGGCCACAGGTGCGGCGATCGCGGGTTCGGAGAGTTGACCATCGCGTGGATGGGCGCGGGCATTATGTATGTCGTGTATGTATGTAGTGTACGATGCTCGGTTCTACACGCATACCAGTCAAGTAGCAGGATCGCTATGTATGTAGAAGGCGTCGACGCGCTGGAAGGTGAATGGAAGATCGATGTGTTGCACGGCCTGGACCGTCACGCGAAAAAGCAAAAGCTTGCGTAAGTACCTATGCTAACTTGGGCGGGCCATGGAACACTTCATCAAGCGCATGGGTGGTTGGGTTCGAAAAAACTGCGCTGGGCGACTCCACAGCATAGGTACGGTAACTATGGGTGGTTAGGAGGTCAGCACTTTCTTACATAGATATGGCCGCAGCTCTCTGCCTTACATACAGAGTTATCCATCTCATCGGTTGGCACCGCCTCTGAGTCTTCGTCACTTTACATATCAGCTACAGTCTTCAGACGACACTGCCATCCTGACGCTCGCGAGGGTAAGGTGCCATATCTGAGTATATATCTAGAGGTATGCATGCATAGCAATCTGCCGTGGAACGCAACTAAGTGCTTGGTTGACCGTCGCAATCTACTTATACCGTTGCGTAGGACCTTGCTCCCGGTTTGCGGCGTCCATCTAACTACCACCTCCATACCCCCGACACTGCGCCGTCGCGATGTCGAAATTCTACCGCCTCTTCCACGTCACGCAGCCGTTCGATGTTACGAACCGCTTCCAGACGTCGTACGTGCTGCCGCCGGGCGTGCTCGCGTGCGTGCGCCTCCTGATCTGCGTCTACATCTTCACCACCAATGTCTACCGATTGGTGCGCGCGCGTGTTGCTGGCGATACCACGCAGATCGAGCAGCATTGGAGCTTTTTCACCAATATCACTTACTGGTCAATGGGGTTCTATTTCTTGTTTGCGGGGTTCCATGGACTCGTCTACTCCAGGAGGGGGATTGCGCCGTTGCAGACTTGGCCGAGGATCCTCCAGCTGTTCCATGGTGTTTTGTGGACTACTATGTGTAGTTATTCCCTCGTAGTGTATGTATACTCGTTTCGCTCCGGTCTGCGATATGCAATCCGCAATTCGCAATCCACGATTCTCAAACCCTTGACTGACCCAATGGCGTTCAGTACTATCGTTTATTGGGGTTTGCTCGCCGATGCGTCGTCGTTCGCGAATACATACACCTCGTGGTCCAACGTACGTCTTGACTCCATCCCTCTGTGCACTCCATCCCCCCGTGTCTAACGCTTCATAGATCTCCGTGCACATGATGAACACTGGATTCTCGCTCTTCGAGATCTTCATTAGCCGAGTCGAGCGGCCCCCGTGGATCCACCTGGTCTTCAACGTCCTCTTCCTAGCGTGCTACTTGGGCTTGGCCTATGTTACGCACGCCACGCAGAACTTCTACACGTACGACTTCCTCGATCCCACCAATGGCGCCGGCTCGTTGGTGGGGTACATCTTTGGCATCTTCGTGGCCAGCTGCGTTCTCTTCCTCGTCGTGTGGCTGTTGGTTTGGTTCCGCGAATGGTTCTCGACTCGCGTGCTGCGCCTGGAGGGGAAGTTGGCACGCAATCACATGGCCGGCGAAAGGGTGAACTACAAGGAGGGGACTCGGATGACGGAAAACATGGCATAGGGCGGAGAGTGGAGGGCTTCTTTTTGGTTCCTGGTTTCAGCGGTATTGTTTTGAGTAGGGGCTTTGGTGGTGTTGTTCTGGTTATGGGCTTTGGTGGTATATATTGTTCGTTGCTGTCTGTACATTGTATCTCCCACTTACTTACTCTAATGATTATGGGCGGATGTACGGGTCGTTTTCAGGGCTTTTTTTACCCTTGCGAGCAAAGTCAACGGATCTAGGTACTCTACTTCTCTACTTTATTGCCATGCTTACTCCGTACTGGTTCGTTTGTGTTTTTCTCTCGAGCGGGGTAAATGTAATTATTCCGCGGCATTTTGGGCCGATGAAGGCCAATGGTCTGGTGGAAAGCGACCACGGGCACGCACGGACAGTTGTCGTCACATGCCCCACAGGGCTGGCTACTTATGCTGGCCTTCCCCGCAAAATAAGGCTGGGTGTTCGGTCTCTTAAGGAGTTGTTGACGTCCTCTGCCAGCGAACACCTTATGATGACTTGTACTCGACTCAAGTGCAGGTATGAGTATGAATGCACTCAGAGCCATCGAATCAATTCAGACATCCGTTCCTGGCGGGCAACATGAATCAGGGGCTGATTCGCTGTGATTTAATGCTCACTCAAATTTCTTCCTTTTTTTTGCTGTGTGGGGAAAGGGTGATGTGCGCTTGGCACAGCTCCTGCCTAATTTTAGCTGCTGACTGCTCGCTGGACGGCCACCAACCAAAAATTCGCAGGAAGGACCCACGCTGTTCCTGCTTCCAAGCTCCCTCTCTCCCTCAAACCTCCTCTCACCCACCATTCCCCCTCCCCTCCCCCCAACAACCACAACTCTCACCCTCACCTGCCACGTTTCGACGCGCCCTACCTTCCAACTTTCGCACATACCCATATGGCAGTAAATCCTACACGCGCCTTCGCCAACGTCGTTTCTGTTTCTCGCCCCGTCGGTTTCCAGCTGTTAGTTTTCGGTGACGCTCTCCTTCGACCCTGAACGAAGGTCGCCATTCAACCTCACCGGCGCTTTACGAAGCGCCTTAAGTTGCACCCTTAATTCCCGCTCGACTTCGGTCGAGCGGTTCTACCACCTTCAACCACAATCAACATCTAGCTAGCTAAAGGCTTTCCTCGGTCTACGAAACCGACGCACGCATCCGAAAGCTCTTGGATCATGGCGATTTTCGCTTTCGACGACGAACAAGGGGTTAGTTCCCAGAACGGCAACACGGCAGCCCCGCGCAACAACCGCAACCCCGAAAGCGCGACCCTCCTCGAGAAGGAATGGCCACGTCTGGGAGGAAAAGCTTCGCCCGCTCTGAAGCCCGCTTCGGGTCTTCGTGGAGCGCCCCAGACCGCGAGCACCAGCGCTTCGGCGGTTGGCAGCAGTCTCGCTAGTCTTCTCGATGCTCCTACGCGCGCTGGAAAGTCCACAGGTACCGCGAAAGGCGGCCTCGCTCTGCTATTGGCGAGCTCGTGCTCCTCGTCACGCGCACCCAGCGACGCAGGTGACATCGCGGCTGAACGCGCAGCCGAGGCAGCTAGCGCATCGCGCGGACGCAAGAAGAATAAGAAGAACAAGAACAAGAACAAGGGTGCAAACAACCGCGCCACGGGTGTCAGCACGGCCGGACTCGAGAGGCCGGATTTTCTGCTCCCGCGCACCCTCAAGGCCTCGCCGTCGACTAGCTCTCTTCGCGAGCAGTTCAACGTTACGGCTCCAACCGACGCCGAGTACACTTGGGGCAACATCAAGCGCAGCCTCGATTCTTCGTCGCCTAGTTCTGTTGCGTCTTCGCCGCCGAGATCGGGACTGTCGTCGCTTTTGAGCCTGGCTCACCCGGGCGATATTGTCACCATCGGTGGAAGAGGGAGTGATACGTCGGCGTCTTCGGAGAACGGCGGCGATGAGCCGATGGTTGCTTATGAAGTCGCCATCGACGAGGATTACGTCTCCAAAGATGTGGACTCGGCCTTCACTTCGAGGGACGCGTCGCCATCCAGGAAGAAGGTGACTGCCGACGATTTCGAGCCTTTGAAATGCTTGGGAAAGGGAGCGTAAGTTGTGCCGTATTTCTTATTGATGACTGTATGCTAATACTGCCTTCAGGTTCGGCACGGTACTTTTGGTTCGTCACAAGCCCAGCGGTCGGCTCTACGCGCAGAAGCAGCTTAAGAAGGCTTCCATCGTAGTCCACAAGAGGGTTATCGAGCAGACCATCACTGAGAGATCCATTCTCGAAGCTGTCCGCCACCCCAACGTGGTCAAGCTGTATTACGCCTTCCAGGATCAGGAGAAGCTGTACTTGATTCTCGAGTACGCACAAGGCGGGGAATTGTTCCACCATCTCGCGGAAACTAGAATGTTCAGCGAGGACACGGCTTCCTACTACATTGCGCAGCTCGTGTTGGCACTCTCGCACCTGCACCTCAACGTCGGCGTCGTTTACCGCGACCTCAAGCCCGAAAACTGCCTTCTCGACTCCGAGGGCCAGCTCCTCCTCACCGACTTTGGCCTCAGCAAAGTCAGCAGCGAGAGCTCGCGATGCAGTTCTCTCCTCGGGACGCCCGGCTACATGGCCCCGGAGGTACTCACCGACGATGGCTCCGAGTACGGCGCGGAAGTTGACTGGTGGGGCGTTGGGATCCTGGCATTCGAGCTGCTTACCGGCGACCTTCCCTTCAAGGGTAGCACCCCGGAGAAAGTCCACGCCGGAATCCAGCGCCGCAAGCTCCAGCTCCCCAGCTACCTCTCGAACGACGCCAAGGACTTCATCAACCGCCTGCTGCGCAAGGAGCCACAGAAGCGTCTCGGCTACAACCTCGCCAAGGACCTGCCCACCATCAAGAAACACCGCTTCTTCCGCAAGATCGATTGGGTCAAGCTCGAGGCCAGGGAACTCGTGCCACCCATTCAGCCCCTCGTCACCGACCCGCTCCTGGCTGAGAACTTCGATATGGAGTTTACCACCCAGCCGCTCAGTCCCGCTGTCGGCCATGCGTTCCCCGCCTCGTACGCCGAGGCGAAGGAGAATCCATTCGGCGGCTTTAGCTTTGTGGCGACTAGTCTGCTGGAGCAGGAGTATGCGGAGGGCAGAGTCGTGTGGACTTAGACGGACGGTGGAGTGGTGCGGTGCAGGAAGGGGAGATTGAGTAATTGCGCTTTTTTTTTAACTCTTTAGCTAGGGCGATGGGAATAACTTAACTTAAAAGGTTTTGGCACTTTGTTATGGGGTACTCTTCTTTTTGTTACGTCAGGTCACTCTACTTAGAGGTTAGATGCACATGCATGTTAGAATGCGATTTGCGAATTTTACTTTATACTTTATACTTTATTGTGAGGAGGCTTTTGCTTCATACTGGAACACTCGAGTAGGTCGAGAGCAGGCCAGCTTCTCCTTCCTTCCCGAGAACCGGGTAGAGGCTAGAGCACGGAACACTGAACAACGGACGTCCCTGCCAAACTTTGGACGCCCATCGCCCGGAGATGTGAGCACGAATAAGGTTTCGTGGCGAGCGATCAAGAGTCGATACTGAGTGTCGACGCGCATATGATTGCGCGGCGGGCTGGCGGTCGAGATCCAGTGCTGTCGACACCCAGTGCTGTCGGGGGACGAGAAACCTTCGGCAGCACCTCAGTCTGTATATAACGCCGATGATATTGTTGCTGTATCGAATGGAAGGGATTATCTCTTCCCGTCTACCCAAATACCTATTCCAACAGTTCTACATGGTCTGGCAAGTTTGAAGCTCGGGGTAGATAGATGGATTGATAGATAGGAGCAGGCGAGTCATCGTGCGTGACTCATGAGACGGTGGCCCAAGGGGGGTCATCCTACGGTATATTCGACCGGGTCGGGACTCGGGACTCGGAACTCGGGACTCGGAGCATGATAGTTCCAAATACTAGTAGAATACACACATACATAGAGTCCGTTACCTTCCCCCTCCCGCCTGCACGCCAGTGTGGACGCGGCAAATGAGAAAGCTAAAAGGAATGAGTATTGAACATGAACGAAGCAAACCGCACTTGCACTGGCACTCGTACATTCTCGTTCCCCATCCCTGCCCCCGATCCCGCTCCCGCTCCCGCCGCCCCCGATGGGGACACAAGTAAGTAACTTCCGATGCCATAACCGGGAAAATGGCCGAGTGCAATATGATGAACCCCAAAAAAACCGTCCAATTCAAAACTCCCTCATCCATAAATACAGAGCAAAAAAGCAGACCAAACAGACCGAACCCCCACCCAAAACCCCAACCCATAAACATAAGGAAATCGCTAGAATACAGACAACTACTATGATGGGAAATACCCGCCTACCTCCCCAGGTTGACGGTTGGTGAAATCATATCGTCCAACGTTGCGCTGGCGCTTGCATTCTGCCGGTCACATTGTATCACTATAAGCACAATTCGCGTTTACCGTTTAGCCAATCATCCTCCCTCCTCCATCCTCCATCCATCCACGGGGGGAATGTATAATTACCCAAAACAGTCCACGGCGCCCTCCCCCACTGCAGCGTCGACATCAAACTCCTTATCGTAGGGCATCTCGACCATGCCCGCCTTCTTCCCTCGGTACTGCGCTCCAAGCTCCATCGTGGCGGGCCCGAGCGACAGCTCGAGCGTGTACTTGAACTTCCGGCAGCGCTTGCCCGTGTACGGTTCGTTTATGCCCTTTTCGTACCAGCGCACCCGCTTGCAGTCCACTTCCCACGGGAGGTAGCCGAGGGCTTTGACTTCTGTTCGGGGGGTTAGCTGGGCGGGGGAGGAGGGGGGCAGGGAAGGGAGGGGAGGGGAGGGGAGGGACCATTGGTAAACGACGACGGCGGATTATCGTTGGCGCAGTAGAGGAACATGTCATAGAACTTCCTGCAGCCAAAGTCGAACAAGCGGACCTGTATTGTTCTCTGCTCCTCGACGCGGACTTTTCTGCCGTCCTTGATCTCGTCGCCCTTCTTGAGCAGCCACTCGATCGTCTGCGCGCGCCAGAACCCATCCGCGCTGTCCCAGATCGTCTCGTTCGCTTGGTGCTCCGTCGGGTCGAAGACCGGCATCTTCACGATCCCGTACGAGTACCGCGATACCCGAGATTGGATCATCGGGATCTTCTCGCTGCTGTCGCGGCTCCGGCATCGCTCGAGGCCCCACATTGTTGCGCCACGGCAGACCGCGGACCAGCTGGTGGTGGGGTGTCAGCGTCCGGGGCGGGGGAGTAAATGAGTGGGAGGGGAACAAACGCATTGTCGCCTTTCAGCACCATCTTGCCGAAGCGGGCTACCAGCTTTTCGTACAGATAATTGCTCTCGCCGAAGCCGCCGACTAGGAGCACCGCTTGCGTGCGTTTGCTGTCTGTGAACATGGCCAGCTGACGCTCCACCAGTCGTTGGACTTTCTCGCAGGTGGGGTGGAAGACCGCGGCGTTCAAATCCTTCCTGTACTATGTCAGATTTCCCCCTCCTCCCCCTCCTCCGTCTTCCCCCCAGTGGTAGCTAGGGAAACATACGGCTTGAGCGTAATAGTCTCATCATTTATCCCCTGCGGGATATTATCCTTCACTCCTCTTAGGTCGATAGTGAGCCGGCCCGTCTTTTTGTGGTTGTACTCGACAATCGGCTTGATCCCCATCTCCCAGCGCCGCATCATGTCGTGCTTGTCACGCTGGTCGAGGTTCTTGTACTGCGTGGGTCCCACCAGCTTGCGTACGAACGCTTCGAAGGCGTAGTCGAGGTAGACGGAGCCGCAGAACCCGCCTGGGAGCTGTCAGTATCTTGCAGGCCAAAAAAACAAAAAGCTTGAAATGCTGGAGCTGTGGTTACGCACCCTCCCCGATTACGCATTCCTTCACCTGCAGCGGCTCCAGCGTAATGATCTCGTACGTGATCAGATCGCACGTGCCGCCACCGGCATCACAAACGGTGACCACATCGCCCTGTTTCAGATGGCACCTTTCCGTGGTGGTCTTCAGCACAGCCAGCGCGGCAGCCTCCGGCTCCGGCAGCAACTCAGTGCGCTTCTCCGGTAGCCCCGCCTGCTTCGCCAGCTCCCTCGTGAGCCCAATCGTCTGCGGCGTCCACACGGCGGGCAGCGTGAGCACAACGCGGAAATCATAGATCTCCATCCAGTCCTTCCGCAGCTTGGCGCTCAGCTCCTTCTGCACGCTCTTCCATAGCTCGCCGAGGAAGTCCACCACCACCGTGTTCACCGTCTTGCCGTACGCGGTCATCAGCTGCTGGACTTTGGCCAGCTCTGCTCCACCACCACCTCCACCTCCGCCTCCCCCTCCACCCCCTCCCCCCGTCTCTGCCGCCGGTGAAGCACTGTACGTCGGCGGCTGCAGCAGCAATTTAAACCACGTAAACGGCTCGGAGTTGCGCTTCTTGTTCGCGCGGGTCCGGCGGATGGCGGGGTATCCCCAGTGCTGCAGCTTGTGCGGCGCCTTTGTGTCGTACGTCACCGCCGTGGGAACCTTGTGCGCCGTGCGGTTCACCGCCTCAGGGTCGTGCCAGTTGTCAATTATGTGGATTTCGCGCGTGTTGTCGTTGAGGGCCCAGGAGACGCCTGAGTGGCTGGATACACCGGACAGAACGTCAGCAAGGGAGTGGGCGGCGGGGGGATGGGGATTGGGGAGAGTACGTAGTCCCGAAGTCGATTCCAATGACCAGTTCTGTCTTCTGCATCTCGGCGTCGTAAAACTACATGTGGTATTATACGTCGTCGACTATATTTCGATAGGGCAAAATCTCCGTTCGGTTGGAATAAGTGAGCCCGGCGGGGGGGACGGACAAAAGGTCACGCCCGATATATACCTGAACTTCAGGCCTCAGGGCTGGAAAGGTAGGGCCGCGGCGGCTCTTTTCCACGAGGGTGTGTGCGGGGAGGAGGGGGGAGGGGGACGGGGGAGGGGGGAGGGGGGAGGGGGGAGGGCAATGGAGGGCAATGGAGGGCAATGGAGGGCAATGGAGGGCAATAATGCTCTTAGAGGTTCCTCTGATAGACAGACAGACAGACAACCTATCTGCCTGCAGGCGGGCAGCATGATCCACAATCACCCCGCAGTATAGTATCGCACACTACATTTGTACATAACCTACACAACCGCAACCTGAGAATTGCGTATTGCGGGGTTATGGTTTGGGTTTGTGATGATTTAGGATCCGGTTCTCGTACGCAGGCTCTATATCAGGCCAAAGACAAGTAAAGCTCGCCCACCTGCCCGGCTGCGGCGTCGAGTTGTTGGCGAACACGTACTGACGATGCACGCCGCTTTGGCTTCCCGGGTACGTAGGTAGGTAAGTACACAGGTATATACTTTAGAGTAACCATAAGGCGCAGAAGCAGAAGCAGCAGCAGAAGCAGAAGCCGAAGTACACAGGGCTCGGCTGCAGCGGGTGCTGAGCCAATGGGCCAATGGCTGCGAGGCGTGATGTGCCATGATGTGCCGTGACGTGGCCAATGGCAGTTCGGATTGAGATCGAGATGGCAGTCATGGCGAATGGCGAATGGGAGGAATGTTGATAAGGGCCGCGATGTGCTTCTACGATGGCGGTTTGGTGAGGTTTGGTGAGGTTTGGTGAGGTGAGGTTGAGGTAGGAGGTTGGAGGCACGGTCCACCAACAAGATATATTAGACGGCTGTTGGGCGGTCGTGCAGTGCGCGGTACATATGTAGACAGTCGTTGCACATCGTTCCTACATACTCTACAGCTTCCGGAGTAGGCTGGCCGTTGGCCGCTCCTGCCTTTGCAATTGTCTTATCGTCTCACGGTGATCATGTAGGTAGGCTGCCTTTCTTGCAGTGCGCACTGTGGCCAGCCAGTGTAGAACGCTGACAATACGCGGGCAGTTAGTTAGTTGGGACGAGGATTGACGGAAACTCGATTCATGGTGTTTTGGATGTTGCACGTAGGTATGGATCTCTGAATCTCGTCTCCTACGCCATTCCATAGTTTTGCTTTTGCATCTTCCCAGGTTGCCATGCCGGCCAAACATCGACAACCACCGCTGTCATGGGCGTTGCGATTCTCTCGCCTCCCCCTCCACCTCCAGCCAACAGACACCAACGGAAATAAATATATAGGATCGCCGATGCTGATGCTGATGCTGAGCTGAGGCTGTTCGGATTACGCTCGTCCTCGTATGTATTCGACGTGGTACGTACCAAATACCTACCTCACGCACGCGAGCCGCAGCGCAGTCGGATGCACACTCAACGTCACGAACAGACAGACATCATGCAGACATACAGACATTTTCCCATCAGTCCACAACCATCGGATGCTCAATGCAAGACATGCCATCGCTAGAAGCACAAGATTCTTCTAGCCTTCGTTTTCGGGCCCAAGCAAGTCCGGAAGGAAGGAAACGACTCGCGATGCGATCCAGTTGTTCGTCGTCGTCAACAACTTCATTGATCGCCTCGGGTACTGCACCCGACTGCCTGCCAGCCTGCCAGCCCACCAGCCCGCAAACATCCATTCAATTTGGGGCGGATATACGACGGTGATGCCAGCATTTCGGCACTTTGGTGCTTCGGACGACGTCAAGGTGCAGCACCCGTCTCTGGGGGATCCAGTGTGGAGCTGACACGCTGCTCGACCATTCTACAGAATCGCACTCTACGTACGCCCGAATTCCCCAACGAAGTCAACAGTGCAGCTCCTGCCCGAGCCACCAATGGTTTCGGCAGCGGGTGTGCTAGTCAGCAAGGTATTGCACACACCATCATCCGGCCTCGCGTTGTCGGCAGACCATACAGAGGCAGCGAGTCCGCATGTAACCCCCGCCTCGCATGAATGAACGAAGCAGCCTAGCAGGGTCCGATGTGCAACGAAGAGTGCACTATGCATTATCGGCCAGTTGAACCGTGCATAATCCGCCCCTCCCTCCCCGCAGAAAGGCCCTTCGAAGCGGATCAATCACGGCGCGGTGCAGCCTGGGATGAAACATGAATTCGGTTGGTCCCTGGCGGGATTTGCGAAAATATGATACTCTATATATCTTACTCACCACTCCACTCACTCCGCTCACTCCACTCTACCTAACTCGTGTAAGTCCTCACTCAACTCTATGTTTGTGCATGAAGCGGGCGGCAGCAGCAGCATCCTGACACGTGTGTGGACCGTAGCGTAGCGTCTTGCCAATCACCCGAGCGCTTGCTGCACTGCACTGCACTGCACACGGCCAGAACGGAATTTTGGTCGGAGGGATGGATCGCCATGGAGGCCAATCCAACAGTCCCCCGACTGCACATCGTCCAGCGTCGGGCTCCAGTGCTTCGAGTGCGGGCTCATCTATTTGAAGGATCCCACCCGGGGGAAGGAGAGGGGAGGGGGGATCCAAGTATTGTACAATACATGGTCATGCGGGCATAGTACTGGGCGGTGGTGGGCGTTGGTGGCTGGCCGGTCCTTCGAAATCTCCCTCCCTCCCAAACCCGCCGGGGGTGCGCTGCGTATTTGTAGTCCAAGAGGCGTCGCTAGTCATGAGCGAGTGTCAGTGTTCGGCCTGTTTGGTTCTCACCACTGGGAATGCGGGGCGGTGTTCTTTTTTTGCTCACGGCGTGACTTGAGGGAAGAACTTGAGACGACAGGCCCCCCGGGTCCCTCCACACCTGCCTACCTACTATCATTCACCACGTCTGCTAACCTACATACCGGTACCTACCTCTACCACATCACCAAACAAAAACGTTAAAAGGGTAATGGTCCTGCACGTAGAGATGAGCACCACAGCCTGTTTGCCTCCCCTCACAAAAAAAAATACAACACAGCCGAGTGAGCATCACGGTCTAGTCCTCCCGTTCTTCACCTCTTAACACCCGTCAACCCCCATCTCCGCGCATCACTAGTCAGGGCGGACAGCTGGGAAAACCGTTGCACATCTATCAATACCTTATATCCACCCGGCAAAAACGCTCTGCCTGCTTTGCCTGCCTGCTTGCTTGTCTCCACAGCTTAGCGAGTCTGCCTTTTACCATACATATCATACATATCATACATACTTGCGGTCAGTAATTCCTCCAACCAGCAGGGTAGCGGTCAGTGGTCCTCACAGGTACCTCAAGCCTCAGGCCTCAAGCCACTCATCCCCGCCGCAATGGCACTCAACAGCTTGTTGCTACGATCTATGGACTGTGTCCTATGTGCCGCTCCCCTAATCCCTCCACCCGGTGAATTCCGGAAGAACATGAAGATGAATATAAGAAGCTGATGTCTGTGTCCTGCAGCCCTTTCGGATCATATCGGTTTCCACAGCCCGTAAACCTTCAATCTTCAATCGACAAGAAAACAAACACCAAAGCCCACTGCCCAACAGCAGCAGCAGCAGCAGCAACAAACAATGGGCCTCTCCTGCTCCAAAGCCGGCGCAGACACCAGCTCCTGGGATCCCAACGCACGTATATCACCGACGAACTCGACATCAGGCACCCTCCAATACACGACCGAAAAACGTGTTCCCGAGCCCCACCCAAAGATCGGGATCTCGCACGCAGCCACAATACGGCCGGTGGACGACTTCGCACTGATCCAGCAATACAACCAGCTATACATGAAAGTGCGGACATGGTCGTCGGAGTTCCTCAGCGGCGGCAGCGGGGGCGCAAAGCAGAAATCGCAGATCCCCGCCGAAGTGCGCACGCAGGTGCAGCGCGTCGTGCTGCAGGGCGATGTTGCGCGCGTCCTCGCCGATAAAACACTGCATCGACATGTCATCGAGGGCCTCGTCGGGCTCGCTGTGTCGGAGCTGTTGAGTTCGTCCCCCATCCCCATCCCTCTTTCTCTACTAACACCGCCCCGCAGCGCCCTCGAAACTCCCGCCTCCCTCCGACCCCGCGTTGCTCCGCAAGGCGGCCTCAGACCTCTGCAGCACCGTCCTTCAATTCGCCAGCAGCAAGCGCAGCAGCAAGCAGCTGAAGTCGGACCTGCTCGGGATCCTGCAGCTAGCGGCGAGCCTCGACGCCGCATTCCGGACGCAGGCCGCGGGGTTCCTCGTCGTTTACGCGCGCGTGGTCAATAGGGATACGCCTGTTAACTTTTCGGGGATGATGGAGGATAAGACGAATGGGCGTGATACGGCGACGGCGGGACAGAGGAGTGTCGGCATGATGATTTTTCCCGGGCTGTTTAAGACTTCGAAGGGAGCGAGGTCGTGTTTGGTTAAGATCAGGGTCGTGTGTAAGGATGAGATGGAGAGGTATGTGGGTAGGATCTAGGGACGAGGCGGAGTCTACACGGTGGGACAGGTCACGGTTCTTTTATTCCATGCTTTTCACTTGTTTGCTTTGTTTCGTTTAATTTAGCGGGAGCGGTTTTGTTTTCTGTTTTCTGTTTTGGGATGTTTCTGTTTATGGGGTGTTTTGGGGATGACGATGACGATGATGATAATGATGGGATGATGGGACGATGGGACAAGGTTACGACACTACTTAATCACTTAGACTTCTTCTTCTTTTTTGTACATATATTTGAAGTTTTTTGGGGGATATCTTTTGTGGACGGGGTGGGATGGGTTGGGATGGGATTGCGGGAGGGAGAGGGGATGGTGGAAAGGATGCAGAGCAGGGCAAGGCAGGGAGGAGGGGATGGGAGGAGGGGATGGGAGGAGGAGGGGATGGGATGCAGGAACCAGTTTGCAAGATGGTGGATGGGCGAGCTGGCAGATGATGGGCCAGCTGGCAGGCGATGCACGGGAAGGAGGGATGGAGGGAGGGCCGGGGAAAGGACGGAGGAAGGGACACTTGACTAGCTGGCTGGCTGAGTTGGTGGAGGGATGGCTGGGAGGGACTAGAAGGATTGTTGGATTGGACTGGAGTCTGGACTGGATTGGACTGGGTTGGGCTGGCTGGCTGGCTGGCTGTGTGGTTGTGTGGAAGATGGAATGACTATGTGGAATGACTACCTAGAAGGATTGTTGGACTGGACTCGACTGGACTGGACTGAGATGGCTCGATGGAGGGAGAACAACATGGCTGGATAGGCAGACCGACGATCAAAGTACTCGGGAAGGGGACACTTAGTAGAGTAGGTTGACTGCGCCTGTATTGTACAATACTACCATACTACTATCATAACTATTCTACATCGTGCTCACAGAATGGACAGTGGACACAACAGACGGATGCAAATGCAATGGCGGGACTACCCACCCATCCATCCATTCCATCCATCTATGGTCTACCTAGTAATAACTACACAGGTACTCCGTTTACCCTTTACCCGAACATCTGAGACACGTGAGACATCGATCGTGCCGGCGCTGCGAAGCTGCGGTTGGATATTGATGTCGTTTAGGCTGGAGGCATAATTCTGTAGTGCTGACATGTTATTGGAGGGGTGGGGGGGGGGGGGGGGGGTATGTAATGAAGCGTTAGTAACGTGACTGCGGTAACTACTTCAGTAGAGTGAGTGCGTTATGGAACGCCGCTACTCTATTATGTGTGTATGTAGGTGCTGTTTTTTCTGTGAAACATGCCAGCGAGCTCGCCTGGTTGGTTGGTTGGTCAACTGATTGGCTGAGTGGGGTATTCCGGGCTTGCCAACAACTCGGCGCTTCGTGGGGGTCGGCGGGGAGTCGGGGACTACCTGGTATGTAGCAGCTCGGTGTTCCATTGTTCCTGGAATATCGTGCCAGCGCGGGGGCATTGCTGAACATCCATCGTCGAGGCGGGCGGGCGTTTTGCTGTTCTGCTGTTTTGCTGGCATCGTCGTAGAGTTTCGTGCGGGATTGAAAGTCTCTGGTGCGATAATCTTCGTTCTTTTTTCTTTTTCTTTTTCTGTTTCTTTTTTCTTTTTCTTTTCCGCCTCATTCATCATCTTCGTTATTGTGCTTGTACACTGCATGAGTCGCAACTGCCGGGGGGCGGGGGCGGGGGAGGGGAGGGGTCACCGCACTCCTGCCCTGGTTACATGTGTGCTGTTATGCTGTGCTGTGCTGTTCGGTCGGACCATGCCGGTATGTCAGAGACTCGTCGGGATTGGAATCGGAAATCGGAAGCGCTAACTACGGTTTGCCGTGGGTAGGTGGCTGACCTCAGCCAACTGCTCCACGGGTGTATGTAGCACCGAGTGCTGGATGGATCATGGATATCGTCGCTCGGTCGAGTGATAGGTCGGAAATTAGCCACATGTCCAGACTCTACTACCTATACCCCGGGCACCAGTCTCCGAGTGGTCCGACTAGATAGCCAGCAGATCTATGTAGGTATCATACTCAGGTACCGCCTCACTTTGCACTGTCCAGTGTCAGCCCTAATTCAGCCACATACCCGTCTAGATTCCAGACAGACAGATCGCGATGCAGGTACATAGGTGGAGATGCACTTACGACTGGTCCCCAACGAATCTTATCGGAGATATGTGTGGATATATGTGGAGACATGTGTACTATGTGTGGATATCGTACACAGTTGACGGGCCTAGATCATCGGGAAATCCAGCACACAACAGTGCAGGGCATGCTCTCTACCTCCGTCCTTCCATTCATCTTTCCATCCATCCATCTTTCCTTCCATCTTTCCTTCCTTGCATCTTTCCATCCATCCATCATCCTTCCTTCTGCACCCCTACACAGCCAGCTATATCAATCCCACCATCCCGGACTCCCGGTCGGTTGATACCTACTTAGGTCTGCGCAAGCCAGTCAGCGATTCGGTATCTTGCGAGCACCCCAGGGGATACCCAGGTACCTGGTCTATAGTAGAAGACCGTCAGCCACACCGTCCTCTAGTGGTTGGCTACCACCGCCGTCTTCGATGCCGCCAGCACACGGTTCAGATATACGTACATACATACAGTAAACATACCCTACCTACCCTACCCGGTGCGTACGTAAGTATCTACGGGAGCGGGAAAACACAGCCTGAGCCTGAGCGCCGCTGGGGTCAAGCTTTACATGGTCGGCCTTACTATGTGTCCAGCCTTTCCCTGCTGAACAAGGCCCGTTCATCGTTCTTGGTTCACTATAAATCATCAACTCCTTCCTCCCCCCCTTGAACCTTCAAGCTGAAATTCCCGCAATCCCCTGGTCGAGGATGATGTGTCGAGGTCTGGTTCGATACGAGCCTGTCCCTTGTTGCCCTCTCCGTTTACCCTCGCTGGGGAGGTAGATCCGTGAGAGGATCCGTTGCGCGGACGGTGTGGATACTGGAAACAACTACTACCAATCGGAGACTCCTCGCCACTCCATCCTTTACTCCCACAAGTTACAACCGGACGTTTGCGCGGATCTGATCTCCGAGTGGAGATTACTATACCGTATGTTTGCAAGTTGCAACGATATTACGCTGGTGGTCTAGATTCTGGATTCTGGATTCTGGATTCTGAATTCTGGATTCTGACGTTCGCTCGCTCGCTCTGTGGGCTCGCCATACGTAGATAGACAGAGCGACAGGTAGACGGGGGTCCCAGTATCGCGTGGTGGGCTCGGTGAACAATTGTTCGACATAGGTAGTCCGGTCCGGACTGCAGTCGGGACTGGACGGGCTGCGTAAAAGTAGTCCGTCCAGTCCATGGAAATCGTGGACTGGGAGCGGACTGGGAGCCGACCGCAGTCCGGTAATGTGCACTTGGTTGCACTTATGACCGAAGAAAAGAAAAAAACCACCTTTGGGTGCTGAAACTTTCCGTCTTGAGTAGTTCGGGTGGTTACGGTGATGTACCGTGTACATTACTTAAACAATGATCAGACTGAGTCTCACACTATGCAATGATTTTCGAGTCTGAACAGCGATGGCTAGTTGGTCCTACTGGATAGGATATGAAATACCCCAGGACTCCCCCGTTTGCTGGGAAGCCCAGGCCCAGGCTCAGGCCCAGGGGCCAGCACTCTCCTCTGTTCCTCTCTCGAGCCGCGGGTTTGGGCTGTGGCCATGAATCATAATTGCAAATGTTGCGACTTCTCGTATGGTACGAAACGGTGATTAGGGGGTTTTGTTTGGTTATCCTCACATTCGGCATTCAGCATTTAGCATAGGTAAGTGAGTATCTAGGCTGCGGCGGCAGCTGTAGTTGGGGGGGGTCTTTTTAAAAAGAGTTCACCATTCTGTACCGTAGGTATTCGGCCACGCTCGACCATGATGATGGCAGCTGTAAGCACAGACACCGTTTCCCGACCTCACCTCACCGGCCACAAAATGTTCAGCCTGACGTATTGTATGTAACTACCAACGGCGGTTACATAGTCTGATTAGTTCTCCGGATAGACTGAAAGATTTTCGAACACGGAACAGAGCAGAGTGATAAGCTGTGAACATGTGGTGAAGTTTGCCGCTAGGAGTAACCATTTCCGCCTCCGCCTCCGCCTCCTGCCCTACCGGTATGTACTGTATAGATTCGGGGGTAATAAAACCGATGTTTCCCGCTGGACGGACATTGATATCGTATCAGGGCATAAAAACCCCGTATTTTGACCGTGCTGATGCCATATCACTACCGTTTTCTTAAAGATGCGGTAGCAGTACCATTTCTTTACACCCCCTCACTATATACCTAGTATATACTAGAAAAGCCGTTGCTCACGGTGTTTGGATTTCAGATTTCACTTTTCGCAAGACCGTCCGAGGCTCCGAGATTCCGAGCCACGTACATGTCCCGTGCAGATATCTATCCGGCTGAGACGGACGGAAGCAAATCTGAGCCACGTGGGTATCGAGCTTCTTGTACATATCACGGGCGTGCTCGCACGAACCATAGTCAGTCGTCGTTCCCACAATAAAGTAAAGATATTACACTCCCCACCATTCCCGGCCCCCATCGGGACCATTTAGGCCGCTCATCCCATATTCTCTATCCTAGTTACCTGCAGTGACAATAGCGAACGAACGAAGGAACGCAACAAAGTTCGGAAGCAGCAAGCAAGCAAGAGGGGGATCAAGCTACAAACAAACAAGCAAGCAAGCATAAAAGATAAGAGTAAAAGTGAAAAAAAGTATAGTGACAAAAGATGTATATAAGTAAAGGCCAAAATACTACTAGTAAGTAAGAATTGACGAAAGCAAGAAAAAACTCCTTGAACAATAAAGTGCAAGAATCCATCCCCTCAAGGCAGCATCGAAGAACTAGACTAAACAAAAGAACGCCCCCGTACTACACGGTATAGTATGATTACAGCAGTAACAGATCCCCCTGGTTCTGGTCGGGTTGGTACATCTGCTGCGGTGCGGACTGACTCACAACTATCACTCGAAGCATCAGTATGGATCCAAAGAACGGGAGGCAATAAAAAAAAGACGTACCATATTGCCCAGTATTACCACCTGTGCCCACGGGCGCGAACGGATTGAGGCCCTGGCTCGAAGTGGAAAAGTAATCATCGGCCATATCGCTGGCCAGATCCGGCTGCGGCGTGAGCTGCATTTGCTGCTGCGACGAGGAAGAGGACGGCGTCATCATCATATCAGCGATCAGCTGTCTGCTGCGTTCCGCCGCGATGGTGGTGGGCAGCTGGTGTTTCTGCAGTGCGGGCGAATCTATAAGTTTCTTGGGCCGCGCGGTACGGAACACTTGGTTTACGGGCTTGAGGTACACCGTTGCTAGTGTGCCCACGTTTAGGCACATTTCCTCGAGCGTTGCCGGGTCGAGCTTCTCCGCTTCCGCGGTGATCGGCGGTTTCTCGCCCATGACGATCTTTTTGGCGGTTGCAGGGTCCGCCGATAGGAGCCGCCAGTACATGTACCCTCGGTCACGGAGATCCGGGTTGTCAGTTTCTTCGGTGGCCCATTTGAGGACTTTGGGCACCAAGTCCTGCCCTTTGGTGGGACGCTGGATGAAGAGTTTGACGGTTGCGGTGAGGAGGGCTAGTTGTACCTCGACCGGCTCGTCCTGGAAGGAGAAGAGGAAGTCTTCAAGGAGCACATCCGAGTTCTCGATGCGGTCCGCATACTGTCCGATGACCCAGATCATGGCCGCCTTCGCTTCTGGCTCGTCGAGAGAGTCGAGATTCTCGCAGAGCGTAGAGATGATTGACTCGTACTGGTTCGGGTACTTGCGGAAGATGTTGCGGATCACGACGGTGGCCTCTTGGACGATGTATGAAACCTTTGTCGCGACGAGCTCGAGGAGCGTGTTGATGCAACGGCGCGCGGCAGGTTCTATCTTGATCGCGAGTTTGCCGATAGCACGAACCGATTTGCGAACGAAGTGGACGTCGATCTCGGTGGCATATTCGCGAAGCTCCGTCAGCACTTCCTCGATGTTGTCTTCGTTCGCCAGCATGAATATTAGTTCGAGCTTGGTTACTTTAACGTAGATCGGGTCGTTGTATTTGCAGAAGAAGACGCGGATGTCATTTCGTAGCACCTCGGGACGCCGCTGCAAGATCAACAGCGCGTTCCTCAGAGCAAGGTATTGCACCTCTGGACCTTTGGCCAGCAATGTCACCAGCGGCGGAGACAGTTTCCGACAAAGAGCTGAAATATCCTTCGGGTCGGATATGTAATTCATCAGATAGAGGATCATTCGGATGCAAGTGAGCACGACCGCCGAGTTCGAATGTTGTAATCGGGGTGAAATGCGCTCTGCCATGATGCTGGCTTCACTGCAGTCTTGCGGAACGTACGACATGAGCGCCTCCAGGATGTACGTCTGCCCCCATCTGTAGACTCATTAGAGCTTCATCCTGCACGAACATGTTGTGGACCGCCAAATAACGTACTCTGAGCAGTCTGGGAGAATCTGCACAATCTTGGAAGCATTTGCGTGGTCGATGGTGAGCTTGATGGTCTCACTGCGCTCCCATATGTCCATCAGCGATACCAGAGCACTCGACACAACTGTCGGATTGTCGTCTCTCAGCAACGCATTCAATCCTTCTATCAACCCCCCGCCTCCGTTCTTGACCACCGAGCTCTCCACGAGCTCTCTATCATGGTCGTAGAGCTTTGCCACGCAGAATGCCGCCGTCTTTCGCACGTAGGGGTCCGGGTCTCGGAGCAGGCCGCGTAGGGGCGTCACTGTAGCTTCGACGAACTCGCGAACGTGGATGTAGGAGAGAGTTCGTAGGGCGAGCGCGCGGACGAGGGGATTGGGATCGTCCATATCGGACACCAGAATCGGCAGGGCATGCTGTGCCATCTCCGGCTTCAGACGGCCGTAGTTTACAAGGAACAAGAAGCACCTGCGACGTCGCGGCGGCCAGTCAGTCAAGCTCTACGTTGCAGCACATACGCCGGCAGCGCTGAAATAATGCCGCGCCGAGACACGGACGTGCGAGTGTGCGGGCATACATCTTCTTGATCTCAAGCGCCGGAATCATCATGCACTGGATGACGTCTGGGAACAGCGCGGCCATGTCGTTATTGCTCATGGTCATATTGGCAACTATCTTTTTGAGCGCAATCTTCTTCCTCGTGAAGTTCTTGTCCTTCTTGTCGCTCTGGAGTTCGGCGCGCAGCTCGGCGACTTTGCCCTACAGAAGCACGATTCATGGTCAGCTCCGGCTGCGGGGACAATGAATGGGGGGCGGAATCGAGTGGATTCGTGAGCGGGTGGGAAGTTACCCGAGCAAAGAAGCGTGCATCACCACCGCTGGACATGATTCTGCTCGTGATCTTGTATTCTTGGAAGCTTCTTCTTTTCTGTCTGGGAGGATGATGATCTTCTGCTTCTTCTTCGACTTTGTTTCTATCTACGTCAATTCTATGATTGGGAGATTCGCGTGTCTTCCGGCTGGGGGGATGGGGCGGTGGTTGCAGGGCAACAGGCAAATTGATGGAACTATCCGGCTTAGTCAGACTACCCCAACACTCCGCACAAGCCACGAGTGCGAGCCCCATCGGCTTCGCCATCCGAAACTCTCATCTGTCTCTCCTCAGCTGCACAGACACCGTCAGCCAAACGGACACTCCTTCTCTCCTGCCCCGACGCCAGCAACCGATACACCCCTCGAACCCGCCGAACTATCGATTGATCATACACTCGCTATTCCGATTTACCTTCTGATACATATAATTTGCAACACTCGAGAAATCTCTGTCGCCTGCCCGCACCATGCCGCCGAACCATCCGCCCCGTATGCCCCCTCCGCCTTGGGTTATCGACCTCAAGAACCTCCCTGCCAACAAGCCGCGCCCGGTGTCCTCCTCGATCCCCGACCCGCCTGGATTCTCCGCTCCCTCCGGCTCCAAGGTATTTGACTATCCTACAAAATGCGGCTGCCCTGGAGAAGGAAAGAGAGAGATGGGGAGAGGAGAGGAGAGGTGTCGTACAGGCAGCTAACCGCCCTTCCCCAGAAATCCGCGAAACTAGGCCCCAGCACGTCCGCGAATCCCAGCGAAACCGATGACCTGTTCCTAAAGAAAGCGTGGGAGATCGCACTTGCGCCCGCGAAGGCCATCCCGATGAACGCTATCATGATGTACATGTCTGGCAACACGCTCCAGATCTTCTCCATCATGATGACTGTCATGTTGTTCATGAACCCGATCAAGGCTCTCTCGACTGTTGGCTCCACGTTTTCTCGTTTCGACAACGAGCGTACCCACGCCAGACTCTGGCCGGTTAAGCTCGCTTTCATCGCTTTGCAAATCGCCACGATAGCACTCGGAATCTGGAAGGTTAACGGGATGGGCTTACTACCGTAAGTTATACTCCACCATGCGATTTACGTATGCTTGATCCTAATATTGACTCCTGTCACAGGACTACACGCTCGGACTGGCTCGCATGGGAGAGGGAACGACAACCGATGGAATACTCTGCACCAGCCTTCCAGGCAATTCTCAACTAATAGAGATAAGTGACGGATGTGTCACTGTGAGAGAGGGGGGGGGAGTGACGCTGTGGATTACGAGATTTTCCTTTCTTGTCCTTGACTGCCTTTAGGAGCAGTATTATGCATGCATACTTGATGTGGTGGTTGCGGAGAATTGAACAAAGTGGCATCACATTATCATCACAAACAAACTTGGCATCATTTCTCGTATTCGTTCCTCACCAGCTAGTGCAAACACTCGTATATGAGGTAGGTACTCACTTACTCACACACATACAATCCAATCTACAGCTTACTATCAACCCATTTGACTTCCCTCTTCTCCACAAACGCCCTCAGGCCCTCTTGGATATTCGGACCCGCCTGCAGCTGCTTCCAAATCCCCTTCTCCACCCTCGTCGCCGCGACATCAACTCCCACCCCATCCCACGCCCCTCTCAGGGCCGCCCTACTAACAATCACCGAGTCGGGACTCATACCAGCAATCTTCCTTGCCACCTCGACGGCCCTCTCCACCACGTCTCCCTCAACAACTTCATTAACCAACCCCCAACTCTGTGCCTCCTGTGCACTCAGCACCCGGCCCGTGAGCGCAAGCTCACTCGCCCGCTGCATCCCCACAATCAACGCCAGTCTCGGCAGCAGGCCCGCAATAGCGACGACGCCCCTGCTAGTCTCTGGCAGGGCGAACAGACTCTCTTTGTGCGCCAGCACCAGGTCCGTATTCCCGGCGGCCTCCAGGCCTCCACCGAAGCAGATCCCGTGGACAGCCGAGATCACCGGCTTCTTCCCGAGGCGGGTCGACAGCCCCGCGAAGCCGCCGCCTGCTTGCGGGCGCGCGCGCCCCGCCGTCGAGTCCCATTCTTTGAGATCGGCGCCGGCGCAGAACGCCGCGCGCTTCTGGGGCAGCCGCGCCCCGGTGATGATCGCGCACCGCAGCGAAGAGGTGTTGTCGTACCACTCCCAGATGCTGGCGAGCTGTACGTGGCCCTGCGTCGAGATGCAGTTCATGGATGTGGGACGGTTGAGGGTTACTGTCGCATGAGGTGTTAGCTAGTTGTAGTGAGCAAGGAGAGAGGTGGGTATACCCAAAAGGATGTTGTCCGCAGGGAAAGAGATCAGAACATGCTCATCCACCTGTGGCGGCGGCGGGTTGAAGGTGGGCGCAGATGTCATGGTGAATGATATTGATAATGATAGCACCTGGCTACTTCTTCTTTTGCTTCTTGTAATTGATATGATATGATGCCGCAAAGTTGCGTTTGTAGGGTAGATATAGGCAATTGGATATCGGAGATAACATTCTGGGGGAAGTTGAGGGGATTATGATGGGGAGAGCTCTCAGATGCTTGCCCGCGTAGCCGTTGCCGAGGTTCACAGCCGCGGCTGGAGACAACTGCAGATCCGTTGAATGCTGAAGGCAGGGAGACTCGCGAAGAGTGATGAGCGATGAATGGATTGTTGCACTTTTGCAAGATGAATATACACCGTCCCGAGCACCTGAATCCGTCACCAAGTCGATAATTCTTGTCGATAACACTCAAGCTGCAGGATTCCATACATCATGTTCGTCACGCCAGCTATGCGGCTCAACAGGTAATTAAGTACCTAGCTTTAAGGTCCCTACTGTTGTAAAACAAACAAAAACCCTGCACCTGCATCACCTCCCACCTCTCTCCGACCTCCGACCTCCCCCCCAAGCTCCATCACACACACGTCCGCATCCCCACCGCCCACAACACACCAGCAACCTCCCAGCAACCAACAGAACTACCACGATGGCGACAACGAATTACAAAGAAGCGTTCGCACTGTTCGACAAGCGTGGCAACGGCCGCATCCCCAGCAGCAGTCTCGGCGACCTCCTCCGCGCGTGTGGCCAGAACCCCACGAACGGGGAGGTAGACGAGCTCGTCCGCGGCGTGAAATCCGACCGTACGCGCCTCCCCTCCCCTTCCCTCACCTCTCCCCCCTCTGTTTCCCCCGCTCTCGTGCTGATGGGATTCGTTAAAAGTCGACTTCGAATCGTTCCTCAAAATCCTGAACCGCCCCAATGGCTTCCGCGAGCCCGGCGAGCCGCAGGAGTTCGTGCGTGGATTCCAAGTGTTCGATAAGGATATGACGGGGTATATTGGCGTTGGAGAGTTGCGATACGGTATTATACCCCGCCCACCCGCCCGACCCCTGAGACGGAAGGAGAGGGATGGGATGATCACGATGCTGATGTGGTGATGGGAGGATAGTCTTGACCAGCTTGGGTGAGAAATTGACGAATGAGGAGGTGGATGAGCTCCTGAAGGGAATGGAGATCAAGGGGGATCAGGTCAACTATGTTGGTGAGCACCATCGCGTTGCAACCCCTCCACACCTCACGACTCATGGCTAATCGAATACCTCACAGACTTCGTCAAGATGATCATGGCTAACTAAGCTCCATGACCGCATGCACTCCACACACGAGCTTAGCTTAATGAATAGAGGCGGTGGACAAGAGGGAGGAGTGCTTGTCCGTTGCTTTACTGTCTTACATACCATGGATCGGTTTCCGTTCTTCTTTCGCATCATACTTAGCGTCGCTATTATTGCTTGCTTATTCCAATGATTATGATGATGGTGATGATGATGGTGGTGATAATTGTGGAGTTTGTACGCTTTTCACGATGTGCTGCGACCTGCTCAGGGGATACAACGTCTTTATTTCAACGGCCCCATCATAAGCGAATCGAACGCAATCTGCTCTCCAAAAGAGTATGACTTCCACCCTCTTGCTCACAAGACAAGTGCTTCGACCAAAAAGAAAAGAATAGAGTAAAATGAATCAAAAACTCCGATGCCACACGGTCAAAAAAGAAAAGAGACCCTTTGCGTATCACCCATACACCATCTACAGACTGGCCTTCTTGAACTCATTGATGAGTCCATTCGTGCTAGCATCGTGTCCAGACACGGAGCCCTCGCTATCCAACTCCGTACCGATGTTCTCTGTTCGCCATATCAGCATCATCCGGCGTGTACACATCCAAGGGAAACTTACTGGCAAGGACTTTGCCCAACTCAACACCCCACTGGTCGAACGAGTTGATGTTCCAGATGGCGCCCTCGGTGAAGGTAAGGTGCTCGTAGTAAGCAATAAGAGCTCCAAGCGCACCGGGAGTGATCTTGGTGGCGAGGATGGAGGTGGTCGGACGGTTGCCCAGGAAGATCTTGTGCGGCAGCAGCTCCTTGTCGGCGCCCTCGGCTGCTACTTCGTCCTTGGACTTGCCGACCATCAGGGCTTCTGACTGCGCGAAGAAGTTGGAGGCGAGCATCCTGTTCTTGTGTTAGGTCGGGGAGGAGAAGCGGGGGGAGGGGGAGGGACGTACTTCTGGTGGGTGTTGTTCTCAGTAGGGTTGTGCGAGTTTACAGCGAGGATGAAGTCAGTGGGGATGAGCTTTGTGCCCTGGTGCAGCAGCTGGAAGAACGAGTGCTGAGCGTTGGTGGCAGGCTCTCCAAAGAGGATGGGGCCCGTGGTGTACTTGACGTATTCACCGGCGCGGGTGATGGCCTTTCCGTTGGATTCCATAGAGAGCTGCTGGAGGTACGCGGGGAAGCGGTGGAGGTACTGGTCGAACGGGGCGACGAGGTGGGTCTGCGCACCGAAGAAGTTGGAGTACCATACGCTCAACAAGGCACCGACCACGGGGATGTTGTCTTCCAACGGGGTGTTGAGGAAGTGCTGGTCCATGGCGTGAGCACCAGCAAGGAACTGCTTGAAGTTGTCGAAGCCGATGTACAAAGACACCGACAGGCCGATGGCGGACCAGACGGAGTAGCGTCCGCCGACCCAGTTCTCGAAGCCGAACATGTTCTTAGAGTCGATGCCGAACTTCTCGACTTCCTCCTTGTTGGTAGAGAGGGCCACGAAGTGCTTGGCGATGGCAGACTGGTCCCCATTGATGGCAGACTGGGACAGGAACCATTGCTTTGCGGTGTTGGCGTTGGTGCAGGTTTCGGCCGTGGTAAAGGTCTTGGACGCGATCAAGAAGAGGGTGGTCTCTGGGTCACACGCGCGAAGGGCCTCGGTGACGTGGGTGCCGTCGATGTTGGAGACGAAGTGGAGCGTTAAACTGCGGTCTCCGTAGGGCTTGAGAGCTTCCGTAACCATGACAGGACCGCTATCACGAAACGGTCAGCCATATATCCCTCTATCCAAAGGCGGTGAGTTGATCACGGCGGGATCTTACAGGTCAGAACCACCGATACCAATGTTGACAATGCTCGCAATCTTCTTTCCGGTGTGTCCCTTCCACTCTCCGGACCGGACCTGCTCCGAGAACTCCTTCATGTGATCGAGCACGGCATTGACATCCTCAACGACGCTCTTACCATCCACGCTCATGGGCTGGTTACTCGTGTTCCTGAGCGCAGCATGGTACACGGCGCGCTTCTCGGTAAAGTTAATCTTCTCTCCCTTGAACATATCATCCCGAAGCTTCTCGACGCCCGCGGCTTTGGCCAGCTTGACCAGCAGGGCCAACGTCTCGTCGGTCACCAGATTCTTCGAGAAATCCCACAGGATGTCCAGGCCATCGGCGGAGTTGGTGAAGCGCCGAGAGAACTTGTTGAAGCGCTCGGGGTCGGACGAGAATAGTTCCTTGAGTATCAGAGACTTGCCGGTCGACGTGTAATGGTCGTGCAGAGTCTGGTAGGCGGGGAGTTCCGAAGTCTGGGAGAACGACATGGTGATAGGCGAAGCGGTGGATGGTTTGATGGATGAAAGTTCAAGTCTAGGAGATGTGTAAATGGAGGTCCGAGGGAATTGAGTTATATGGTCTCGCTCAAGCTCAAGGGCTAACAAGGAGATGCTCCGACACGGCTACGGGTCGGTGGGGGGGGGGTAAAATAAACGAAGCTTAGTGCGGGGTAGGTTGCTCAAGGCTAAACGCCGAGAGAAGCGCAATTCAAGCAAGCAAACACGGCACAGACAAACAGATTGGCCTACATACCTCTTCCAGGGGGTTTCTATCTAGATCCGCACGGCCTGCTTCTGCTGCTGCTGCTGCTGCTGCTGCTGCTGCTGCTGCTGCTGCTGCTGAGATGATGATGAGCTGTTGGAGTTGCAGGGTGGGGTGCTAATCGCAATTGCAATGAGGGGTTTTGTTTTCGAGATAGCTCGGGCACTTCTCTGCAGCTACATATATAGAGGATTTCCCTATCTCGTTTCCATATTGCATCACATCCCATATCCCGCCGTGGAGACCGGGTGACGTACGTACGTGGGCACTGGAGGAGATGGGGCGCCGCCGGGGGAAGGAAGGGGGATCCTTTGCTGGGGGGGCTGCTTTTCCGGCGCCCCGCCACGTCTAGTACTGCACCGATGTTTCACGGCTGAAGAAAGGACTAGAGAACGTTTGGGCGGCTGTGAACCAATCATCGCAGCAGCTGTCGCAGCAGTCGCAGTCCACTCTTGCTTGACCTCCCGCCAGTGGTGGGGCTTATGTAAGTGGGCAGGTATTGGGGTCGACGGTTAAACTCCGGATGGCCATCGCTCGAGCCCCAACGTTCACGTTAACGCCAACGCCGATGACCCCACGTCCGATCTCCACGGAAAACTTCCCCATGCTTCGCCAGCCTGCTCATAACCCCGCACTCGTTATCTGAATCGCCGGTATCAAATTTGCTCCCGTCGACTGCCGGCTGAAAGCGGGCGGACCTTCGTGGCCCGAAATCAAGTGAAAAATTCGGCCTGCAGATTCGTGCAGTGCAGTTCAACGGATCCGGAGTTGCTGTACACGTTGGAAGTGGAATCACAAAGAACATCTCAACTGCGGTGTCAGCACTGCAGAAACAAGACACTCTAGATGCACCGTCAATCTGTACTCTATACGTCGAGTAAAGTACATGGTGCTCATGATGATACTCTATTTACTCTTCCCGCCGTAGAAAGTTCTCTAGTATTCTACTTTTCCTAGGCAAACCTTCGCACTAATGGCCGCCGCCGCACGCAGCTGTCTTGGGATATCGATGAGGTCGTCCCGCTCCACGATCCATCGCTCAACACAGCAATACTCATGAATGAGAAGATGCATACATCCCATTGATTCGTCTCGAAAAAAACCTACATAAAAACGCCTCTTGCCCCAATCCTTTGATATCCTCGCGCTCAAGCATAGTACACGACTGTAATAAAAAAAACAATGTAACCTCCAACGGAAGCATGGAAAATCCCCCCCTCGGTCTGATCGCATACTCCAATTGAGCTGAAACGAGGTATGTCAGCCAGACGGAAACAGCGGATAAAAAGAAGCGAGAAGCGTTTATCACGAAAAGAGACAGTATGTGTCAAGAAGATGAGGAGGATGGGAAGTGTGCTGAGTTGACCACGATTAGGCGAATCACATACAAGTATCTGTTGACAACCGGGTATTTCAAGGCTTGCCAATCCATCCAGAGTCAACGAAGAACTGATGAATCAGGCCAACCTTTTTGCCGTTATCCTCATTTTCAACCTATGTATATGGATGGAAAGAGTATGTTAGCCGTGTCATAATCGAAGCTATGGTTGGGTGATGACTGACCCTGCATAGAGCTTTTGCGGTGTCCACATCAACAATGCCGCCATTCTTGATGGCTTCGCTTATCAGCCGTTCCTTGATGCACATGAATGACTTGGGTTTGAGAAACATCTTCTTGCACAGCTTCTGTTCCTTCTTACTGAGGAGGTGATAGTCTGTGGCATGCTCGATGTTGTTCAGAGACGCCGTGTTACCGTTCACTCCATTCCTCCTCACGCCATTGGCAGCCGGGGTTGGCGACATTGGTGATGATGAGTCTTCGCGAGCGAAGGACGTTGGCGGGAGCTTGGGGGCGGTGAGCGGGTTGATCGGTGGTGCCTCGACTGGCGGTGTTGCTTTGGAGTATCGATGGGAGAGGCGGTCAACAGGATTGAGCTTGTTTCGAAGCACTTCGTTCTGGAGAGATGCAGTTTTAGCGCCGAGGCTAGTGGAACGTCATGTGACCGGTGTCACGAGGACCACTCACTCGCTGAACCTTCTCGACCTCATATTTCTGCCCTGCTTCGAGGGTCTGGATGCCCATTCGCCTCCACTCCTGCAACTGCGTGACGGCTTGTCTTAGTGTGTACTCTTGCAACATTCCGTCAGTGAAGTCATCATAATCCCGCTTATTCATTATCCGTGCGAAAGGTTTGGGTTTATTGAGCAGATCTCTCTCATCCTTTGTTCGTCTCTTCTCGATGGCGGCGTTCTTGCGGTATTCCAAAAGACCGTGCTCGAACATGACCTTCTTCCGTTGGGCTCGCTGCGTGAGCTTGTGGTTGTATATGTCCATCACCGTGCACTTCAACTCAACCTCCGGTTCCACCTGACCAGTGCTCGGGTTGATCCCATCGCCCGGTTCGAAGAACAGATCCTTCACCGCCATTTCGGCCTCATTATCAAACTCCGTCTCAAACTCCAACCGACCAGGCATGTATCCTTGGATTTCATGGCATGACGGGACCGACGCCGTTGGCTTTTTCTTCGGGGCCGACGGAGTGTGCTTCGCAGCCTCCTCCTTCCTCGTTTCGATCCTTCGTTTCTTCCTGGACTGAAACTCCTCCCTCGAGATGCCAACGAACGTCCTGTCCCCCGGATCGCTGTGTTCTGGCAGCGGGAATTTCGGCGAGTTGATGTAGGTCGCTATGTAGTGGTCTCTAACCTCATCCTTGTCACGTGCGCCTCCGATGTGATCCGCGATATCCGCCCAGGACCCCAACCCATACATTTCCGCGCCCTGGAGTAGCAAAAGCTCCTCATCGGCGCCCCAGTCCGGCGTGTATATGGGATACGCGTTCTGCTCGATCACATGGTATGAGTGCGAGACGCATTTGTGCGATCCGGACTCGGCACCGGAGGTGAAGCATGGCACGCAGAGGTCGTACTCAACACACGATGGGTGGGCACAGCGTATCCGAACCTACCGTGGGTGCGATGTCAGCGGAGTAGTGCGTTGGGGGATGCGTCAAGAGTTGGGTTTGACAGCGACGCCGATCGGAGCGTGCGTTGCGGTGTGTATAAGCGGCGGGGTTGGGGTTGCGGCGATGCGGTGTTGGCTGGGGGAGGGGGTCCATACGGTGAACGTGATATCGACATTACACGCGTCGCAGTGATAACGCACGCCGGGCTCTACTCGACCGGGGTGCACAGACTTTCTCTTGATCACACCCATTGCTGTGTCGTGGTCTTTGACGAAGGCCTGTTAAGCTACCGCGCGAGCGAAGGCGTCCTAATCGGGGGCCGGGATTCAACCGCGACACGTTTCGATGCTGATATGTGGCTAACCGACTCGAACGATCGCTGGAGGGCTAGTGTGAGTGGCTGATCGCGTGCGAGAGAGATAATCGACGCCGACCGGAGGAGCGAAAGGATCGGGGGTGTAGCAGCGGTGCGGTGAGAGTGCGGTACAGACGATGTTTTCCGGATTCGGCTTTGTAGTTCGTGAGGGGACGAGGGAAGCTCAGCTCCGGGCGTTAGGGGGATCGCGCCGCGGCTGGGTAGGACGTAGCGACTACTGGGTTGGAGTGCCCCGATTACAATGGTGCCAAGCCAAGATCAAGCGAGAATAAGGAACGTGGGAGTCGAAACATGAAGTTCCGATAAACCTCCACCGGGGGACTTGGTTTCATTCAAAGAGAGATCTACTGCGGCTCTGCTCTCGAGATGCTTCACAACAGCATCCAAGCAGCGTGGGCTTCTGTGTGGGATCCATCTTCAGCCCGCTTGGAATTCTGGCCCATGGTGGCTTGGAATTCTGGCCATTGCGGCATGAGAATGCTAGTCAGAACTGGCATAGAAAGAGAAATCTTTCAGCCGCAGCTGCAGCCGCACCCACCGAGTCGGGCAACTTAACGTGTGCACACTTCGTCAGTGCTGTGAAGGCTCTCTAACGGTACTTGTTACAGTCCCCAGCACAATCACAGCAACGACCATTTACGGTATTCCTTCCACGACAAAGAATTCATCGACATAGGGAACTTGACAATAACTCCACTGTCAGCCCTCGGCGACAATGATTTCTCCAGGGTCCCAAAGGGCGATCAGATACCGAGCCAAGTTCATGGTGTCAACTGCGAAACCTTAGTTAGCCGTCAAAAGTGTTTGGCTGCCGGAGCCCGAACAACCGCACTATTGGCAGATCACTTTGCTAGCCGCGAGTGTCGACCGGACAGCCACCGTCAACCCGACCTAACAGCCACCGCCGTCCCGTCTCCCCACGAATTGTCCGCCATGATCTCGATTCTCGATGGGCCGTATTCCATCCGATGAAGCAAAAAGACTCCGGTTATCAGAGTCTGCTTTCATCGCGGGGCGAGCGGACCGGACGTTTTCTCAGAATCCGGCTCGTGCTAACCAAGTCTCATTATTCATACACTCCAACCCAGTGTTCGACATAGTCCAGTCCGTCCGTTCTGAGCCTCGGACTGGGCTGGACTGTATCTTGGCAGTCCGTCCGGGAGCAGTGTTCAGACGGACTGGTCCAAAAAATTGGAGGGTAGGACGAACTACTTTCACGCAGTCCGTCCAAATGGCCGGAATGGACCAGATTTTGGCAGTCCGTCCAGTCCGGACTATATCGAACACTGCTCCAAGGACCAACCCTCCGCTACGGACTCCCAAGACCCAGTCCCGTCCATGCCTTTTGGAGGACGGGATAAAAGTAGTCCGTCCCGCCCGTTAAGTTTCTGGACGGGATTGGACTGCAGTCCGGTAGTTAAAGAAAATTCCCCTCTTTCCAGCACTTCCTCTACCAAATCCGGCAGTAAGACCTTTCCAGGACACCACCTTCGTCCAATTTGCGCTGTACATAGGTATGTACTTTTACCAGTCTTGGTGGTCTTAGCAGTCGACTACAGTTCGTCCCGTCCGACCTTACTGGTAGACTAGTCCCGTCCAACAGAAACCTCCGGACGGACTGGATATATGTAGTCCAGTCCCGTCCATGGGTCCGAACGGACTGGACCGGACTATGTAGAACACTGCACGCATTGCTTGTACCCTAGGGAGCCCGCAGCCCTATCTTCTAGTCTTGATCCATCTGTATATCGCCTTACCTTCTGTGTAGGAGATTCAGGTTTCCCGCCGTACATTTTGCTTCCTCTATTCCCTCGATAATGAAGTTCATCGTAGGGATAGGTACTCACCTCCACAGCAGCGTAAGGTGTGTCACGTGATAATTACTGCCGAGTGATATCAAACTAGTGCTCCCTCCGTCACGCCAAAAACAAAAACAAAAACCGTCACCACCTCCGGTGGGTGGCTTGAAAACCCCAAGAGTTGAATACAAAGGTTTTCTACCTAGGTTAAACCCGGAAATTTCCCTCGACTCCCCTCGCCGATTGCATGGCCTAAACCACTAGACCACGCGGGAATTTTTCCGTGCTGGAAACAGCAATTCGATACCTATAAAGTGGTGGGTGCCCTCGCGACGGACAAGCTCCGTCACAACGCTGTCTGTGCTGAACGAGTGAAAAACATGCCGTGTGCTTTGAATAGATCTGATGTGACGTCTTTCTGTGTTTGAACGAAAGGTGCAGCGTGCTAGTGCTGTATCCACAGCGACGCCTGCGAGCTATCCATAGCAAGACAAGCTAGGTATCCGTGGAGAGGAGCCGCAGAGGGAGACGCGATCTAAAGAGGCGCTGCAACTGGCCGGGTGGTAAGGCTTTGGAGCGAATGGAATACCCGGATGACGAATGTATCGCCATAACCTAGCTAAGATCGCATGCAATTTAGTGATGAAACAAAAAAGTGTCGCAACATTTATGGTGCACCAGTGAGGTGAAGTTGCATTTGCCGCACAAGCGCCATCTGCCGCGCATTTGAAGGTTGTTAGCGACGGATGGCTGAGCCTGGAGCGCCACATTTGGATGAGGCTGGAGCAAGACAACCCCCTCAAAATGCCACATAAAGTATCCATGTTATTAGCATGTAACGACCGTATGGAACCGCAGCTCCAAGGATTGGCGCGATTTGGTAGGTGTCGGGTGTGCGTGTATAAATAATCAACCCATCCTCTACATAATCGAACCCTCCATAACGAACATCTACAGCTATATGCTCGCTGTCCAGTTACACCCTCTTCAGAACTGTCTCTATTATCCTCCTGCCACGCTACAACTTTGCCGGTTCCCGAACCTTAATGAACAGAGCGTTCCCTTCAGCATACACCCCACCCACCCCATCCTCCACCGTCGCAGTGACAAAAATCTTCCTCCCTTCCCTCTTGACCACCTTACCTCTACACAGCACCACAGTCGGCGTCGGCACAGGCTTCTTGAACGTGACGTTCAGATACGCCGTGAACGCCATCGTATTCATGGCGGCGGCCGTGGAGATATCCAGCATCGTGGTCACCATCCCGCCGTGGAGAACACTCTCGTGTCCGTTCATTCCACTGCCGAGAGAGAAGAGCAGGCATACGTCGCCCGAGGGGTTGGTGACGACCGCGAGCGCCCGGAACGTGAAGGGTGTATTCAGCGTGACGGCAGTGAGGGAGTTGGTGCGGCCGGGCGTGGGTTGTTCGACGAGGATGTCGCCGCTCCTGTAGGGTATGGTGGTGGGGGAGGAGAGGAGGGCGGCGGCCCATGGTGTGCCGGCGAAGTCGGGGTGGTCGTGGGGACTGTAGAAGGAGGCGGCGGGGGCGGCGGAGAGGGCCATTTCACGCGTCGGAGGGAGATAAGGTGGGTAGAGTAAATTGAGTGTGATAATCGCACCCTTGGAGATGCATATTTATTCACTGGAATCGATCTGTATAGCCGGGAGAGGTACCGTAGATTTATTTCGCACACAGCCTAACCACTGCCGATTTTATTCTTGTTTAATAATCCACGCATTGAACCTATCCAGAGTAGATCATGGCATACCATCCACAGCCGAGTAGCCGCTGTGGGGGAGGAACCGATTATGTAACTGCCATAATCTAATAAGGTTGAATGCAAACTGATTAAACAAAAAGCCGAGCAACCGCTGGGCCCTTGATCCTGGACCCTGGGTGCCTGGGGTGAGTGATGGCAGGTGACGATCAGGCAGCCACGCCAACCACCGAAGTTGACCAAATCCACACATGATTCCGCGACCAGGTGTCCCCCACCAGAGTGAGCCCTTGCAAACCTTAATCAACCTCAATTCGCTGCGCTAAGTTTCGGGAGTTACGGTTGGCTGGTGTCATCACGCATGACAGGAAGTAGTCTAGAAGGAGAAAGGTTCGTGCATAGTATCGGAAGTCAGAGACAGCCCCAATGCTCTAATGCCCAGAAACCACCTTTATCACTTGTTGGAGAAGCTATCACCTTGAGAAGACAGAGCGAATCGTATTCCCAAAAAATAGATGGGGCAAAGCTGTTGGAAATTTTCTGGCTTTGCATATCCACCAGAGATACCGCAAAAGCGGTTGTTTGCCACGAAAATGTAGTATGCCGGGTCTAGTCCCAGTAAAGGTGGAGTTTCTCGACTCTACTGACTCAAGCTTCGGGCACACTCACTCCTCCGACCTTCCAGGATGAACGGGCTCTCTGCTCTCCGGAATCATCAATCTCCAAGCCGACTCTACGGGTATCGTAGTCCCACTTCTTGCCTCGAAGAGCACTCCATGAGCGCCTATTAATGAATGAACAGTTCTTCTGATGCTCAAGTTTTTGATTCTTGTGATCTGCCTTGCGCCCTCTTCTTTTCCAAGAACTTTGCTACCCCCGCGTGACTTCCTTGGTTAGCGAGATCCTCGGCAGCCCCGCCCCCAGAAGTCGTCGCGATATCAGCACCGGCATCCACCAATATCCGTACGATCTCCATGTTGCCTTTTGCTGCTTCTGCCTGTAACGCCGACAAGCCCTTCCTATTTGCTATACTGAGATCTGCGCCACTCTCTACCAAGCGCTTGACGAGCCCAGCCGACCCACCAGCTATAGCTGCGTGCAACGCACTCCCGCACACTCCGCTTTGCAAATTGACATTCGCACCGCGTTCCAACAGCCTCTCGACTACATGTACCTTTTTCCTGCGAACAGCTGCCTGCAATGGGAACCCTCGGCGGGGACCACGGGTGTCCGAATGCATCCCGCGGTCGATGAATAGGTCCACCAGATCGAGGTGGCCCGACCATGCGGCAGCGAGCAGCGGATTGACGAATTCGCCGCAGGACAACCCCATGTCGGCGCCGTGCTCCAACAGGAACTTGACCGTGGCGGTTTCCCCTTTCCACGCTGCCGCCTGTAGCGCGCACCCGAAGTGGCCTCCCGGCGTGTGGATGTTGGCGCCGCTCTGCAGGAGGAACAACAGTATCTCGATGCTGCCGCTGAACGCCGCCGCTATCGCTGCGGTCCCGAGATAGCCCCCGTGTGCATTCACGTCTGCTCCCTTCTCCACCAAAAGCTTGACGATTTCGAGGCTGCCACCGTTGGATGCTGCGCACTGAAGCGCATTGCCGTACCTTCCGCCTTGGTTGTTCACGTCGGCACCATCCTCGAGTAGAAGCTCTACTACTAGCATGATGTGTAGATACGACGCTATGTAAAGCGGCTGGAGAGCATCACCGACCTCCTCTTTGGGAAAATTATTGGACCAGTAGCGTTTCATCCACAAACGGAACTGGGAGCCCTCGGTGAAGAATTTCCGAAAAATGTCCTTTGTCTTCTAGTCTAGGGGGACGCACGAGCGGGCATGGAACGGCCACGTGTGGACCGGATATGCTAAAAGTTCGTACGGACTGACATGATCGGTCAAGAGGAGATAGACCATACATATCCTTGCAAGAGCGGACGCGGCTTCTTTCACGGGCACGTAGAACTTTCTGTGGTAAAGCAGCTCGAAACGGGGATTATCGTTGCTCGCCACGCTCTCGCTGTCAGTCATCAAGAACTCTTTGACGGTCTGATGGATGAGCATGACCCGGGACTCCACAATCTCAACCAGAGGGCCGCACAACTCCTGTATCTCGACCTCTATGTTCAACGGCATGTAATCCTGGATCTCAGGCATCGACCGAGCGTCATCTCTCGTCGCTATAGCTACCCTCAACTCCTCGAGAGAGATCGGGAACGCGGAATGTGCGATCCACATGAGGATTTCCTTGGCTCTTTCGCGATTCTCGATGGCGACCGTGGAGAGTTTGTGTTCGTAGTATGCGTAGAGCGTCCGCGGGACGCCTTTCAAGAGCTTTCGTATCTCTGCTGGCGTGTACCGCTTGCTAAGTTCGTTGATGGTGAGGAATACCCAGAGGAACATATGGCCCGAGTTTTCTTCGAGGAACGTCTCAACCTCGGTCTTCAGTTCGGCCGGATAACTTAGCTTCTTCGCCAATCTTCCCACCTCGTCGGAGATGTATCGCTGGATGTCAGTCGCGTTGTGATCCTCGGTGCGAATGGCCAGCCTGAGGGCGGGAAGGAGTGACACGATATCTGCGTTCGGTCGGCTGCTGATGGCGATATGTCCTGCGCAGGTAGTTGCTGTTGACTGGGTCAGGTACAGATTGTGCAGGTGCTCGATAATATCGTATCTGCAGTAACCATCCTCTTGCCGGTTATCGGAACATTCGTCCAGAGCATCGATGACGTAGTAAACAGCTTCAGCTGCCGGGTTCGTCAGATGGAATGAAAGATGTCCCACAAGCAAGATGCGGACCACTTCGCTTCCTTTGCGAGATTGAACTTTTCGTATTCTGGCAGGACGTGCGGGAAAAATACGGGGTGCTCATTCAGAAGTTGATATACCAACGACTTCAACACTGCTATGGCCGTTCGATTCTCTTTGTCTTTGCCGTTGCAGAAAAAGTAAATAACTGTCGACATCGGATCCTTCGCGAGATGCTGTCGTAAGAAATCCATCAGGACCGTCTTGCCGGTCCCGGGATTCCCGTAAATCCATAGCATTTTGCTATCATTCCCCCCGGCTGAGCACCATTCCTTCAACATTTCCTGTTGGAGAAGCCATTCGCATGTGTTGCGGTGTATTTTTGCATTGGGGATCCTTGGGGCTGGGTTGTTGGACGCCGGGAGAAGTGAACGGAGACATTCTTTCTGGAGATCGGTTTCTGAAATCATTCGCCACAAAGCCGCATCAGTCTTTTATTCTAAATACAGCCAGTCGAATTACCGGTTACCCACTTTGCCTCCCACCCGGCCGCCTCTTGATCGCGCGGGGAGCTTCGTCGACACACTCCCTGATTATCCCCCTAACAGTCTGATAATCGATGTTGGTACGGTTCCCAAACTTGACGATATTGGAGTGATCTTCGTCGATATTCAATTGATGATAGATCTTTTCATTGGGCCCCGAATGAGTCGCAGAGTCGCGGGTTACCATCCGCACTAACGGGCCTCTTCTCTCGAAAGTTTTTGTATCTGGGTTATACTGTAGCCAGGATAATTCCGATGTCAGTTCGGATCCCGAATTACTATTTCAGGAAGTACTCTACCTCAACGGTTTTAGTGTCTTTTGTCTCGTAGAAGGAATATATTTTGGCGTCTTTGAAGTCGAACTCGCGGTAGAAGTCGCGATGTAACTCGGGGAGATACTGAGACGTTTCACAGAGATCGTGCACCAATCGTTCATTCCGTTGGCCTTTCACCATCGACAGTAAATGATCAATCCGGAGGCCCCTGTTCGGAACACCAAAGAATAAGGCAGCATAGCAAGAGTTAAATATTGCCTTGTCCTTAGGGTCGCCACGCTTCGCCTCCGTGAGAGCCTAGAAGATCAAAACAGATCCACTGCTATGTTGAGCATATAGATGGCACCTACATGCTTAAGAACGATGCCTCCCAGGCTGTGTGCGATGAAAATGATGGGTCGATGAATTTCCTAGCAACAAAAGTTGTTAGAGCCCATACTGAACAGTCGATCACTAGCAGATCAAAAGCTTACATCGGGACGGCGACGTGATTCCTTCAATGCTTCCAGTAGTCTCCGTGAGAACTCGTGTATCGAGGCATCAGAGGCACTTTGAAGCAGAGTCGAATCGTAGCCGTAGGTGAGGATTCTGGTTTGGTACTTGGCGTCGCGCAGGTCTCGAGGAAGGAAATCCCGAAGCCACATCTTCGCACCGCCGCGCGCCTTCCATGAGCCGAAAGCATGGCCGGCGAGTCCCGTAACCGCAACGATACTGGTATCGTACCGGAGTCAGTTCCATCCCACCAGCCAACAGGGAGAGGTCACAACTCACTCGACGGTAGGCACTGTGCACTCATTGAGCAGCGTCAGCCCCAGAAATTGGGAGTCGAAACTGAGCTCCACGCTGTCCAAGCCCGGGATTGCAACCCGATGGAATACCACGGTGGATGACTGCGTACAGCGCCGAAGGATGTCCGGAATTTGGCGAAACGTGACAGTCACAATCTGATACTGGTCGGCTTCGTAGCAAGAAGGCGCTAGAGACCATCCTATGACAGTTCCCCCTTCATCGGCCTTCCTCCGGTCAGGTGGAACCAACTGCTCAAGAGCTTGTTTAAGGTCGCGCTCGTGTATACCTCTAGGGATGTCGGATACGCGGAAGGTGTAGTACGAAGCGTCCGTCGAAGCCTGGAGTTTTACCGGAGCTGGTTGGGATTTACGCCAAAGAACCACGAACAGAATCCCCGAGGAACATAGGATAAGAAGTATCGTTGCGACAGTTGGGACGTCTATCGTTAAGTCTGCCATGCCGATGACCGAGCCCCCGAGAATGCAGCTTCAGGAAAGCGGAGGGGAATGCAGCAAGTCTTTATTGACCAGCTACCGGCACAGCCCTGAGCATATTCCGGCCACTGGGCGGAGTCTGAGACGACCTGCGGCAGCTGTTTTCATCCAGAGCAGTTGGATCGGAAGCTCCGTCACATTGCTTTTGCTGCTGCCCAATTGTACTCCGTCTGCCACGTATGTATGCAGAGGACAGTGAAGGCGGAGAAATCCGGGGGTCCGAGACTAGAGGTCCTCAAACCTTGCTGGGTGACCTGGCCGGCTAGGTGATTAGGTGTTTCTATTGGTTTGGCGATCTTTCAGGTTTCCCGGCACCGCTACTTCCTCCGGCTCAGAAAAAGTTGTCTGGGTGACTTCAGGAACTCTAGCTCGCCTCTAGCTTGCCTTTAGTTCGCCGTAATGGGTAGGTGGGTTGTGAGTAGTTTCCGGGATCAAGAACTAGACTGTAAAATATTCTCCATCCTGTGGTCAAACCTAGTCATCACCCGGAAGAATGCCTCGTGTATCTACAAGAAAAATTGTGCTCGAGTTACTCGACTCCAACATCCGCGCGCAAACGACAGTCAACTCCATTTTCGAACCCAATGATGGCGAAGAGGATGTGCAACTCAGCAAGCGATTACACCCAGAAAGCTAGCGACATACCTCATACACATGGGAATACATTAGTATCGGTACAGATGCCGCATTGCAAGAGTCGATCAACTCGCACAGTTGGAGTCATCAAAGTAATGGCTAGTCACCGAGCAGAATTGACTCCAGTCAGCAGGCAGGAGGACTGGGCGGTGTAGAAAGGGCTCAGAAGTCAGGGATGTACCCTGGATGTACTCGGAGCTACTCACCTGGCCAGCCAGCCCTGCAGGGCAAGGTCCTCAAACCCGAATTTCATGGCTGGACATCGTTATTGGTCAATTTGTCTTGATGGGTTTCCGGCCGGCCAGATCACCCGGCAAGGTTTGAGGACCTCTACTGCCCGGGCGCGGGGCACCACGCTTTTGAAATCTAGCTTAGTTAGCATATTCATGTAGTACTTGGTATGTACATACTACGGTAGTAAGTACCTATGCACGCGATCGCAAATCGTCAGGAAACATACATCCGAAAGTACTCTACATCCTATGTATCATAGAAACATCTCAATAACAGGGGTCCTCAAAACTTCGAATGGAATTAAAAATGGGATGGGTTTCGCGAGTCCATTTGTATGGAGTGGTTTGAGGACCCCAGATGGAATGGCTGGTGGGTTGCCGAGTGGATCGTTTAACTGGTGGCGAGGAGCATGGGGGTTGATGGCCAAGGCAACCGGGAGTCTCGCGGATTTACTCAGTCATTCCTGCTCATTGACTAGAGTCATTCCTTTAATGACTCTAACTGTGTGGATTGATTGACTCTTGCAAAGCTTTTCGGATGGCCGCCAACAATCCAAGGTCAATTGCAGCTGTACCGATAAGTATTCCCATGTGTTTGAGGTATGTTGCCAGCTCGCTGGGTGTAACAACGACCATCGCTTCCATAGATAGTCTTCAGCTTCTAGAAGTTTCAAATTCTGTCGAAGTATCGAGTTTCCTGCCGTGGCAGTAATAAACACTTGTCCGATCTCTTCAATATTTATTTGCTGTTCCAATTGTTGAATTATTTGTACTCTCATTGATTTCGTGGCATGGTGGTTTTGCGAGGGCTCATTCGCCAATGGCCGGAAAGCGGCGGGTCGAGAGAAGTAGAACACACAAGGAAAAAGTGGAGATTGAGGTTGATCATCTGTTCTATAGATAATGATCAAGAAAGAAGAAGAAACCTCGCGGGTGCTGGCTTAGGTTCCCCCCTCCTCGCGATCAGTGGTCGACCCCGCCATGCCCGTCAACGTTAATGCCCACTACTAACCACATTCGCTTCCTACCGCCGACAGCTCATCCATCACTCAGCCATACCTCGTGGTGGTGGTGGTACTAGAGTAGTGGGGGAGGTTCGACGACAGCGTCCTCTTTTTTTTCCCCAAGCAAGCGTCTAACAAATACCCCATACTAAACAGAGACGTCCTAAGGGAGTCCATTCATAGGCTACATAGCAAACCAACGTCCGGCGTGGTCCGGTCCGAACGGCGGTCCGGACGGGGCTGACTGACGTGGTCCAATCCAGTCCAACGGCTATGTACCAAGCCAATCCTGGTGGCTGGAGTAGGGATGCCGGATGACCATAAAGTATGAGCTGTGACGGTAAAGTTGTCACGTAACGATGTAAGCTTGGTAGTAACGTTACTGCCAAGATCGCCACGCACGTGACTGCTGGGTGGCTGGCACCACTTGAACTAGCTAATAGCCGGCCGGGGCGGGCAGTACCAGCCACCCAGCGACCACCAGCCACGTCAAGACCAAAGCCAGCCACCACTAGCCGCCTTGGCAATAACTTCACCGTCACGACTCATGCTTTACTGTAATATTACGCGACATTACGTGACATTACATTACTGTAACGTTACGGGCGGCATCCCTAGGCTGGAGGACCGGCGGGTGCAAGCGTGTATATAAGCGCTGCATCGCCACCATTATAGGCGCTTAATAATGGGTGCTTGGCGGACCAGGGGGAGCTGGCATGGCGAGAAGCTGAGAAGTGGTAATAGGGGTGGGTATCGAACTTCATCCTCATCACCACTGCCTACACCCGCCCGCCGACCGCCCACCGTCCGCCCGCTGTCAAGAAAAAGACGTCGTCACGTTACGCGAAGCCATCGCCACACAAGATATCCGGCCATGAAGCAGAAGGGAGTCCGTGATCCGGCCGTTGGCGTGAGCCATCGAGAAACCACGCGGGACGAGCGGATGCGTGCTATCGCGCTGCGTGATCATGCCAAATGGAGCTGGCGGCAAATCGGAAGAGAGCTCAAGATGGATGCTCGAACAGCGTCGCGAATATATCACCGTTATCAGCGGGATGGCTCTCCTTCGAACCGGAAACGAACCGGTAGACCTCCGATATTCGATGATGAAGAGAAGGCGCGTCTCGTCGCCTTTATCACCCGCGACGCCCGCACGCGAAGCCTGAGCTGGGAGGAGGTCTGCGTCGAGATGGATTACGCCTGTAGTCCGAAGACGGTACGAGATGTCATGAAATCATTGGGTTATCAGAAACGCGCATGTACCAAGGACGAAGCCCAACGTAAAACCGAACGACAAACCGAAACGACTTGCTTGGTGTCAGAACAGACTGCATTGGACCAAGAAGGAGTGGAAGAGAGTAATCAGGATGAATAGATTCTCCTTCTCAACGGCAGGCTTCGGTCATCGTCCATGGGCCACCCGGAAACTAGATGAAGATCATCACCCCGACTACGTCGATTGGAAATTTCACTCAGGACGGAAGAGCAAGGTGGTTTGGAGGGCCTTCGGCGGTACAAAGTCTGATCCTATCTTCGTTCCCGGCAAAACGAAGCTCAACTTCGCAACCTATGTATGAATGGTCCTTGAGCCTGCTATTGTACCTTTTTGGCATTAGTGTCGCGAGGAATATGGATGGGCTATTGTGCAAGAGTAGTATCGCTCCGGGGCATAAAGGAAATGCCAAAGCCTACAGAGAGTTGAATGGGATGGAGAGTTTGGAATGGCCGGCTGAGTCTCCTGATCTCAATCTAATGGAGGCTGGTTGGAGATGTGGAGACGGAGTTGGACGAGATATGGAGACGAGCAGCGGACGTTGAGGCATTGTAATTGTATTTAGCTGTGTGTTGGGCTCGGGTTATTACAGAGGAAAGGTTAGATGAATTGATAGAGAGCATGCTGGTGAGGTTGCAAACTTTAATCGATGCTGGAGGGGCGGCGGAGAGATACTCAGTGGATAGGCGGGAGGATACATGTCGGAGCCGCTCTGTTGGCATCCCATCGAAAGAGAGAGAGATCTTCCTGTTTTATTTCTCATGCAGCCTATCTAGACTATGGCGAACCCATGAACTCCGTTTCCTATCCGCCCTGGCCAGCCGAGGTGAAAGCCCCGGTACCGACCAGTCCGATGCGGCGCCCCACTTCCCCTGCCCATCCGCCTCGGGCGGACACAAGCAAAAAGTATATTGACAGTAAAGACTGGTATGGGCCCACATGCCCGCTCCTCCTGCTGCCCCTCGCCTCTCTTCCCCGTCATCCGCTTCCGCTCCAAAACCTATCACCGCGTATCCTCCTCTCCCACTTCCTCGCATCTGCCGCAGACGCAATATCCTGCTGGACACTCTTGCTCTGCCCCCGATGCGATGCTCGCCTCCTCCTCATCCTCCTCCTCCCGATCTAGTGGAGCTTTTCTCTCCACATCTGTCGTTCCTAGAAACTCTAGGATTGCCTCGCTGCACCGCTCGTCGGCGAACAGCTCCGCTATCGACCACGTCTCTTTCCTTCTCTCCGTTTCCTTCCCGACCTTTGCCCACAAGGCTTTCTGTTGACTTCTCCACCGTGAGCAGTTTTTGAATGGGTGCTCGCGGGACTGCTTAGTAGGCCTTTTGCACCACCAGTAATGGTCATCATCCCGCTTCTTAATCCACTTCTTCATCCAAGGCATCTCATCGAACGCCGTCCAAAAACTCGATCATTTCCACTAAGCGAGTGATATTATATGATCTGTCTTCGCTGTTCCTCCTCAGAGGGATCAAGAGTTGGCACTACAGCAGACTTTGTACGATTACAGCTGCCCACCATCATCGATTGCGATTCAAGCCTGCTCTATCAGAGCAACCCCTTTTTTTAATGTGGGAAAACCCTTGCGAAGGACCGTACCGGCTTGGAGTCATCGTTCAGCCTGCACGGTGTCCTAGCATGAGGAAGTGGTGTTGACAAGTCCAAAAAATCACACACTCACAAGCGATAGGGAGCGATAAGGGGGCGTCCACATCCGGACTCTTTCGGCCCCTCGTATTTAACACTTGCCGCGAACAATAGTGAGGCTCGTGGCGGTGACTACTCTAGTCTTCCGGTTCTTGCCAATAAGCCTACAGTCGCACCTCCTCCGACCTCCTTTCTCCCTACTGTTTGAGACTTACTCGTCTCTTTCGGCGCCCTGTTACTTCCTTCCTTCCTTCGCCCCCTCTTCCCCGCCGTGAGCAGGTCCACAGTCCGACTCGAGAGTCGAGTCCGGGAATGGAGCATCTAGGCGATGCCCGGCTCGGACGGACAATAGAATGAAGATTGGCCGATTCGAACAAGGTCAAGCCGTATCCACGAGTGTGCGGCACCCATCGTCATCGGCGGCGGCGGTGGTGGTGTCATGGGGCCGGTGCATAGGGAGGGAGATAAGGTAGAATATGCAAACCCTTTCGACCGGTACGGGGATGGACCGAAACGAACCGGACCGTTCAGGCGTATGGCCGTGGATCCGGGGCAATTTGACGATAGAGTTGCCCGGTGGGTTTCCAGCAGCGAGCTTTTATGATGTACAAATCGATTGCGCCGTGGACCCGGTAAGTGTGGGAGGGATAGATGCCTTTCTTTCGCGGAGTAGGATGACCAAGTTAAAGGACGGTGAAGTCCGGCGGATCCAAATGTTGGCAACTTGGGTACTTCTTCTGGTGTGAATTGTTGATTGCAGAAATATTGAAAGATGCTTGAATGCGTCATCCCTGCTGATGGCAAACGAACTCCTTGCCGATGAACATGCAGAGGTTCCGATGCTGGAATGAGGATTTGAGGATTTTCTCTGAGGCTGTGAGGGAGCCAAAGTTCTCGGAGGATATGTCGCCGCTCACAACGCCCATCCCAGCAATATGTCCATAGCCTCAGCGCCTAGTCCACAGAGATGACAATACCCTACGACGTCCGGATATAGGTAGTCCGATATCGAGGCCACAAGGTTCTGCATTTTAGAGCCATAGCCTTCTTCAGACCCTACGCTGTGAAATCATTGTCGTAGTACGGTAGTAGGTACCACGCATAGTAGGATCCACGAACAGACAAACGCTAGGAGGTGGTTGATCTGAGCAATTTGAATCCTGGCGGTTCGTAAAATTGATAGATGGAGCGTCGGTGGACAGCGTGGCGGAATCTTCGGCGTATGTTCTTCCCGAGTGCTCAGGTTGGCTCCGCCGCGGGGTGATGAAGTCCACCGGAAACTCGACAATGTCTGGGGCGGTTTTCGGAAGCATGCTATCCCCGTGGGAAAGAAATAGTCATGGGAAAAAATGAAGAAAATGCGGTAGAGGGGAGCTCTGGCCGAAGACAGGGTTGGCGAGCGCGAGTGCGAAGTTTGATGGATGGTCCGGGCTTTGGGGTAATATTATATACCACATACCGAGGTCTCGAACAACAACCACACCATCCCATGTGGCCTCAAGGAAAGCCCACATGTTCGAGTACATACGAGAAGACCACATGATTCCAATTGGTAGCTTCAATCAGTGGCTTCTCTTTGATCCCCCGATAGTTGCGTGCTGGTTCCCGGCCACGACGCTTCTCTTTGGCGAAATCAGTTACTTGTTTTCCGGAAATGGCTTACTGCTGCTCCTCATAAAGTTTCGTTATTTTCCGGCCCTTTGTTAGAACGAACTCGTCCCGTGTCGTTACGTATCTGCTAACAAAGAAAGCTACAAGCACCACTAGGCCAGTCTAAGTCTACGCCGTGGTCTCATCGGTTTTCCAGTCCAGTCCGGGCCCAAGACCCGCATCGGTAACATTAATCTGCAGGAGATAGAAAGGGCACCTTTCTAGAAAAGTGAAATCTCAACTCATGTGAAGTAGAGGCGAGTTACTTTTTATGATTGGCTGGCCCTTCTCCAGGCTCTCTCGTAAAGGAAGAAGCATAATAGATATGCTGGATTAGTAAAGGAAAAGCCTCATCATCACGAATTTCGGTTCGGCAGATCAAAACGGGCGCCAAAACGGGCAAAAAATTTCAGGTGGGAATGATATGGCATGGGCATCACATCGGAATTGGCAGTCGTATTCATCTCCCTCTTGAAAACCTTGCTGACCAATTCGCTCGAAACCAGGAGTTTTAGCCACCACGATCCGTAATACCATTTGTCCATTCGGAGATGAAGTTGAGCGTCCGGCTGAGCGGCTGGAACCACAGGTCCACAGGCCAGAACTATGAAACACTCGGCGATAATGAAAGGGTTAGATGGACTGATTACTAACAGCCCCGTAAAACAAAACGGGATTGAGAATCTGACACTTTCCTGGAGGGGGGGGGGGAGCTAGGTCATCCTCTCTGGGCTCGCGAGTGGGTGGTGTTTTCCAAGGGCGCTGGTGCCGAACGGCCTCAACTTCTCTTGGAGGAGAGAGTGGTATTTCGGATCACAGTTTCAATAGGTACTGGTAGTGATTGAGTACTTAAGGATTCTATTTCGGACGAGTACCTAGCAGATAAGCCCCTCTCTGTTATCACACTCCAAGCAGGCAAAACGTGCACACATCATCGGGGAATAGATCGAGTTCGTCTTTTCGACGTTTGTGCCCATCACAGGTGTTGGCTCGCCATTCATCCACACAAACCTCTCTATTCTTTCTCCGCCCCATTCTGCTCCACCCCATTCTTCTCCACCCCATTCTTCTCCGCCCCATTCTGCTCCACTCCATTCTTCTCCTTCTCCCCATCCTTCCCAAAAGTCGGTCTCAGCACCTCGAACCCCTCCCTGGCCCTGAGATACGTAATCCCACCGAGCCGTCCCACCGGTCTCAGCACCCTAAAATCGACAACATTCCTATCCTCATTCAGGGCATCCTCCCTGACATGAAAATAAACACCACTCAGAATCGCCAGCACGCCCGTCTTCTCCCCGGTGCTAGGGGAGAACCAATCATGACTCGCCACGAGCTTTGCCTCTACGGCAAACACCGCCTCCGCGACTCTCGGGGGCTTGACCTTACAACTCGGCGCGGGCGTAAGCCCCGAGAGCGTCCACTCGGACACGCCCGAGGGCGCGTCAATGCTCGTGTAGTTCGCGGCCTCGACGAAGTGCTCGCTGACAAGGTTGATCACGCACTCGCGCGTGGACAACACGTGCCGCGACGTGTCCTTGAGCGCTGAAGCGCCCATCGTGAAGCCCAACGTGAAGATGGGCGGGTCGTGGTTGACGATCTGGAGGTACGAGAACGGCGCGAGGTTGCGTTGGCCGTCTGGGCCCTCGGTTGAGACGACCCCAATCTATATACACAGTCACATGCCCCGAATCAGCGCAGCGACGGGGGAGCGGGAGGAGACAGCGACGAACCGGCCGCGGAACGATGCCTGATACCAAAAGCTTGTAGTTATCCAGCGGCGTGCGGTCGCCGGCGTACGGGTCGATGTGTACTGTTTCGTGATCGCGCCACGACGGGTCGTTTGCGCCGCTGCCTGGTCGCCATGCTGGGTCTACCGTCTGCGTGTGCGTGAACGAGTACTCGTCGAACGGCGCTCGCTCGGATTGCACTTTTTCAAAGTCCGGCTTTTATACACACACCCAAAGGTCAGCTAGAGCTCAGTGGCTTGCCGTGGGACGAGCGGACGGACGGACGTAGCGGGATACTAGCTTTGCGGGGGATTTGGCGCGTGGTGGGAGGGACATCTTGGTTCTGTTCTTTGCGTTTGCGTTTGACTGACGGCAGCTGGACACTCGACAAAACCCGCGCAGCGAAGCGGGAGTGCTACATATACCTACATATACCTACAATCTACATAACCTATGCATTTCTCCGGCCAGCAAAGTGATTGGACGGAAAAATCGTCACCTCCGAGGTACATACGGAAGAACGTTGTTGATGCTCGCACCGCGAGTACCTACAATCCGGTAGACATCTGGACTTTGATAGTGGGGGTTCGGTACATACCCGTAGGTGGGGGTGAAGCTTCGGAACCTTCCCGACGCACGCCAGAGTGCGGGAACCTCCCCGCCCCCCGCCCCCCGTCCCCCGCCCCCCGCAGTTTCTGCCCGAGCCGAGGAGCCTACCTAGTGAGATGGTTAGAGCGATAAGCTGCACGATCTCCATCTACATACCAACATACCCTGGGTTTTGTTGCAGCAGTTGCAGCAGTTGGAGTTGTTGCAGGCTTGCAGCCAGCGGCCGCTTGTTGTTGATGACAGACGATTGATTGCACGGGCCCGTGATTGCCACTGGCCACGGAACGGCCCGTTATGTAGGTACATACGGTAGTTAGGAGCGGACTGTCGGCCAATCATGGGTTACTGCCTTTTCATCTCATCTCCAATTCCCGCCATGGAGATCTAGATTTTGGATATGCACTTTTTACGGTAGAGTATTTTCACGAGCACAACCTCACTCGCGCCCGCCCGCATCATGCCTTCAGAGTCGACATCGCATTAAGTAGATCCTTGAGTAAGTACTTCTTAAGGTATCATAGGTAGTCCTCAAACTCCACACCCGTCACCCTCCCGCCCCCTCCCCTCCCCTCCCCCCCTCACCCTCCCCCCTTCACCACCAACCCACCCACTCACCCACCCACCACAGTAAAATATACAATACAAGAAACGAACTCACTCAACAAGCAAAACTCTCAGTATAAGGTAAAAGAAAAAGAAGAAAAGAAAAAAACAAAGAAAAATCATGGTATCAAAAATCCTTACATCACACTCGCACTCGCATTTGCAGGTGCTATGTAAAATAAAACACAAAAAAAAAGGATGGTTATGGTTATTGCAGCCCATTCCCCGCCGCTCCTCTGCAACTCCTCCACATACATCCGAAAAAACACAAAGTACCGCCCCGCCCGCCCGCCACATCCTACACCACACCACACCACATCCCCAACACACAACACACAACACACACACAAACACACAACACACACAAACGCGCACACAACCACAACCATAACCATCCTTTATCCAAAACCGTAGCGTAGCGTAGCGGAATAGAAAAGAAACGGTGACAATGAAGAAGAAGCTCTCCCCACAAACCAAACAACCACAAATTAACGACACCCATGGGGGGGGGGGGATAGGGGATATCATTCCAACGCCCTCCAGCAGATTCGGTAGAAAATCAGACGAGATAAACGGGGGGAAGGCTTCGGAATCGATAGGGGGGCTTTAAGTTACAAAGCGACGCAAAAAGACCAAGAGGTAGGGTAGGGGGGGAGACAAAACTAATGTATAAATAGGGCGCCCTTGGCGAAAAGAAGTAAAAAAATGACACAAGTGTAGGAAGTAGGAGAAGAAGGGGCTATAGATACGTCGTCGAAGGGGGGCCAAAAATACGTCGTGATGGAGGCGGTCACACGGTGGTGGCGTGCCTTTGCTCTAAATTCTTGACGGCAAGGAAATTTACACGACCGTCCGTCCGTCCGGTTCCTCTAGTTCCAACCGAGCGAGTTCGCGGCCATCAGAGGGGCCGAGATCTGCGGGCCTCTTCCGCCGGGACCGCTGCCGTGGCTGTTCCTTTCAGGAGCACCAGCGGCACCTGCGGCACCAAGACCGCCAGGAGTGGAACCCTGGGTGCCGTACGTGTCTCTGGCGCCGTGCATCATCGCTCCGATACCGCTCGAGTGTACAACCCCCGTTGGCCCACCGATGACCATGGCCCCTTGAACGGACGATGAACGACTGTGTCCCTTCCTCTTCTGCCTGTACCGACGGGCGACGAAGAACATCGCACCACCGTACGCCAGGGCACCGAAACAAACACCTGCGCCGATACCAACAGTCTTCGTCGAGATAGGACCAGTCTTGTTCTCGATGGGAGAGCCACCGCCACCGGTGGTGGTTGTGGTGCTGTCATCATCGGTCCATGACTTGTCGTCGGTGAGTTGGCCGTTTCCGTTTCCGTCTTGTTCGCTAGCGCTTGCACGAAGGGGGATGGTGGAGTCGAGAAGAGCCATGATCTGCTCGATTGGTGTGGTCGGGTTGTTCATCATCCTTGAACCTGGAGTGCGACGCTGAAGATCCAGCTCGTCGAACAGATCCTTAGGGATGTAGGCAAGAACCAGTGTGGTGACGTAACCCTTGCTCTTCCTTGTGTCATACGGCTGGAGGGAATGCATCGTGACGCTCGCAGTGTTGAGTCCGAAGTTCAATCCCTTTGGCACGTATTCGAAGATTTGTGCGACGGATACCGGGTTCTCAACCACGAATACGTAGTTCAACTCGTGCTTGAAGCCAAGGCGAACCAATATCATGTCCTGGGGAGCATCCGGCATTCCTCCGTAGGGAGTGATGACCTTGGGCAGTCTGGGATCTAATGTTGTACCGGTTGGCTCAACCGCAGTACCTGTGGAGGTGGCAGGTTGACCGGCGTCCGCAGTGGTCTTTGTCGTGGTGACAGAGGGTGCAACCACCAACGTAGATGTTTGGAACCAGATGGACGTAGGATTAATGCCAGAGGAGGGTGGGATGACTGCGAGTTTTGTGGTTGACAATGTGGTCGCGGGCACCACGGTCGTGATCGGTGCAATCGCAACCGTCGTAGGCGTCTCAGACTCGGTGTAGGACTGAGCAGCCGTGGTAGGTGCGTTGGATACTGGTCCGGATGAGGCAACCGTAGTAGGTCTGTCGGATTCTGTTCCAGATGGGGCAAGCGGCTTGTCAGATACTGATCCGGATTCATCGACCGTAGTGCTGGGATCGGTGACACCTGATGATGGAACGCCGGTGAATGACGGGAGGCCAGTGATACTAGGAAGGACGCTGGTTAAATCCGGAGTCTGGCTCAGAGGATCAGTTGACACGAATGAGTTGATGCCTGATGGCAGGTTTGACGGCAATGAGTTGATGCCTGATGGCAGATTTGACGGCAATGACGTTGGGATGACAGCGGAAAGATCCGGGATGACAGAAGTTGGGATTCCCGAGGAGATAATCGCCGACGGGCCAGATGGAAGTGAGGTCGGAATGATACCCGACAGGTTGGGGAGGCCAGAAGTCGGAACTCCCGACGGAACAACGACCGAGGAACCCGGATAGACCGTCGAGAAGTCTGGGATGATTGAGTCTGGGAAATCAGAGATGATCGACGACAGACCTGGAGCCGCGGAGGGAATGACCGTCGACAGATCCGGGATGAGCGACGAAAGACCGGGGGCCGCAGAGGGCATCGACGTGATCAGAGGGAGATCGCTAACTTCGGTGGGGAGCGAGACGACCGCCGTGGGGATCCTTGTTGCTTCGGACCAAACCGATGATACGACCGGGTCCACCCACGAGTCAACGACAGACGAAACTGGATCCAAAACCGACGTGATAGGATCCACCACAACAGAACCGATGGCAGAAGTAATAGGTCTTCCCACAGCCGAGTCCACGGCAGTCGTGATGGAATCCACAACTGAGTCCACGGCAGTCGTGACGTGGTCCACAAAAGAGTCTACGGCAGTAGTGATGGGGTCCACAACTGAGTCCACAACCGACGTGATGGGGTCCACGACCGAGTCAACGACAGACGTGATGGGGTCGACGACTGAGTCCACAACCGACGTGATGGGGTCGACAACTGAGTCCACGACAGATGTGATGGGGGCCACAACTGAGTCCACGACAGATGTGATGGGGGCCACAACTGAGTCCACAACAGACGTGATGGGTGCGACAACTGAGTCCACAACAGACGTGATGGGGTCCACGACCGAGTCCACGACCGAAGTGATGGGGTCGATAACTGAGCCCACAGCAGTCGTGATGGGAGCCCCAACTGAGTCCACGACAGTCTTGACGGGCTCCAGAACTGAGTCCACGGCAGTGGTGACGTGGTCCACAACCGAGTCCACAACAGTCTTGACGGGCTCCAGAACCGAGTCCACGACAGTCTTGACGGGGTCTAGAACCGAGTCCACGACAGTAGTGATGGGCCCCAGAAGTGAGTCTACGGCAGTGGTGATGGGCTCCAGAACCGAGTCCACGACAGACGTAACTGGGTCGAGAATCGGGCCAAGGATACCAGTCTTGCTTGGCATACCGGTCTCAACAGGCAAGTCGGTAATAGTAAGATCTTCAGTGACACTGGGCAAATCCACAATCGGCGTCAACGAGTCAACAACGGAGTCCAGGAGACCGGAGCCGGTCTCGACAGGCAAGTCGGTGATAGTAAGATCCTCAGTGACACTGGGCAAATCCACAATCGGCGTCAACGAGTCCACGATGGAGTCCACAATACCAGTCTCAACAGGCAAGTCGGTAAGAGTAAGATCCTCAGTGACTGACGGCAAATCCACAATTGGCGTCAACGAATCAACAATGGAGTCCAGAAGACCGGAGTCGGTCTCAACAGGCAAGTCGGTGATAGTAAAATCCTCAGTGACACTGGGCAAATCCACAATCGGCGTCAACGAGTCCACGATGGAGTCCACAATACCAGTCTCAACAGGCAAGTCGGTAAGAGTAAGATCCTCAGTGACTGACGGCAAATCCACAATTGGCGTCAACGAATCAACAATGGAGTCCAGAAGACCGGAGTCGGTCTCAACAGGCAAGTCGGTAATAGTAAGATCCTCAGTGACACTGGGCAAATCCACAATCGGCGTCAACGAGTCAACAACGGAGTCCAGGAGACCGGAGCCGGTCTCGACAGGCAAGTCGGTGATAGTAAGATCCTCAGTGACACTGGGCAAATCCACAATCGGCGTCAACGAGTCAACAACGGAGTCCAGGAGACCGGAGCCGGTCTCGACAGGCAAGTCGGTGATAGTAAGATCCTCAGTGACACTGGGCAAATCCACAATCGGCGTCAACGAGTCCACGACGGAGTCCACGATGGGGAGAAGATCGGCGTCGGTCTCAACCGGCATATCGGTAGCAGTGGTATCCGTAATAGTAGGATCATCGGTGACCGTCGGCAAATCCACAATCGGCGTCAACGAGTCCACGACAGAGTCCACGATCGGGAGAAGACCGGAGTCAGTCTCAGTAGCCTTATCGGTAGTGGTGGTATCCGTGATAGTAGAATCATCAGTTCCGGTGGGGTCTTCGATAAGAGTAGGCTTGTCGGTGGCAGTGACATCGTCGACAACCGTAGAATCCCCAGTCTCTGTTGGCACATCCACGACGTCGTCTACAACCTTCGTCACGTCGACGATTGAATCGACGAGGCCACTGCCACTGCCAGACTCGCCAGACGTGTCCGTAGCTGTTGGCTCATCACTGGCAACCGCTTCCTCCGTTGTAGTTGGCGTGGTGTCAAGTACTTCACCCACGAGTGATGTAATCGGACTCACGATTGGGGCTAGAAGACCGGGTTTGGTGGTTTCGACGTTAACGTCGGTGTCGTCGGGCTGATCGGTTTCGACGGTGTCGGCGACCGTCTCTATTCGGTCAGTTAGCAATGAAATCGGTAGGGGCGATAATTGAGGGTGACGAGGGATTAATCGGCGCGCCCCGAGCGGTCGAGGCAGAAGTTGCGATCGCTGAACCGCGTCCTCGGGAGGAAAAAAAAGAGGGAGATAGGGATAGGGATGGAACCGCCCGCTAAGGAACTCGGTCCCGTCGCGATGACTTCGCTTCTCGTACCTGTGGGTTCGACTACTGTTGACGTCTCGTCGGTGATCACAGAAGGCTCGGATCCGACGACGGTGGGTGCTGTAGCTGTTAGCGACCCTCCAGCGACATTCAATGCGAGGATTCGAGCGCTCACCTTCCACCACTTCCTCATCAACCACCACTGTGACAGGACTAGTTGTTGTCGATTCGGGGACCGTTTCCGTTGGCACGACCGTCTCGATAACATCATCCTCCACGTCCTTCTCCGTATCCTTCTCCTCCTCATTATCATCCGAGATAAGAACTGTGTCGAACAAATCCTTCAACGATCCTCTGTCGGTCGGCCTCGCTCCGGTCTCGTGAGTAACGCTGCTATCGTCGGTGACGTTGACGATAAACTGGCGCCTCCGAAGCATGTTCCGTGGGAAGTAGAACTTTGGCGAGTCGCCGTCATCCTGCCGAACGGGGATCGCGGCCGCATTCCCAACTCCTTGCACGGGCGCAAAGGAGGAGAGAAGCGGGAACGCGATCGCGAAGGCGAGGCTTGTTCCCCTCATCCTGAAGCGAGCGAGGCCGTCGTCTGGGAGCGACTTGTTTGTCGGTGTTTCGCCCTGGCGATGTCTTTTTTTGGGTTTTGTTTATCTAGGGACTGGCTGCAGATTGGGCCAGTATTCGTGATGTTATGGCGGTTTCTAAATGAGTGGACTTGACGATGCAAGAAAAAAACAAGCGGATTTTCAAAAAGAGTGTAGGTCTGTCAAAGATTCAGAGCATCAGCAGCGATCAAAAGTCATTCATGGCCGTGGTTGGCGAGAAGGAGAAAGAATGAGGGTGTGGTGCTGTGTGTCAGGGGCTGTTGGAAGTGCCAGGCACAACCACCACCACCCCGACGACGACGACCACCACCACCTCCTCCACGCAGCCCACAGGCGCCATGGGCGTGCCATGCCATCAGCGACGCTACGTGGGGAAGCTGGGGCGTGGGCCAGCCGGGCCAGGTACGAAAGGGGCCTAAGTGGGTATGGGTAGTGGATCGAGCGAAATGAAACTCACGGAGCAAAACTCCAGGGCAACAACCAACCAAGCTCAACAACCCAATCCGTTCCAGCCGTTGCGATGAGCCAAGAGATCGCAGGTAGGCGCAGTATGGAGCCGTCGAGTTGCTTCAATTCCTTCCTCTTCAGCACCGTTGTTGGCGGTGGAGGACGGTGGTTTCTTCGTCTGGATGCGCCTTGAGGTCGAACGAAGGTGCGCTCGTCAAAGTCAGAAGTGCGTAGCTTCGTAGATATGCGAGCGAGGACCGAAGATTTGCCGTCGTCGTAGGGGAAATATGCGAGAAATGGGCGAAGATAAGTATCTTTTCGGTTAACCACGAGCATTAGTGGAGGTCCCTTTTTCCCTTCCTTCTCGTATAACTAAGATGTGTCTACTGCTTTCCCAGCAGGGCGACCGCAAATGGTCTTTATTTTACGCGCCGGACGAGGCTGTCTGTCCGTCTGTCCCGTCTGTCCGTCCATCGCTGGCTCAGTTGACCGCGACTCTCGGTTCTGCCAGAGACAAAGACATCGCGCACCAGGTTGGGGTGGGGATGGGGGGAGGTGGGGGGGCAGAAGCGATGGATAGAAGGGCAGCCCAAAGCGCGCGAGACAAAACAAAAGGGATCGCCACGATCACGACTGCGCCTGGCCAGCGGCGGCGACGCGCAATCACAGCTCATCGCTCACTTCCGGCCATCCCGCTCTGAGCGCTCCACTCACCGGAAAACTCCCTAGATACACCAACACCAGCCGCACCAAAAACTATCTCGAATGCAGTCCGTAACTATCCGTCCCTGCCGGCCGTTCGCTGTCGGGTTTTGGTCGTT